CCTTTTTTAGCCATGGTGTTGTCAGTTTATTTTCCACTTATGAGTTTGAATGTCCTTTTGGTATCTTTCGCCTCTCCTTTAAACTGTCTTTAGTCACTACGGTAACTCATAGATGTATTTTTGTGTATTTTGATTTTCATGCATAACACCTATCTGATGAGTCGAGTGAATTTCATCTGATGTTTTACAGTTTGATTTTATCTTGTATAGTTCAAGGTAAGTGTAAAGGTTTGATTGTTCCGAGACATGTTTCAGACCAGTCACCGATTGCTGTCTACCTTAACTCTAATCAGCTTAAATCATGGCTTTTGGTTTCTCTTTATGCCTTTTATGTCAACGAGTACTCGAGTATTCGAGTATTGCTCGGTAGTACCGAATATCGAATACCAAAACGATACACGACTAATCGGTTTCCTGTTAGAATATTGATGTATTCTTTATATAAAATTGATCTTCTTGAGAACATCTTCGGAAAATTAAAGAGACATCACTGATTATTTCATACCAGTAAATAAAATGCATTTTGTTTTGAAAGCTTGTGCTAAATTGTCATTTAAAGTGCCTCCGAAAATACGTGGGCTATACCTAGGCTAACACTTTAAACTAAACATTTCGTAACATCGGTACCGTCAGAACAAATATTTTCGTCTGCAAGACTGTAATTTTCAAAGTTGCAAAACCGACTATCCCCAATAACAGTTGACAAGAAAATGTTTCCAAATAAAACAAATTCATTGCATCCTTTGGTGACTCTCAGTGAGCACCTTAACTTCTAATCCTTACACCTTTGTAACTTTAAATATGCTTTCTTAAGAGGGTACAGAACACCTAAGAAATGACAACTCTTACTCATAGCCTGTTTCGTTGCAGCGTTTTAATATCACATGCAATATGCAAGATTTTAAGAGATCCAGATCAGAATGTTTACATTGTTGCTAAGAGCAGACGTACACCTATTGTTATTCGTTTAAACTTTGAATTCATTTATAGTAAATAAACTCATCATAGATACCAGGATTGAAATTTTGTATTTGCGCCAGACGCGCGTTTCGTCTACAAAAACCTCATCAGTGAAGCTCGAATAAAAAAAAGTCAAAAAGGGCAAATAAAGTACGAAGTTGAAGAGCAATGAGTAACACATTTTCCATAAATGAATCTTCAAAGAGGCCAAACAGGAAAATTTCAATGCAAAATAAATTTAAAAAAGAAATGCAGGAGGTCAGATTTTTATCAAATGGGCAAATGAACTTCATTATGAAGGGAAACAGAAGGACCAAGACGTATTTGGCATCTTTATTGACCACTACAACTATATTCATAACTTCATTGATATAGCAGCAGATACTGAAGTTACTAATCCCCTGTATGGGAAACCACAATCCTAGGTTTTGGGGGAGAAGAAAGTTGAACTAGATCTGCTTGCATCGAGCTTGCATCAGGCATGTACTGTTTTAAGACCCCTCTCCAACTCTCCAATACAGTAGGGGAAAAGTAATTTGGGCCTAGCGGCGTTTGAATAATCTCCCTTATTCATAGAAAGGAAAAATGGGCTCACGAAAGAGAAATGACTTTGTGCGGTTTATAACGAATTAAAAAAGTATGCCTGTGCTGTCTTAAAACTTCTATGAAATTATCAGAATGACTCCAATCAGAAATCTGAATATCCTATTGTTTAAAGTTAGTCTGACTTCATTACCATGTTTTTGTTTTAGATACGCAGAGAGGGTACACAATACGACTCGTGTTTATATCAAAAGAAAGTAAAAATGCCTAATAATAGATTATACCCAGATAAATAAATAAGCCAAGGACAATTCTGCTTCTATTCGTACCAAATTGATTAAAATCAAACCAGAATTGACTCCACGATACTTTTTTTGAAAACCGTAGTGCATCATTTACAAGTCGAGGAATAAAATCAACAACAAAAAATACCCATCAGATTCAGTCCACAAAACTTTACACAGAAACTAAGAATTGAGCACTCTAACATTTATCTCAATAAGAAAAAAACTATATCATTCAACTCTCAGTTTTCAACTTTATCCTTCAACAGATGAAGAAAATAAACAGGTGTCTTCTACTCCGTCCGCAATTTTTGGGGAAAGTAAAATCTAACTTTAGAACCATGGTTGAAATTGAAACTACACATGTATGGTAAAAATAGAACATGTTATTTCTGCTTTATCAAATTCTAATGTCGAAAGGAAAGCGAAAGTTGTTTTCTTTTACTGTGCTTTTGGTTATCTTTCCAAAGTAGCGAATGCAATTTTGAAGTAAAGTTTCTCTTCTCAAGTCTCTATTCAAAATAATGACCGAATAGAGTATAAATGGGGCAAAAAAATAATGTGACACTTGTAACTGCAATTTGTTATTTGGTGGAATGAGAGGTGAAATGAGTTAAGACTCTGACCGGGTACATTTTGATAGCATTTTACAGACTGATTTGTTCTATTTTGTATCCAATTTTCATAACCTCTGTAGAAAAACTATCAAATTCTATGTTTAACGCACTTGATTATACATGATTATCTCACACGGTCAGCTCTATTCTATCACCTAGTTCAAATTTTCAAGAGCCGTAGTTCTTTGCATCAATGGATTCGTCGTTATATTTTGGAATCGTATATCATTTTTTTTTTTAAATCTGTGGACCAACAAAATAGAAAATTATAATGTAAAAATATCTGCCGATTTTTAAGATTTTCCCTATGTATCCTTTGCATTTTTGGCGTCTCATGCTGTTAATTTCAACAGCCTGTATCTCAAAAACAAAAACGGTTACCCCTTTTTTATTTTATTTTCTGCTGTACTTTTACAAGCAGAATCCGAATGTGAAATTAAAAACAAATCTGTGGAGTGGTTAAGTACGTACACTTCGCCTTCATCGAAACTAAGCCTTTTTTGATTTTTTTATAGAAACTATATGTATTTGTTGTCTTGATAACAGATAATTTATGTATTTTGTATGCATGGAATTTGTTGATATGTCATAATGTGTGTCTATATTGTTGTATGGTTGATTTGAATAGCTCATTAGAGCTTGTGTAATATGTGTTTGTTTACTAAATATCGACTCTCAATAAAACTTTGACTTCAATTGAATTGAATTAACAAGCCAAATATCTCTGACCTAGGTCAAAAGACACCAAGTCATGGCCTGCTCAAGTGTTTATTGCGAAAAATACATTTATCGTCCTCGATGTAAAAGTTCAAAGTCATATGAATGTCATAATTGTAAGGGCAGCACACCGCCTCATGATGATACATCCACATGCCAAAGATTTAAGGTCTAGGTAAAAAGACAAAACAGTTATGGCCTGGTCGTGTTTCTTGCTAAAAAATACATTAAGTTGACCTTGAGGTCAAATTTGAAGGTTTTACGAAGGTCATCATGATACAAGACACTTAACCTCTCGATGATACATCCACATGCCAAATATCTATGGCATAGATCAAAAGACAAAAAAGTTATGGCCCATATGTACTATCAGAATGGATCTTGCTCTTATTTATTGAGGGTGGGGGTATATTTTAAACTTTAAAAAAGAAAAAAAATCTGGTGGTTAAATATTTATAAATTTTTGCAAGAATAACAGACTGATATAGCACTACAAATGGTTAGTTTAAAAAAAAAAAAATTAAACGACACATTTTATTTTTTTTTTATTTTTTCTTCAAATACTTGACCCATCATAGTCATTTTTGGCGGCTGAATCTGAGACCCCCCTTTTTTAGTTCGGACAAAAATTTAAATCTAGAATAAAAAAACTTACAAGTAAAGGGTATCGGTGAACTAAAATTCGCCTCAGTTTTCACTATAAACTATGCCATTGTCAATTTAGGATAATTTTTCAAAAATATTAACATATAAATATACCCCTATATCAAAAGTTCTGAAACTTCCAAGCTTGGTCAATATTAGCATGTAAAAGATGCCACATTTGAGTTGCCAAATCTTTTAAACTGATAATTCAAATCTTTTGAAATTTTTATAAGATGTTTAGCTAGGCCTAGTTCATCAATGAGAGAAAAACAAGAAAAATTAAACGACAGGTTTTTTTTAGGTGTATGGTGTTGGGTACCCCCTTAACGATTACCAAATATTTTGTTTGATATGGTTTTTCCTTGTTGTAATTTTTAAACAGGTGTTCATTATATTATATTGATTAGATTATTGTTTTTTTTATTTAATTAGTACTTGTTGGTAATGAGCTATTGCTTATGGTGTGTATTTCTTTGTCCACGATACTTATGTAGATGGTTTTTGTCCGTTGAACTACAAACCACCGAATGTAAATTACATATTTTTGTGTTCCCGTGTTGTTGATATATTCTCGAGCGAGTACTCGAGTATCGCTCGATAAAAGTAACGAGTACTTAATTAGAAATTGTTCACCGAGTTGACATCTCTACTATTATGTATTACTACATGTATATGATATAGCTTTTGTGTATTGATGAAGGGTATAAAGTGACTTATAGTAATGTTGTTTGCATCATATTCCTTTTCGGTCTTTGTTGGATAGTCGTCTCATTGGCAATTTTATCACATCTCTCCTTTTTTTGGATCAAAAGAAAATATTCATATTCGATAATTTTTTTCCGTTAAAAAAATCTTTACTATATAATTTTCGGTTTTGAAGTCAAAGGCAGGATCAATTTTTCCTGAATAAATTACACTACAGAGTCATTAAAATTACACTATATTTCAGCTTCATTTACAGGTATCTTCTTCGCGTTACCATAAATTAACGACGTATTTATAAACATAAAAGTCCTATATTCAATAAATAAAATCTGAGTGAATTAAAGAAAAAAAAGGTATAATGTAAAAGCTCAAATTGTAACCAAACGAATCGATATTCTTCCCCTGATAAAAAGGAAAAGGATACAATGATTTCACGACGCCAATATGGAATATATTTATTTCCTTAATCACTTAAATCAGTGTCATCCAATTAACATCGCATGATACGGAAGTATGAAATATAGTACATTGTATTAATTGGAAATGATATATGAGATATCATATTTCCTTGATATTGGACAGACAAAAACATGAGCGCTATGGAATTTAAAACATTTTTCGTGAAAGTGACATGTCTTTTGTTTTTGAGCAGGGAAATCTTATGTTTATTGAACAGAAAAGATCCGAATGTGTGTGAAATATATGCTTCTGGGGGGTAAGTATTTTTTCTCTCTTTTTTCTTATTCGATTCAAAGCAACGTCGTCAGTAATTATCCCCAGCTTCAATAAGTTTATTTTTCTACAAAAACAAATGTCTGTAAGGAATTTCTACTATCTTAAATCTTAAATTTAGTTTTATTATAAGTATCAGTTAATTGTCATTTGTAGCAGTATTTTAGTTATTTGTACAAGGCCAACTGTAAACCGCTTTGCGATTCTGATAGTATGAGAAGATCATCAGCAATCCTAAGACTACTGATTAATGTTTGATAAAAGGCAATCGCTTGGTAAAAAATCGCACTTGCAATCAAAACGCTGAATTTTCTGACCAGTTATGACTTTCGTTCGGACTAGTTATTGCACATAGATATTGTCATGGAATATAAGCTGCTTTATAATTAGTAGTAGTTCAAAAGGAAGAAATATTCTGTAATATTGTTCAAACCGAAAGAAATTTTACAGTATTTGTTCCTGGCAGAATAAAAGATATAGAATAAAATTGAGAATGGAAATGGGGAATGTGTCAAAGAGACAACAACCCGACCACAGAACAGACAACAGCAGAAGGCCACCAACAGGTCTTCAATGCAGCGAGAAATTCCCGCACCCGGAGGCGTCCTTCAGCTGGCCCCTAAACAAATATATATACTAGTTCAGTGATAATGAACGCCATACTAAACTCCAAATTGTACACAAGAAACTAAAATTAAAAATAATACAAGACTAACAAAGGCTAGAGGCTCCTGACTTGGGACAGGCGCAAAAATGCGGCGGGGTTAAACATGTTTATGAGATCTCAACCCTCCTCCTATACCTCTAGCCAATGTAGAAAAGTAAACGCATAACAATACGCACATTAAAATTCAGTTCAAGAGAAGTCCGAGTCTGATGTCAGAAGATGTAACCAAAGAAAATAAACAAAATGACAATAATACATAAATAACAACAGACTACTAGCAGTTAACTGACATGCCAGCTCCAGACTTCAATTAAACTGATTGAAAGATTATGTCTTCATCATATGAATATCAGGCACAATCCTTCCCGTTAGGGGTTTAGTATCATACCATCATAACATATATGAGAAGAACATAACCCGTGTCATGCCAACAACTGGTTTTTAAATAAATGTGTTTAGTGCCGATGCAAAGATCCTATAAGTGAATCAATATTAACGCCAAAATATGCAATCTTTAATGACCTGACAACAGTATCGTAACTATATCCCTTCTTAATAAGTCTATTTAAAGGTTTTGTTAGTTTCAGAGGTGAATACTGACATTTTTGTGCTTTATAAAGAATATTTCCATAAAAAATTGGATGTGAAATACCTGAACGTATAAGAAGTCTGCATGTTGAGCTATATTTACGAATGATGTCCTTATACCGATGATAAAATTTAGTAAATGTTTTGACTAGTTTGTGATATCGAAAACCCTGGTGTAATAATTTTTCAGTAATACATAAATTTCTCTCGTTAAAATCTAAAACATTGTTACATACACGAGCGAATCGTACAAGTTGAGATATATAAACACCGTAAGATGGTGACAAGGGAACGTCACCATCTAAAAATGGATAATTAACGATAGGAAATGAAAAATCATCTCTTTTATCATATATTTTAGTATTAAGCTTTCCGTTAATGATATAGATATCAAGATCGAGGAAAAGGCAGTGGTCATTGTTAGTATTAGCTTTATTTAAAGTAAGTTCAACAGGATAAATTTCTTTAGTATACATACTGAAGTCGTCATTATTGAGAGCCAAAATATCATCCAAATATCTAAAAGTATTATTAAATTTGTGTATCAGATGTTGTTTCGATGGGTCTTTACTGATTTTTGTCATAAATTGTAACTCATAGCAATGTTTGTATCAACAGGAACAGATATTCAAGCATTGTATATATAACACATAAGTTGCTAATATCGGTTAATGTAGTAAATTCGTTAACTACTCGAGTTACATTTTCAAAAAAGAAGTCTTATATATATCAAAAAACGATTTAATGAGAGATAAAAATATGGACGAAAAATCTACTTAAAGCAGGCCCATTACTACTAGTACATGATTTCCAAATATGTGCCAGTTTTTTTTAATTTGCTTGTTAAAGTTATTAACAGTAATCCTGATGGTAGCTAGACTGGCTTTTTGTCTTTTCGTGATTTTTGTTTGTTGTCACTTTGACACATATTTATACTTTACATAGACAATTTAAATCTGGCGGTAAAAAATAAACCAAAATACATTTTTAACTTCTTCCGCCCGGTAGTATAAATCTTAAGACGACGTTTCTTTGCTTGTGTTGGATGTATAAATAGACAGCCACGTCCGATCGATTGGGGAAGTTAAATCCCACGCCTCATGTAGGGAGAGTATCACACCCTCGGCCCAAAAATATCCTTTGAAACACTTTTCTGAGGCTCTCTAGGTTGTCTGTAGCAAAGTACGATTTCTGCTATATCCGAACTGCATACCCTCACTTGCAAGTGGCAGTCAAAAATTTCTGTCCTTCATCCCCATCGACCTACATTTCAGAACCAACCCGAGGCAACTTAGTAATTGTTAATTTGTTCTCGTCCTGAATATATTTGAAATAACTGTAACTGGCTCAATGAAACATGCAACAATCAATCAATTAATCAACATTAACTTTGTTTTGTGTACATTTCTTGTCAGTTTCTGTGAGCTGATTTTGTTAACATGAAATTTTTGTATTATTTGAATATCAAATCACACATGTGTTGTTAGTTTTTAAAATGAGTCATTTCCAGACTTCACCAGAGTAATGAAATCAAAACATTTGACTTCTACGAGGGTCTGGATAGGGGGTACTTCATTTCCTGTGTATGCTGTGCAATAGTCAAATAGATAAACAATACTTGAACTTTTTAAGAAGAAACATCATGGGTAAACACTAATGGCTCTCTATCTATATTGGGGAAGTATTTGGTGATGAACGTTTCATAAATAAAAATATATCAAATCTGTTTAAGTAATACCGTATAGCGGGTTTATTTTGCGGGTGTAAAATTTCGCGATTAAGGGGCTACAAAGTATACGAAAAAATTTTGCGGTTTTAATTTTGGCGGATTCTTAATTCCCAATTAAATATTTTGGCGAACACTGAAATACTGTGAAATATTAATATAAGCGTCTCAAATTTGCCTGTCTCGTGCTATTTTTGCTAGTTGAAGTTCGTCTTTGAACAAGAAAATCAAACTGCGAGCAAATAACCTTAATATCATTCAATAAAACAAGTTTCTATTGCCGACATGGAAAAAAAAGATAGATCGTTCACAAATCTCTTACGGTATTACAAAGTACCGAATTGAATGAACGTTTGCATACATTTTCACGGAATTTATTTTCCGTGATTTTTATTTATCTACCAAATTAAGCAAAAAAGCAAAAAAAAAAAAATACCCCGCGAAAATACCACGCTATGCGATAATTGTTTCGTTAAGTTAAACGTTCTTCCAATTCTTTGCAATATACAAATGTGCACGTGACTAAAGAATTACGGTTGCTTAATTTGTTTGAATTTTCTTTTCTTGGGTACTAGTATATTTGTTCCCTCCTTTTGAATATCAGAAATGTCTATCTCCATTCAACCTCTTAATATATATTGGAAGGGTCTTGTTTTTTAATTTAGTGATGACATCTCGGAAGCATATACAGTGGAATGCTGTCTCAATTACTATGAAGAGGACGACATCTGCAAACGTATGTATTTTGTGCTTCTAAGTTTATATATCAGCATACTTAATTTAGATTATGTTAGTGTATTTATTTTTTATTATTTTATTTTTGAACAATGCAGCGTAATCTCACATAGATAAATATTCATATACACATGATTTGATTATTTGGTGTTATAATTGCATGCGTTTGATGTGTTTGAGTTTTTGATCTTGTCTTTTTATAAAGGAATTTCTTTGGAGTTCGGTGTTTTTGTTATTTTACTTTTTGCAGATCTTTGAAAGCTACTTTTTGATAGCTACTTTGCAACGCAATTTTTTGGAAGGACTAATAGTCCGATACTTACTGGCCTGATAAAGAATGGTATGTGTAAGCCTCCAGATGTTGTTGGGTTGCGGTCTAATTGACATTTACACTACGCCTTTTTATATTCATGACGATCTTCATCCTTTATGGGATACTGATTTTTTTCACAAAATTAAGGTATTGTTCATAATAATATGCTCATTCTAATTTGCCCTAGATTTTAATAACGCATTCTTAGACATTTGTTTCAGCCTGTAGACCCGGAAAGTTTGGACGTCAATGTTCGGAAACATGCATATATGGATATTTCGGCATTCAGTGTAAAGGTGTATGTAACTGTACCCGACATGAAGGTTGTTATCCGGTGGAAGGGTGTAAATGTATAGACTTCACGGGGAAAAACTGTAAATATAGTAAGCTTAACCGTTATTTACAAAGTTAAATCTATTTGGGAATTTTGGTTTTTTATTATTTTTATTTTTATATACCTCACATGTAAAACGTAATAGAGCAGATACTGAGAGATAAATATTCTGTCGTTAGATTATATGTATGACCATAGTAATAACATTCCTCTTTCAATTTCTACAAAATATGCTTGAAACTTCATCAACCTTAGTTTTAAAATATTAAGTGAGTACCACTTTTTATTTAAAGAAATCAATGTGTCAAATGTCATGTAGCTTTTGCTTTTTGAGATTTATAATATTAAATGAATGTAAACAATTCGTACCATTTCTTAGTATTCGCACTTTTTGCGAATACCATGTGTTAAAATTTCAGATAGTTTTGCATTCAAAGTTGCATGTTAAACACAAACTATAACTCGTGTGAGAATGAATTGACAATTCATGAATAATGATTCTTTTTCCCTGGTTAAAATAGCATGTCCAGAAGGATATTACGGAGAAAACTGTGTAAATGTCTGCCATTGTTTACGTGGAATAAGTTGTGACTCTGTAACAGGAAGTTGCCTCTGTCCTGCTGGATTAACGGGTCCTACATGTTCCACAAGTAAGTTGCAAAGCCTTCATCCCTATCGATTACTATACAAGTACAATTATAGGACTTACTCTTGGTTAAGATAGCCTGCCAAATACCTGTTTACTCAATGTCACTTTCTGTTGACTGCTACAAACGTCACATGTTTAATGTGATGTAATGGCGCATGGAACACCACTATATGAGAAGAAATAAAAAGATCATAAGCTCCCCCCCCCCCCCCCCAAAAAAAAAAACAAGAAAAAAAAAATAAGAAAAAAATAAATAAAAACAATTAGGCAGACAAAAATAACGGTCATAAGAAATTATGCAACAGACAAACTGCAGTGCATCGAGCATAACCCATAAATACACCGAGCAACACACAACTCACCTTTAATCGTTTGGATCTTATGTGCTGAGGAAGGACCATCAGATTCTTAGGGTTTCAATATTATCACTCGTCGTATATATATTTTGCTCATTTATAGAAAAGTCATAAAAGATAAAAGCAGAGGGGGACAAATTAAGCATTAATATATGTCTGCAACAAGATATTTCGAAAATGTCTCTTTTTATCTAAAGCAGCAGGATGAATACCCAGGTGACTATTTCTGACGGAAGTAAACTTTGGAGTGCTGAATGCAAAACCAAATGAAATAGTCTTTAAGGTTAAACAACCTGGTTCAAATAAAGAATCACTATTATAACAAACAAAAAAAGGGCAAAACAATTTATTATTAATACGTGGTAAACTACAAACTGTCGTGTTCATTACAAACAGACCCAGTAAGCGTCATTCATTTTTATACCAACGCAACACAAGTTCTTAGGGGTTATATGAATCATGATGTCCGTCAGTCGTCAGTCTGTTTGTCTGTTCATGTGTCTTGTTATCGCAACATTTCGTAGTCCGTGTGTCTGTCCATATGACTTGTAAGCGCAGCTTCTCCTATCACACTTAATCAATAATAATGAAATTTTACACAGTTGTTGAACACTATGTAAACTTGTCGATACATCAATTTTTAATTGATTTAATTTTTTTATTCAATAAATGTTATAAAATGATATAAGAATTGAATTCATAATTTGTGTCTATTTCAGAATGTTCTAAGGGCATTTATGGAGAAAATTGCTCTTTCAATTGTTCTTGTCCAACTTATTCTGTCTGTGACAGTGTAAGTGGTAATTGTTCATGCAGTCCTGGTTTTACAGGTGAAACCTGCGCCAAAAGTGAGTACATGTATAACATTTTCTCCAAGAGTGGTCGATTGAAACAGTGGTGTCTTGAACGTGTGATAAGATTTTGTGTTGGGAAAGATAGGTTTCGATATGACGTAGTTTGAGTTTGAGTTATTTTCCTTGGTCGCCATTTCGGAGCTGTAAATGGTTAATTTTTTTATTTGACTTACCAAATCGAAACATGAAGTATAACCAAATCCGATAAGTGATTCCTTCTAAATCGCAGTGATGAATCAAGCAAGACAAAAACAAAAAATTGAAACTGATAAGAAAAAATCTTTTTCTAAAGCCTTATAACTGACTTATGAATGAATTTGTGCAAACAGACTTCTAATAAGGCATTTTATGACCATACCTCCGTATTTACAGAAATGAGTTATGCAGTATGTGTTAATAAATTAATGCTTTCAGAAGGCGAATATTCTGTATAAATTAAATAATTGTGTTTTGACTTTTGAAGATTAAACTTGCTATTGCTTTAAATAACCTAATGCTCTATGTCAATACCAACCTATAGTCTTACAAAATAGGAGCATTCATAAACTTATGTAAATTGTAGGATGTCCCAGTGATTTTTTTGGACAGAACTGTTCTCAAAGATGTCAATGTGTAAATGGTCTGTCATGCCATCCAGTTCATGGAACGTGCCGATGCCAAAACGGTACCCACGATTGCGACAAACCGAATCTTAGTAGCAGGTAATATTTCTCTCAAATACAGAATTTGTTCCGTCGATCGTAAAACAAGGAAGTAAGCAATACTTAATGACGAGAATGAGAAAACAGAACTAAGAAGACATTAACGCCTGTATACACGTAATTGAATATTTAAGCATTTACGCCAATGTATAACATAAGTCTAGAACGACAACATTTCTTGATGAATTTAACTAAACTTTTGGTATATTATGCTTGTGAAATGTTAGGACTCTTATTTTAACGTACAATCCCGAATATTCTGTAATTCTGAATTATAATTTGATATAAAATAAAGAGCAATGATATGATGGCAAATGAGACAACTATCCAACAGAGTCCAAATGACATAGGTTTTAGTAAGTATAGGTCACCATACGACCTTCAACAATGAGCAAAACCTATACCATATAGTCAGCTACAAGACACCGACATGATAAAATGTGAAACAAAAAAAAACACAACAGCCTGGTGTATGACAAACAATGGAAAATAAACAAGTACAACATACAGCAACCAACGACAACCACAGAAGTATGCTCCTGACTTGGTACGGGCTTATATATAGAACGTAGCGGTGGAAAGAATGTCTCGGAGCTCTTACCCTCCACTTACCTCGGACAGTGGCGTAACAGCACAATATAAGAACAAACTTTTTAATTTGTTTCATATGTCGCTGTGTATTGTTTACAAAATGCAATAAAAAGAGGTTACTGTAGTTAACCGATGTTCAAAACACTCAAATCCAATTTGAACATACAAACCAAGATAACAATAAACGGATTTAACTGCATGAAATTCACCATAAACCAGACAAAATGCACCGACAGGGTTAGCGTGGCACACGCTATGTATGCATGCCATGCATATCCAGACTTAGTAAAATGACACGATAATGAATAGGAAATTATCGTTAAATTTAAAGATCAGACGAACGTTTTGATTGTTAAAGAACTTAGACCAGGGAAAACACATACCTTGTTGTTTGAATGAATTGATTGATTATTGTTTGCTCTACGTCAAGTGGCAAACATTACGTGCATGTTTAGGAAGAGAACAAATTGATAATAAATACAGTAGGTGAGCCCTCAAATTATAGGTGGAACATTCGGAATGTCACGAGAAAAGCAGGGTATATTTGATAGGACAGAAAAAAAAAATGAAAACATCACGTAATGAATTCCATGCTTCCGAAGCGCTTTTCTGGATTACCCTTCATCATGAACGCTCAAAACCAAACTGTATCCTTGCAACAGGACACTTATTGATACCGCAAAAGAGTTATTCTATACACGAGGCATCGGATTTGACACAATGATCAAACCCATACGCATATCAAGCTAAAGTAGACTCGACTTGACAAATGTAAAATAATTCAAACGAGAAAACGATTAATGCACTAAACAATAAACGAAAGAGAAATATAATTAAAAACCAATTGTTCGTCTTTCCACCCGAAACGATATATTTGATATGAAAATCATAAAATTTAGTTTAACAAGTCATTCTCAGGGTCAAATGATTGCTTATTGTATACTGATTCCAAAAATATATGGTTTCTATACACTTTTGTTTGAAATAAGGGAGATAATTAGTTACTTCCGGTTTTAAAAATGTCACTTCCGGTATTATTTGATAGTTTACTTGACACTGATTCCAAATATATATGGTTCTATATACTTTTACATTAAATAAGTACAAAAATGAGCTACTTCCTGTTTACACAAGGTCACTTCCGTTGGTTTTTTTCAGGGTCATATGGCTTGCAACCTTATGCACAAAGTGCCATGGCTTTATCATGTATACCAATGAAGTTAAAGCAAAGGTCGAAATCTAGAACGTCCAATTTACCTATGGCCTTGACCTCAATTTCAAGGTCATTAACCAAGGACCTCAAATCAAAAGATCCTAGGTCTTTATTATATATGGTTAATGAGTTATATCATCATACGCATTATATTAAATATAAGAGGGGATAAACTCTCATCAAATGTCAACGTACCTTTTCAACCAAAATTTAATTGTTACGACATGTCGCGACTAACAATTTAGTAAAAATATGTTGTCGTTATCTAATGCAGTTTTTGAAAAGTGAAAATAAGCCAAAATCAAAATTTAGAATATGACCTTGACCTTTGACATTGATCGTATTTTTCTTTTTTTTTGGACCAAGAACCTTAAATCCAAAGACTCTAGGTCTCTATCACTTATGATTTACCAGTTACTAATGCATATCACTTATATCAAATGCATAAGGGGAAATAACTCTCAAATGGAGTCTTCGGATAGCTTCGGTCCAAATGATCATCCTAATCCTGAATATATAACGAGCAATTTGGTAAAACAAATTTGTCGTATTCTTATACGGTTGCGAAGGAGTAGTTGACACAAGAAAAACAGTGTTTGGGGAGATAACTCTTACACAGAAAGTGTTCCGTTAAGCGGTGTCAGTTTTAAAAGCGTATACACTGTTCCATATCATATACCAAATTTCTAAGCGACATCTTATGAAACAACAATACTGCGCAAGAAAAAAAATTTGGCGGAAGAAAAAAAAAAAAATAATAATTGAAAAACCAATTGTTCAGAGAACAATTGAAGGTCTTTTCACTTCTTACGATTTATTTTGATATGTAAATATTAAAATTTGGTTTAAATTGTCAATTCCAGTGTCAAATGATAGCTCATTGTTTGCTGATTCAAAAAATATATGGTTTCTATACAATTTTGTTTGAAATAAGGGAGGCATTTTTTTACTTCCGGTCTGTAAAATGTCACTTCCAGTATTATTTGATAGTTTATTTGAAACTGTTTCAAAAATATATTGTTCTATATACTTTTACATGAAATAAGTACAAAAAATTGCCACTTCCGGTTCACACATGGTCACTTCCGGTTTGCTTTTTGAAAGTCATATAGCTTGTAACCTAATACACAAAGTTCTATCACTTAATGGTGTACAAATATGAATTTAAAGCAAAAGTCAAAATCTAGAACGTCAAATTTACCTATGACCTTGACCTAAATTTGAACGTCATAAAAGAAGGACCTCAAATCAAAAGACCCTAAGTCTTTAATATGTATGGTTAATGAGTTATATCACTATACGCATAATTCTATAAGAGGGGCGAAAACTCCCAATTAATGTCTACGAACCCTTTCAACCAAAATTTATGAGTTACGACATGTCACAAATGAATTTAATAAAAATATGTTGTCTATATCTTGTACGGTTTATGAAAAGAAGTGAGAATAAGCCAAAATCAAAATTTAGAATATGACTTTAAACTGTGACCTTGATCTATTTTTTTTCTGGACAAAGGACCTCAAATCATAAGACCCTTGGTCTCTATCACTTATGGTTTGCCAGTTACAAATGCAAATCACTTATATCAAATGCATAAGGGGAAATAACTCTCATATGGAGTCTTTGTATAGCATCGGTCCAAATGATCATCCTAATCCTGAAGATATAACGAGCAATTTGGTAAAATAAATTTGTCATAATCTTTTACGGTTGCGAAGGAGTAGTGGCCACAAGAAAAACAGTGTTTGGGTAGATAACTCTTACAACGTAAGGTATTTGGTTACGCAGTTGTCAGTTTTAAAAGCGTATAAACTATACGATATCATATTCTAAATATCTAAGCGACATCTTATGAAACAACAAAACTACGCAAGAAGAAAAATTAGGCGGAAGAAAAAAAATAATAATAATAATCAGAACAAAATCAATAGGTCTTTCCACGGAAAAGTGGAAAGACCTAATAATAATCAGAACAACATCAATAGGTCTTTCCACGGAAAAGAGGAAAGACTTAATAGTCAGAACAAAAGCAAAAGATCTTTCCACGGAAAAGTGGAAAGACCTTATAATAATAATCAGAACAAAAGCAAAAGGTCTTTCCACGGAAAAGTGGAAAGATCTAATAATCAGAACAAAATCAATAGGTCTTTCCACGGAAAAGTGGAAAGACCTAATAACAGCAACACACATTAATCACTTAACTCATATCTGTTCCGTAAGTCTATAAGACGCACATAGCATTTCATCTGAGATATATAAAGGCCTTTCTATAAGATAGATATGTAACTATTTAACAACAGAAAAACTGAAATTGCTATAATTGGTATATATATATATATATATATATATATATACTTGTTTTAAGCCGTTCATCATTCATGTAAATAAAAAGTTCTGTAAATTTGAAGCAGACCATTTTGTTTCGGTAGTATCCTTAATATTAAGTTCACTTAAAAGTGGAGATGCAAGCCCTCGATAAAATAATGGATATGGAGTAACAGGATATCATCATTATATCTGGATTCGTTATTGTACAAAAAACAGGGCAAGACATATTGTCTTTTGTTGATTAGAGAGTTTTGTATAATTTTTGGAAAGGATAAAAAAGATGGTAATTGATTTAGATACAAACTTTGTACCCCAAAAAATATTGTATAGCAGTTTTCCGCTGATTATAGATTTGTCCATTTTATTTTGTAATCTGAAAATGTGAATGAACTTATTAAAAACTGGTAAAAAGTGATATAATATATTAAACATTTGGTGTAAAACCGCAAATGACAATTTGAATAATTAATATGTGCTTTGTTAGAAATATATCCATATTGGCGGAACCGATTAATTTAAATAAAGAGCTTTTTTTTATATCAATATCAAAAGGTTATACAATGTCTAATGAAAATGCTTTTAATCTAAGTTTTTTGTAAAATTTTCACATATCAAACAATACTTTTTCAATAACATATATTTCCTGAACCGGAAAATATTATCATTGTACAATTATCACAATTAATCACAATTGACCTCAGTTTTATTCACTTCCTTTTCATAAATATAAATTGAATATTACTCTCAGTATAGATGATTTGTTTCTAGCATTATATATAAATGACAGGAAACGACAGGGATACACCACTTGATGAGAAAGCAATGCAAAACATATAACAGTACACATAAATAAATGATTAATAAATGAATGTAAAGCATAAATGAATTAATAATTTATGCAACTTAAAATGAACGATTTAAAGTTACATATAATTATGTTCAAGATACGTGCACTGCTGACATTTAAATTATTAGTAATTGCTTTATCACTGAAGAGACATTTTTGTCGAAATGCGCATCTGCTGCAGCAAAATTGGTACCGTTAATCTTATTATAAGAAATTACCGTTGACCATTATTATACAATAAAAAATTCTGGGCATTGGACCTGCGTTGATGAGGTCTTTAGGACACGGTAAAGTACCTTCTATAATTTCAGAAAGAATAAACATATTTCTTCAAGGTAGCATGACTAATGAACAGTTCATTTTTAGCACTAGGTAGATGGTCACCAAAGGTATCACCAGCTCATAAGTCAGTGCTTTGGTACTTTAATTCCCCGTTGATAAATTGTGACATTATTAATAACTCTAGGTTCCAACTTTCCAACTGAGGGAAAATTTACCTTAGGTGTAATCTTTTAAATTTCTCTTTGACCGTATAGCTCCTCAAAATCCTTGTTAAAATATAGTGTTCGAAAGACATTTACTAGGACAACATCATATCGTCTTTCTTTAACTGTTATGCTGGATATTAGGAAAAGAAAATGGCAGTAATTTAATTAATTACATGAAGATCGGTAAAAGAAGTGAAAGCTAGTAAATGTGATGAATAGAAACAGTTAGTATGTTTTATTAATTTTCTATTTCACCAAAAAATTGATAAATAATGCATTGAAAAATGTTGGTTTTACTGTTGATATTTTTTTCCTTTCACCTTTGATTATAAGAATAAACATTTTCTTTACAGAAGTTCTATCACACTTGTAATAGCAATATCATGTTCTGGAGGATCTTTGATAATTGTTTGCTCAATTATCCTAACTGTCTGTTTTTTAAAGAGGAAGCATGCTAAAAAAAGTGTTAAAACACAATCAGGGAGACCGTTACCTGACATTTATCATTATGATGAAATAAATCCTTACGACGAAATTCCTCTGGAAGACTTGCCAGTAGCTTCAGATATTTCTGATATTGCACCATTACAAGTCCGTAGATTATCTTTACCACATGCAAATGGACAAATGAATAATCGCACACGTAACGAGGAGAGCAGAGGATATATATCTCTTCCAAATTTAAGGAACGACAGAACATATTTCACTCCTTACAATTCTTTGCAATCTGTTATAATTCATTTGAGAAACAATTCGACTGAACAATCTTTGCGACGAGTAGGTAGTGAACATAGTGGATATGTACATCCATACCATGCACTCCGTTTTCCGTTTGATCGTCAAAAATACACAAGCTTTAAAAAAAGAGATAGTGTATAGAATGTCATATGAAGAAATAGGAGGTTCGGTTGGAGTCATTGAAATCTCTTAAAAGAAAAATATAGTTTTTGCCTGAGGCTGATACAAAGGTCGATTGATGCATGCACACTAGGAGACGATCAATACACCGAGACACATAACAACGCTGCATTAGGAGTCCATGCGATATCCTCAGATTGCTTACTGAAATTGTAAATTCTATACTGATTTTCGATATTTGAACATAGGGTAACATCTTTTTCCTCTTATTTGCGTAAGTTAAGTAGTAGAATATACGGTGCGGAAGCATGTAAGCAAAAGGCAAGGTCTTCATGCATCATCCGCAACGATCAAGACAACATGTCTTTTTTGATAACTGAGATACGATCCATCATATATTTTAGACCATTCCTTCCGGTAAATCTAAATTTAATATCCGGTAGGCCTTTTCCTAAGACTTATAAGTACAGTTCTCCTGATTAATGTTTGGTTGTCTTGGCTGTAATTGAATCATGGCCTATATTTATTTTGCAAGATAGTAAGGGTAATCGTACCAATGTTGTGATTAGATCTCTGAATATAGTTTACATTGGCACTAATATCGATTCTGTCATTAGCAAATTAAAACATAACTAAATTTGTATTTTCTTTTCAAACGGGATGTATAGAGACACTCACACGTTCATTTTTATCTATAAAGAAGTCACTCCTACCGATTTTGTCATTAGCAAATTAAAACATAACTAAATTTGTATTTTCTTTTCAAACGGGATGTATAGAGACACACACACGTTCATTTTTATCTATAAAGAAGTCACTCCTAACTATCCTACTACCTGTCGATACATTTATTTTTGGCATTGCACAAGTAATGTCTTCTTTGACTGTTCATGACGTTAAAATACTAAATCCCTGGGATGTATTTTAGTGGATTTTAGTCTCTGATGCATGATTTTTTTATTATTAATTGTTTTGGCTTTTAACTAGCTGTCAGTAACTGCGAGTACTCTCAAATCGTACTTTCTTTTTAATTTGACCTGTTGATACTATTTGTAATGCTTTTTTGTTATTTAATGTTAACATGGATCTTGTCTATATACCAGCTTTGATTATTTGGTATTTAATTACTACAAATTTTCACTTCTTCGTACTATGAACATCAAAATTATTTCATTTTTCCTTAGATGCTGTTCTTGGACCTGTACAGGAAGTTTTATTTAGCACTAATTGTATATTTTTATTGTTGATATTCACCCCATATGTACCAAGTGTTAGATTAGTTTTATTGATATTAAAGAAATTTCTTGGTATTCCTAAACGGAAGATTTTAAACACACAGAAGAAGAAGTATACTTAACAACAAAATTATTTTCATTTACCTGTGTATAATATGACGCAGGTTTCTTCAAAAGTGATGATTTTCTATAAATTGTTTGAAATTTCACAGTGATATCATACTTTAACTTTGTTTAAACCTGTTTATTTACTTTTGACTTTAATTATTTATCACTTGTAATTTTTTATTAACTGTGTATTTGCATTCAGGTGTCACAGGTCAAATTTATTCGTTCATTGTGTGTTAATTTACGTTTTTTGATTGAGTTAAGCCTTCCAATTGATATTTTAAAGTGTGTTTTTCTATGTTGTGATGTTATACTATTGGTTCAGAAAAGGGAGAAGGTTTGGTACCATTAAAACGTTTAATCCCGCTGCAAATGTTTGCACATGTCCTAAGTCAGGAATCTGATTATAGTAGTTGTCGTCTGTTTATGTAGTTCATACGTGTTTCTCGTTTCTCGTTTTTATATAGATTAGACCGTTGGTTTTTCCGTTTGAATGTTTTAACACTAGTAATTTTTTGGGGCCCTTTATAGCTTGCTGTTCGGTGTGAGCCAATGCTCCGTGTTGAAGGCCGTACCTTGACCTATAATGGTTTCTTTTATAAATTGTAACTTGGATGGAGAGTTGTCTCATTGGCACTCATACCACATCTTCCTATATCTATGTATTTAAAGGGTCGAATATAAGCAGACAAGTCTTAATACAAAATAACTGGATACAGACATGAATGTAATGGTCTACATACGTCTTCCAAAATTGTTTTCATATTTTGGCAAACTGGAGGTTTTATAGTGATATATATGGAACTTGGCAACAATACGATGAAATAATGTTGGTATCAACTACGTTGTATTGTAGACAGGGTTTCCACTGGCGGCCGTTTTTGCGGAACAATTGATATTAAGATAAATTAAGGGTAAATTTATAGGAATTATACAAGGGGAAAACTTTAACTGTAAAATCATGATGTCATTGAACTCGCAATCTAGATACAACATAATTAAAAAAAAAAAATCAGTAAAATCTATTAGAATAAATGATATGAGAAAATTTCACTTTTCATCAAATTCTGTAGTTTAATGATATGATGATATCGGATATGTTCCTTATGTCGTAACTACAATACCCTTCCCTTTTCACGAATGTGACCTACCGAATTATACTATTTACCGGATTTGTAATAACATAAGCAACACGACGGGTGCCACATGTGGAGCAGGATCTGCTCACCCTTCCGGAGCACCTGAGATCACCCCCAGTTTTTGGTGGGGTTCGTGTTGCTTAGTCTTTAGTTGTCTATGTTGTGTCATCTGTACTATTATTTGTCTATTTGTCTTTATATTTTTGGCCATGGCGTTGTCAGTTTGTTTTCGATCTATGAGTTTGACTGTCTCTCTGGTATCTCCCCCCCCCCCGATGATCACCTCCAAGAGTAGCTCCGTCAACTGGCCAAGTCAACTTTACTTTCAAATCATTGTAGGATTATTGTACCTTTATTCAGAAGTTACACCGGTCGATGTTATGCAAAAAAAAAAAAGAAAAAAAAAGGTGGCAAAATTTTATCAGATGCAGAATTTACTTAAAGCATCATTATGCATTCAAAGCAAACAGTAATGCACTTCAAAACTAAAACAAAATCCCTAAAAAATTCAGAACAATATTTATGGGGATACCTTTTAAAGTTTTATTTACTACGAAATAGCACTCAATCAATTGAATGAGAAAGTGCAGTAGTAGTGTTTCAAAAAGATTAAAAAAATATGCGTCATACGAAAATTAAGTGGGTTCCTAACAGAATTTATTCGATTCTCATAGGTCTTTTTTAAAATTTTGTTTTTATGGTTAATGTTATTTGCAGAATATTAGCTAACCTTACATTAAATATTTTCTGCTTCATGTGGCTGTTATTTTTCATTGAAACATTAGTTATGCCTTTAATGTAATGGTCAGTGCATGATATGATTGGACGCTAAATATACGTGAATTGTTCACATTCCCATATCCGAACCTAATTTAAATCTGATCATGACTTTAGTGTATTTCTTTTTTCGATCACTGATTGTCATGTAGTTGTAAGAATTAACACATTAACCTGTACATTTTTACAGTATGCCATATTGTTTAAATATACATATGAAAATTATATGTTGTTTGTGTTTTTTATATTGCTCTTTTGTATGGTATTTGTTGACATATAAATTACGTCACCTATTGTGAATATTTTGTTCATGTATATTTTTAATTTCATTTGGGGAAAGCATGATCAGCAGCTAATATTTCCCTTGCGCTCTATGCAATAAAAGGTCAAAAACCATTGGAAAAAGATGAATAAATAAATCTGTCTAAAGGTTTTGAACTAAAAAATAAGAAGATGTGGTATGCTTGCCAATGAGACAACTCTCCACAAGAGACCACATGACACAGAAATTAACAACTATAGGTCACCGTACGGCCTTCAACAATGAGCAAAACCCATACCGCATAGTCAGCTATTAAAGTCCCCGAAATGACAAATGTAAAACAATTCAAACGAGAAAACTAACGGCTTAATTTATGTACAAAACAATGAACGAAAAACAACTATGATATACAGCAACAAACGACAACTGCTGAACTACAGACTCCTGACTTTGGACAGGCACATACAGATTGCGGCGGAATTGAACTTGTTTAAAAAAAAAAAAAATGAAAACAACAGATTATAAATGTCATGCGTCCGAAGCGCTATCCTGGATTTACCTTCATCAGGAATGCTCAAAGTCAAATATTTGAAAGTCAAAGATGTAAAAGAACCGAAACAGTTGAGGAGCTATATGACCAAAAAGGACATAAAATAGTAGCCAAATCCATCTCAGGTAAACTTTGCATGAGGGCGTTATAACCTTAGTTTCTTTATAATTTCAAAATTTATTCGCGAAAAATTGTTGCAAGGTTTGTTACAAATCATGTCAGTACATAAAGTACTGACTACTGAGCTGGTTATATCCTCGGGGACTGATGTGGGACCGAAAAAACATGAGTATGAGGTATTTCAATATTACCCAACACACAAGACCGTAAGCTCACTCTCTATCACGTTTATTTGGTAATGAAACAACCACATAAGTTATACATGTATCAGCGCGTAATGACATCTACATAAAATTCATAAAAAGAAAGTAAATTTTCAAATGGAAAAACGTTCAAAGACAAAGGACGTATTTTTGTTAAACCGAAAATTGTGGTTACAACTACAGATTACTTTGTGATCGTTTTATGGCCATTATTGCCCAACTCACAATTAGTGGCATAACAATCTTCCAACATATATTTAACACAAATGTAGAGGACAGGCGAAAGATACCAAAGGGGCATTCAAACTCATTAGTCGAAAACAAACTGCCAACGCCCTGTCAAAAAAAAGACAAGAACAACAGCATTAAAAACACAAAAATAAAAAAAAAATAATCAAACTACAGACTGAGCAACATGAACCCCATCAAAAACCGAGGATGATCTTAGGTCCTCCGGGAGAGTAAGGAAGGGGGAACAGATCCTGCTCCGCATGTGACAACCGTAGTGTTGATCGTGTGAGTAAAAACCCGTTGATGAGTCTAATTTGGCATTTCACATTCGTGGAAAAGGAGGTTGGTATTGTGTTTATGACGATTGGAACAAATCCGTTGTCATCTGTGAAACTGATATTCCGTAACGATCAACAAACTTGTGATGGGGTCCGTAAAATTTACGAAGGGATGGCTTCAACTTCACCACGTGGAACTCTTGGTTTAATAACTTCCTTGTGATCAACAGCCCTTTATCAAGGACATTTTGAAAGGGAACACGAGTCTAGGAATATGTATTAATTGGGAGATATATGCTTCTTATGCAGGCGTTGCTGGAATTTAACTACATAGAAATGAAAATCACAATTGGAAAGCTGAAATCATCTCTTTGTCGAATAGTTTTGTTCTCAACCCACCCTCATTGTCAATTTCCAGATGCAAGTCAAGATATGAGGCATAACTACCCAGCCACGTCCACTCTGTGTTTTTGTTAGATGTATTTTTATTTGTATCCATCTGATAAGTTAAGCTTTTTCAACTGATTTTTATAGTTTATTCTTATGTAGTACTGTTACACCACTGTCCCAGGTTAGGAGGAGGGTTGGCGCTTCAAACTAGTTTAACCCCGCCACATTCTGTATGTGCCTCTCCCAAGTCAGGAGCCTGTAATTAAGTGGTTGTCATTAGTTGCTGTGTAACATATTTGTTTTTCGTTCATTATTTTGTACATAAATTAGGCCGTTATTTTTCTCGTTTGAATTGTTTTACATTTGTCATTTCGGGACCTTTATAGCTATGTTGTATGGGCTTTGTTTATTATTGAAGGCCGTACGTTGACCCATAGTTGTTAATTTCTGAGTCATTTTGTCTCTTGGGGAGCGTTGTCTCATTGTGCCACATCTTCTTATTTTTATATTAACTGTATCTGATGTATCCTTTATTTGAAGTTCAAGTTAATTTATAATTTTTTGTCAGGTCAGGGATTTGTATATGTCACTATACGGTATGGGTTTTGCTCATTGTCGAGCATGTATATTGACCTATTGCTGGGTACACTTACGTCATTTGGTCGATAGTTGTCTCATTTGCAATCATATCACTCTTCTTTTGTATAATTGCAATGTTAATTAATTTTTGGCAAACATACATATTTAAAATGACCTATAGTATGACATAGCGAACCATTTTTCAAAATCAAAATGGCTGATGTCAGTCACAAGCGACAGTCATTTTCTAGATGGAAATTGAGATAAAGGAAGGACATTTTTGAATCAGTGTTATTCTTTATTGGGAGCTTTAATGAGACAAATTCGATCAATTAAGTCACTATACGTTAAACGATACAAATAAAGATTATAATGTTTATAACAGAACGTGAAAATAGAATATCATACTAGTGCCTTCTTAATCTTAATATAAAAGAGAGGGGAAAGATACAAAAGGGACATCCACACTCACACGTCGAAAATAATCTGACAACGCAATTGCAAAAAAACGAAAAACGACAAAAAGACAACCAGCAGTTCACAAAACACAACATAGAAGTCTAAAGACTAAGCAACATGAGCCCCACCAAAAATCGGGGGGAGAGGAAAGGATGGGGGGGGGGGGGGTCTCAGGTGCTCCGAAGGGTAAGCAGACCCTGCTCTCATATAGCACTTGTCGTGTTGCTCAACTCTAATGATGGAGGATTGATTTATATATAAAGGCACAAGTTGTCACGAAAAGAAACACAGTGGGTTCAGATAGGAATGCTGACTACCGGGAAACACGCCCACCAACCCTAATACCTATACACCAAGTTTAAAAATAATTTTGTAAACATTTTTTTGAAGCATGATTTCATGGATTTGTACTGCCTTTAACATGACACTAAGACCTACGTACTTAGTTCTTTGACATGAAGGGATTTTGATTTGGGATGGCGACCATAGATTTTGTGAAACAATATTCGTCTTTCTTTTTAATTTTGCATAACTGTGTTGCAGAAGTGCTTTTTTTTGAGGTGTCATAATGAATATTTAGTGTTAATTCGGTGGTCTCATATTTTACACACTGTAAAAATTCATCTTAAAATTGTTCATCTTACTGTTATTGAAACAATTGACAACACAGTTCGTTCATACAACACGTCAGATTGTTATTGTTCAAAAACTAATCACGTCTTATTCCACATACAAAGAGTCAGATTTGATTGATTTTGTTCAAAGTTTGGGTAGAAAAAAAATTTCAAAGACGAATTTACGTTTCTTAAACAGCTGATGAAAAGCTTGACAATCAGTGCATAGACTAGAAATGTTTCTAGAATTTTGTTGTTAGAACCCTCAAATTTGGATAAACATTCGGCTTAGCAAATCCTTAATCTGAATATCTAGTCATTAAATTCCAAAGTTGCCAAAATGTATTTTTTGCATGACTAACATACTGATTATGCTGCCTAAAAGGTGAATTATACAAAGTTAACATAATTTAAAAAAAGATCACAGTACTTTTAAAAATTTTCCCAGGTTGAAATACAAAACTGTTACAGCAACAACAACCATTAATAAAAAAAAAATGATTTTGGCAAAATAAGAAGTATAAACAAATTCATTATAGAAGAAGGGGTTATCCTAATTGATTAGGTAGTAAGACGAAAATTAATTAAAAACATATGTTAAACAATACTATCTGTTGAAGTCATGACTTATTCGAAAAGGGTTTTTAAAAACATTAAATCATGACAAACCTTTCACACTTGTTTACCTTGTACCTAATGTACTAATGTAGAATACATAATTCGAATACATTAGACTGTACTCTAATAGTTAGGTTAAGTGTTATTTCTTAATATATTACGAAAAGGTTAACCACAAATATATCATCACAAAATCAATAATTTGTTATTAATACCGATCTAAAAGTTTGTGCATTTAATATATATCCTACGAACCATATCATGTTTACGCGACATGTCTATTTAGAAGATTTCAAATTCTGCCTAGTCAGGGTAAATAAAGGTAAACATTTGTCGTCAAGACCGAAAAGCCACATTTAAATTTCTTTTTTAAAAACAAAGGTGTTCCACTTACGACAGTGAGTATGTAGTTTACGTATCTTGTGTGTCAGAATTGTAGAAATATTATTTCGTATATAAAAAGATTTCAGTAATATTATTTTGTTAGATTTATTACACAAGTTAGAAATAGGTAAATCAGGTTAAAGTTGATCATATTGCATTTCATATCGATAAACAAACTTTAAATTTAATACTAGTATATCTTTGTGCTTCAGTGAAGCGAATGTTTATTACGACTTTTAAAAAGTGTATGTGTAATTAGCGGCCGGTCCATTATTTGTTACTCAATATGCGATATAAAACAATGTTTGTTTCTGTTTTAATTTTAGTTGTTATTAAACTATTTTAATTCTTAGTATACTATGCTTGTGTATGTGTTACAAAATCTCAACCTCTCATATGTAGAAAAATTTCTTATTTCAAAATGATTTTTTTCTATGCTTTTGCATTTGAATTAAAATACCCAAACATATACGTTTTTCTCTTCGATTTTCTGTAATAGAAAAGAAGGCTACGGTGTCTTAATTCATGACACAAATTCCCTAATTGTCATTGACGAATGTGAAAGCAAAATACATTTGAAACAATTCACCTTTACATAGATACGAGAGCTATATACGATAATAAATTTTTACATTGTTAAAAAGGAAGTGTAAATAGAATTACCACCGGACCAACATTTACGAAAATAAGTTGAAGTGTAAAAAAATATACTTTTTGAAAATTTTATGATGTTATATAACCACATTGATGGACAGGTATTAGATTTCGCACATCGAATATTGAAGGGGGTTTTACTTCTGATATTGGCAAACTAACTTACTTAATAGTGTTTATTACTTCTCCGCTAAGCAAAAGTTACAATAAGTGGGATAAAAGGTATATAATGTTGTACGCACCACAATCACACAACTATATCAAACTGATGAGCATGTAATTGATGACATAAAATGTATATTAAATAGGCAGTACGGAACAAATATGTATTACTCAGTTTATAAATCAAATTAATCTAATTATGAATTCAATGAATAAAACTGATAGTAAAAAAAACTGGCTTACGATTGCATAGACCAAACGTTAAATAGTTTTTTTTTTCTAGATTCAAAAGATAGCAATAGAGTAACAGTAAAGTCACTCGATCATTATGCATCTCTTACAGATAGACATACTATAGATTAGTACTTTGTGTTTCCATGAACCGAAAACATTTCTTCATGTCCATTTTTTAATGTAGATACATGTTTTTTTTATAATATTTTATTTGGTAAAATAAATTGTGTGTGTGTGTGTGTTGATATGTCAAAAAATATCATCACACACACTAATTTATCGATGAAATACACTTAAATCAAAAGGCATTTTTCATATCATTCCATTTGAAATAAGAAGAACTAACGTATTTTTTAGCGAATAAGTGTAATTGAATTGAAAGCATATAGTGTATTTCTTCATGACTCAAATATCATACCTGTAACTTTGTACAACGTATGTCATATTTTACTTATCAGTTGTTCAATTTGCTTACTTATTTTAATAACGAATTCTGGCTGTATACAAATTTGAAGTTTTGTGAAACAATCTATTTTTATTTTTTGCTTTTCAATAAGAGAATCAAAATTTATATAGTTTATATTTTATTATTCAGAAACTAAACAAACGGATGAGACACAAGTTTTACAATTTAGTAATGTCTTATCCAGTACATACTTAATTTACAAATACATGAACATTAAATGAAATATACAATAAATATGAGGGTTTGGATGGGGGGGGGGGGGGGTCCTTCAGTTCTGTATTCTTCACTTTTTTAGGCCATTTTTCTCTATTCTTTATACTTTTTGCCCATTATTATCTATTCCGGAAACCCCTATCCACACCCTCATATATATATATATATATATATATATATATATATATATATATATCGCCAATGGCAGTCAGCAGGGTTTAAGAACATCCGTTGTTCGACCTGCTAGTCAAATGCGTTTTCTTAAAATATACTTTTTTACTTTTATGTTCTTTTGGAAAATGTTGTTTGTGCTGTATTTAAACCCATCAAACAAGAAATTTATTTTGCATGCACACGTATAAAAACTGCAGTTTTTATCCAACGCAATCATAGGTTTGAACGTTGTTTTCAATTTAGACTTGTTTATATTTTTTCGTTTGGGCTTGTATTATATTTGCAATCGGGTTAATATGGTCCGTTCATCCTATTTCGACTCTTCAAAATTCAAGAGTCTATCCTTGAATGAGGTAAACTATATGGCCTTCCAAATACCGTTTCGATTCCTAACATCACTGAAGAGACATTAATTGTCGAAATCCGGATCATGCGATATGGTGTACCAAATTTTGCACTTCATGTTTGCAGTATACCATCTTTTCCGCAAGCTTATTGTTTTTCTGTTTGGTATTAAATTAATAATTAAGATCATATAAACCCGAAGGCAAATATAATACAAGCCCAAACGAAAAAATATAAACAAGTCTAAATTGAAAACAACGTTCAAACCTATGATTTCGTTGGATAAAAACCGCAATTTTTATACGTGTGCATGCAAAACAAATTTCTTATTAGAGGGGTCTAAATACAGCACATACAACATTTTCAAAAAGACCAAAAAAGTGAAAAAGTATATTTTAACAAAACGCATTTGACTAGCAGGTCAAACAACGGATGTTTAACTGACTGGTGGGCGTTGTTTGCATGTTTGATAAAATCATCCAGTTTTTGTTGGGATTCAATCCATTCCATGTCAACATCATCGATGAAACAGACCAAGACAGTGGTTTAGATAAAGATGTTGAAATGATTTGTTTCTCTAATTTGGCCATAACAATATTGGTGTAAGACGGTGCCACTTTCGTCCCCATCGCTGTCACGTTTATCTGAAAGTAATGTTCACCATTGAAGGCGAAATTGTTGCATTTCAGAACCAGAATAAACAGCTGGACTAAACATTCGGTGGGTGGTTCTAAAATGTTGCGCGAGTGCCATATTTCCTTGCACGATTGTATACCGTCATCATGAGGTATGTTGGTATACGATGAGATGACATATAAAGTGACAAAGAGAGTTTCCGGAGGAGAGGGTTCATTGATTTTTACGAAGGTAATCTGTGGTGTCTTGAATGTTAGATCGAAGATTTTCTACATGAGATCTTGGAAAGTCTAAGAATTCCGAGATTTTCTCAGTCGGGTTGCCGTTTGCGGATACAATTGGTCTACCAGGGTTGTTAACCTTGTGTATTTTGGGAAGAGGATACAATCGACCAGGCTTGACGTTCTCTGGTTTTAAATATCCGATTGTATCCTCATCTATGTGACCGTCATTGTGCATGGTTTGTAACGCAATAATAATTTTGGAACTAAACTACGAAGTAGGGTCATGGTCAAGCTTCTTATAAAATCTCTCATCAGAGAGCTGACCCTCTAGTTCCGCGATGTAGTTAGTTTTGTCCATAATGACAACGGCATTTCCCTTGTTTGCTGGTTTTAGCACAATATCATCTCGGTTTTTCAGCGATTGTATGGCTGTTTTCTCGTCAGAAGAGGTGTTATAAAACGACGAGTACTTGTTGTTAGCTAGATGAACAACATCCGATTTGATTTTGTCGATAACTTCTTCCAGTATAGCAGATTTGCTTGGTTTTGGAATCCATGAACTTTTCTTTTTAAAGCGTGGAATTTTTATTCGAGTCAGAACTGTCGGAGTCTTCCTCTGTGTCCTCTGGTTTGTCACCAAAGTATTCTTTAATTCTAACTTTTTACAACGAAATATCCATGTATGCACTTATTCATGTTGATGGAAAGGCGTTGAATGGGTATGGGCTATACATATATTCAGGACAAGAACATGTAAATGTGATATGAATATGAACCATGCAGTGCATGAATATTTAACCCCGCCATACTTTGTATATGCCTGTCCCAAGTCAGCACAGTGGCTAAGTCAAAGAACATTTAAAGTTACTAGTCGTAAATTAAAAAAAAATGAGATTATGCGGACTATTACTGAGGCAACATGAATGAAACGAGCAATGGGATACTCCATACTTGTTTTTAACCTTCTTATGGGACAAAAGTAAATTTTTCAAAAACTTACAGTAAATTACCAGGGCCATTACTAAAACAAGTAATTTTCAAAATTACCTATACAAGTAATGTTGAAAACGAGGCTATTTTAAATATTATTTAGATAAGTAACTTTTCTAAATATTATTTTTATAGATGTCCTTTCATACAGATTTTACTACCTTTATCGAATGTTGACAGTCATCTGGTTATTTTTCCATGAAATATAAAAACTAATCCTCATGAAAAACTAATTGCCTTTCTGACGCACTTATCTTTCACATCGACGCTTTTTGGTAAAAAATTGGTCTCTTGGGACTATTAAAATATTTTTTTCCTTTTAAATCTTAAAGGTAGACAGATATGAGTAGATAGACACTTGTGATTTAATTAAGACATGAAGTTATTTATAATTTGTAACCCAAAACAATTACTTATGTTCCTTAAATTATTGTAATTACTCATTCTTTCGAAGATGTATAAAATAACTTATTCAAATAATATTTTTGTCATTATTTTTAAAGTGACCTTTGTTCTCTATACTCCTCTCAAATTTAATAAATTTCTTATTTTATGTTATAAAATGATGTAAAAAGTCATGAAACTACATCTAGTCCATGCTTTCACTGAAATTTAAAATTAATCTATTGAGTAATTTAACATTTGTTTTAAAAGGAACTAAAAAAAAATAACTTGTTTAAGTAACGCCCCTGGCCACAAATATAATGGTCACTTATTGATACAGATTGGATCTGAAAATAGAAGTGAGACAGATGATACCACGAGACAATAAAAAATCAAACGTCCAAGTAAGATTTGAAATTTCCTGTCAATAAACTGAGAAACTCGCTACGGCAAAGTTCACTTAGATAAATTATGCAATTTGGTTTTCTCCTTTCTGGTCATTAAGTCCATAAATATACGATTCTTGGCTTTCAAATGTGAAGTTTGAGCGTTCGGACGAAGGTAAATGTAAAACATCGCCTCGGACAAATAAGATTTATCAAGTGTTTATTTCATGTAAAGTAAAGTAAAATTGAGAATGGAAATGGGGAATGTGTCAAAGAGACAACAACCCGACCACAGAACAGACAACAGCAGAAGGTCACCAACAGGTCTTCAATGCAGCGAGAAACTCCCGCACCCGGAGGCGTCCCTCAGCTGGCCCCCAAACAAATATATATACTAGTTCAGTGATAATGAACGCCATACTAAACTCCAAATTGTACACAAAAACTAAAATTAAAAATAATACAAGACTAACAAAGGCTAGAGGCTCCTGACTTGGGACAGGCGCAAAAATGCGGCGGGGTTAAACATGTTTATGAGATCTCAACCCTCCCCCTATACCTCTAGCCAATGTAGAAAAGTAAACGCATAACAATACGCACATTAAAATTCAGTTCAAGAGAAGTCCGAGTCTGATGTCAGAAGATGTAACCAAAGAAAATAAACAAAATGACAATAATACATAAATAACAACAGACCACTAGCAGTTAACTGACATGCCAGCTCCAGACTTCAATTAAACTGACCGAAAGATTATGTCCTCATCATATGAATATCAGGCACAATCCTTCCCGTTAGGGGTTTAGTATCATACCATCATAACATATATGAGAAGAACATAACCCGTGTCATGCCAACAACTGGTTTTTAAATAAATGTGTTTAGTGCCGATGCAAAGACCCTATAAGTGAATCAATATTAACGCCAAAATATGCAATCTTTAATGACCCGACAACAGTATCGTAACTATATCCCTTCTTAATAAGTCTATTTAAAGGTTTTGTTAGCTTCAGAGGTGAATACTGACATTTTTGTGCTTTATAAAGAATATTTCCATAAAAAATTGGATGTGAAATACCTGAACGTATAAGAAGTCTGCATGTTGAGCTATATTTACGAATGATGTCCTTATACCGATGATAAAATTTAGTAAATGTTTTGACTAGTTTGTGATATCGAAAACGCTGGTGTAATAATTTTTCAGTAATACATAAACTTCTCTCGTTAAAATCTAAAACATTGTTACATACACGAGCGAATCGTACAAGTTGAGATATATAAACACCGTAAGATGGTGACAAGGGAACGTCACCATCTAAAAATGGATAATTAACGATAGGAAATGAAAAATCAACTCTTTTATCATATATTTTAGTATTAAGCTTTCCATTAATGATATAGATATCAAGATCGAGGAAAGGGCAGTGGTCATTGTTAGTATTAGCTTTATTTTAAAGTAAGTTCAACAGGATAAATTTCTTTAGTATACATACTGAAGTAGCACACATACACCTTATTAGGGTTCTTTAAAGTTGGTTCGAATTAGTTTCTCTTTAGATCTATATATGTTACGTATTGCATGTATTGTTTGACACACAATACTTAAAACGATAAAATAGAAATTATTAAATAGAAAGGAACATATGTCAAAAAAGGATCACCTGTGTAAAAGAAAAGATTACACTAGAATTAAACGAATTCTACATTTAATCTGTTTGCAATTATTCACCTTTTGATATGATTTAAGCTTTATTTGTACTTGTACTTGTACAAATAACGTCTCCTGTTACTCCGCTTCCATGTTGAGCAAAGGGTTACGTGTATTTCTTTTTGTGTAACAGTTCATTTTGGGGTTCTCTTCGCAGTCCGCATTTAAACTTTGTCGATTTAAAAAAAATCAGAGACAACTATTTAGATTTTAACAACTTAATGATCAAAATTTCTTATCTGAATTTGTTAAGACGAGACGTCAGAGACTGTTTCCCAGTTGTTTAGTACAAAGACATGGGATTTATTCTGTAGTAATGAACAGACAGTACGGAATTCTAATATTTTTTTTTCTGATTTGAAGAACATTTGACGTTTCACAATGAACTGTATGATTAAATAAAAAATAATTTAATTTACAATAAAACGAAATTACCCGAGAAGACTAGAAAGATCAATCATTACATAGGCTGATTTATGTTTTGACAGATAAGTTAAACATGTTTTAATGAGAAAGAACTGTGGTTTTTTTTTGTGTTGTGATACAAACAAATACATGTAAGTACCCATTTCAAAAAGTAAGGGGGAAGTGATTTCATTAAACTGTATTTAATTCCTCTTTTGAACTTATTAAAGATTATATTGTATTTTTATACGTTTGCAGTTAATGATGGAAGCTCAACATCACCTGTGTATCAAAATGATTAAAATAACCACATGAAAAAAGAACATTCGGCAAACAATGATAAATTTTTCTTTGACATCTCTTCTGGTAAGTATTAAATTCAATTAAGCAAACTTACGTACTATGAATACCTATTGTCATTTTGAAAAAAAAGTAAAATAACAAAAATACAGAACTCCAAGGAAAATTTAAAACGGACACATTCCTTATTTCCATTCTCCATTCTATTTATCTATTTTCAAAATATTTCGTAGTGAGTTATAAAATATGGATATGTGTACAGATGCTGTCGTAAGCATATAAAACACTTCCACGCTTTACAGTTAACCCATTAAACTGGTAAATTGAAATGTGTCGGATCGCATACTAAAGGCCATCTATGACATGGAATTTCCATAACGGCAAACTTAGTCACGATGGCGATCGACATACTTTAGTATGTAAACATTATATGTCATTTCACTTATCTACCAGAATAGATATTTGCAAACTTGCAATTTATATATCCACCATGACACTTATAATAGCTATTTTTTTTTATTTCAGATGGCCGTGGGATGCTCTAAATTAATTCATAATGTGACGATCCGGTGCCCAACGAGTGTGGAAAGAAGGCTACAAAACTCATACTGGAGTAGAATTTACTGTTCGGCTGTTAATGTTTATCATTGCATCAGAGATGAAAGAGATAATTTAGTTGCAACATGTAACGAACCTGTACAAATACCTCAAGGTATTGTAGTTAAACATCATACTATGAAAACTGTTTTCCCTTTTTCTTTTGATATATGCTTTCTTAAGGTTATCTTTGAATTTCAGTCCAAGCAATGTACAATTTGTTCTATTCTGATGAATGAGTCGATACCTCTGATGGTGGACCGGTACTGGCATGGAACATGGGGTTCGTGTTGCTCAGTCTTTAGTTTGCTATGTTGTGTTTTGTGTACTACTGTTTGTCTGTTTTCTTTTTGTAGTTACCACATTAGGAACATATCCGCTATCATCTGTGAAACGGATATTCCATAACGGTCAACGAACTCGTGAAGGCGTCCGTAAAATTTACGAAGGGATGATTTCAACTTCACCATTTGGAACTCTTGATTTAATAACTTCCTTGAGAACAGCAACCCTCTATCAAGGAAATCATGATAGGAAATACAAGCCCGGGAATATCGTATCAATGAGGAGATATATACTCTGTATGCAGGCGCTGTTTTAGTGTTGCTACATAGAAATGGAAAGTTCACAATTGGGAAGCTGAAATCATCTCTTTTTTCGCTAAGTTTTGTTTTCAAACGACCTTCATTGTCAATTTCTTGATGTAAGTCAAGATATGAGGCAGACTTAACTGTATATGCTGTATCCTTTATCTCAGGTTCGATGAGATAGATGCGTTCAACATAGTCACCAAATTTTGAATTATTTAGTGAGAGAACATCATCTATATAGCGGAAAGTAAAGTTACAGGATACTGTTTACTTCTTTTCTTCTTCCTAAGAAGTTCCTGTATGAAGTCAGCTTCATAAGAATAAAGGAACAAGTCGGCTAGAAGAGGGACACAGTTTGTTCCCATTGGAATGCCGATTGTTTGTTGAAAAACACGTCCTCTAAACGTAACAAATATGTTGTCAATCAAGAAATCAAGCTTGATAATGTCAGTTTCAGAGAATTTTTTGTTTGAATCACAACAATAACGTAACGTTTAACTATCCCAGTAGTAACGTTACTTAGTTACATATCTTAAAATTCCGGTGAAAGATGAAAACGTTAAAACAATGATTTCTTTATGATTTTCTACTAAAATCTGATTTTTGTGTCTTTGATAAATGTATATTCTTTATATATATATAAAAGTCTAGATATTAGTCAACATATATTACATATGTAACTATCAGAAGCTTTTCCCTCCTTTCAAACCTGCAAAATCATCCAAAGTCCACAACACTGTTTGTTCAGATATAACTAGTTAACGTCAGACGCTTAAATTTGTCCTTTTACGAACGCTCATTTGTATTCATTTTCGAAAACACCTAAAAGATGTTCACTCAAGTAGATTCAATTAGACTTTAGACCCGACATTATAGACGGTAACAATTGCTTACCTTATATCATTATCTCAAAAAGAAAAAAAAAAAGATCTTGTGGGGTTTTATTCCTCAGTGGATTAATGATAACTTTTGAAGATACGAAAACTAAATATATTTTTAATGAAAAATGTCGTTGCTTGGCTATGTTTTTTTAAGCTTAGTATACAAATTGGAGGGTTCTTAATATCAGTCTAGACACAGATATTTGTAATGGTCGTGTTTATGCAAATTAATTGTTCGGATACGTTTGATTAATCACACTTAAAGTGTAAATACACAAGTTTGACAGTGTTACATATATTTATAAGGAACACAAATTTTCAAACAGATATTAAGGCTCGAATTAAGAATCTTAGCATTACCTTATATTATCATCTCAAAAAGAAAAAAAAAGATCTTGTGGGGTTTTATTCCTCAATGGATTAATGATAATTTTTGAAGATACGAAAACTAGATATACATATATTTATTAGAAACACAAATTTTCAAACAGATATAAAGGCTCGAATTAAGAATCTTAGCATGATAAAATACCACCCTATGCCGTATGTGATTGTTTCAGGAACCTATAGTCTAGCGAATGTAGTTCGTCACCGCATATCACAATTATTTTACCATAACGATTGTTTTCGTACAACGTGCTTGCAATTTATATTTTACGGGTTTTTCTTGCTAGCAGCTCGTTCTTTGACGTGCTTTATGAACATTTTTAGAAAGGCAACGTGCGAGCCAATTGTTTATTCTTAGTTCATTGTGGAATGGCAATTTTATTTCTTGTGATTATACCCGCGTTACATGTTCATAACTTAGATAATACGAACCCTTTCGCACATTTTGTTATACTTTATTACATGCTATACAGTATGCCCCTTTTTTATTTTTGAAAGCATATGGGGACATCAACTTGTCTAGTTCGTTTTCCTTTGGTCTATAGTGTATTATTGTCTCATTGGTTAATATCACAAATCAATTTTTAAGACTGAGCATGAACTTTGGCTAACAGCATTAAAGAGAACATTTTAAAATCCTAAAACAATCCAAAACTTAATTCACCAAGTAAGATAACTACTAAAACTTTAAAACTTACCATAAATAAAAAGAAATAATACTGCTGTAAAGCTTAATATCTCTAGATACCCTCTGGACTCTTTGTGATCACTGTTTCATTTTTATTTTCAGGAAACTATCCAATCTATTTACACAGATCAGATAAAATACACTATGAAAGATGTCCAAAACATTTATATCAACCATTTCCCGTATTGTCATATGAAATTTCAGACTGCGAGTATGAAAAATCATCATGTAACGGCATTGGCCAAATTCCATGTGGCAATGGTAATACAACTGATGATTCTACATGTGGATGTGACTATAAAAAAGGATATGTTATGAATAGTCAAACCAAATGTTGCTCTCCATCAAGGTTTGAAGAATGCTACTGCCAATATCATACGTGTGACAACAATCTGCAAGAACTCGACGCAGGTATGTAACGAGTTGCAATGTAAAGGTTAAGATTCTTTCATTGAACTTTATTCCAAAACGGAGCGTCTAAAATGTAACATTTTCTTTGAATGCTCCTGTTAAAAGTGCAAAATATGGAATGAAGATATTGCAAATAATTTGTAAACTTGTTTGAATACCTACGAATATTAAACTAATTATCGGCCGATAAAGGGCATGTTACATAATGTATTACAATGGTAACAAGTAGACATAATTAAAAGAAACCAATAATGATAAAGCTTATGATTATATGACCATGATAAAATAAAATGTTTTTTCCCGTTTATTTTGTCAGGAAAGTATATCGTGTATATTTTATCTATCCGTACTCAATTTAAAATAAAAGTATTGAAAAGTGTTTCACACATTACAGCATGTAGACTTGAGGGTGTAGGTAAAGGTAGTATTTTTGGTTACCTTGCTTGCTAGCTGAATCATAGAATCATTATTAGCTAAGGTACTACCATCCTTTGGGCGGAGTCAATACGTAAGCACCAATCAAAAGTATAGACAGTATATAAACATTGTGGAACAAGTTTAATAAGTCAATTTAAAAATATATTTTCAATCTAAATTTTCAATCTGGTGTAAATTATAAACTAATTCATAAGCATGTTGAAGGTGTGTTTGATTTGTCAATTTTATTCCAATCAATCACCTCTGTCGTTTACATCTAGATTATTTACATGTGCTATTCTATACTATAAGCAGTAGTTTACAATGTTCAATCAATTTTGAAAAACAAATCTGATTATATCCTTATTATATATATATATATATATAAATCCTTATTATATGTATATAATAATGATATCATTTTTGATTTTGGTGGGGGGTGAGTGCTTCGGGGGAGTGCTTCGGAAGGTATAGAAAATAAGCTTGGCCGTGAAAAATCTTTGAGATCATCTGACCATGTATTGTTTTGTTTTGATAGATATGAACAATAGCGAGGAAATCGATAACGCCAGTCTATCTGAGTGGACAGTATTAAATAGAATAAATAATTTTATTTTACCATTTTCTGCAGTGATGAAAAAAAAAAATGCACATCAAAGTTTGGGAATTACAAAAAGGAGCATTTTTATATTCATGTTTCATGCAAAGCTGAATCTAGCGTATTACATCGAACTGTGTAAATGAACTTTCCCTTCAAATAGAATTTCATCAAATATAAAAAAAAAATGATTGCAATAGAAAAAAGAAGGAGCACATGTCTTTAGAACTTTGTTCTCTGTGGATAGACAGTTGTAATAAAAGATTCTATTTATGTTTTCGCCACATACAGATTTCATTATCTGTTTTGTGTGTCAGTCCATCATATATGTATAATTTAGTTAAAATAAAACCTTTCACATTCACATAAAAAAAACCTTGAAAGAAAAATGACAGAGGTAATTGATTGAAATAAAATTGACAAATCAAACACACCTACAACATGCTTGTGAATTATTTTATACTTGACACTTGATTTTAAATTTAGATTGTAAACATATTTTTAAATTGACTTGTATATTATATACTGTCCCTACTTTTGATTGGCTCTCTGCTTAACTACTGACTCCGCCCAAAGTACTACCTTAGCTAATAATGATTTCATGGTTCAGCTAGCAAGCAAACCAAAGATACTATCGTTACCTACACACTCAAGTCATTCTACTGTAATTCCATCATGTGAAGTCCGTCGATTAGGAACTTTTGATGAAACGACAATATTCAAAATTGAAAAATTACCTGCAGTATACAAACCACTTATTTGAGGAATATATTGAACCGCTTTATTTTAAAAGAGGGGCGAAAGATACCAAAGGGACATTCAAACTCACAAGCCGAAAATAAACTGACAACGCCATGGCTAAAAAAGAAAAGATCAACAGACATACAAAAGTACACAAAACACCACACAAAAAACTAAAGACTGAGCAACACGAACCCCACCAAAAACTGGGGTGATCTCAGGTGCTCCTGAAGGGTAAGCAGATCCTGCTCCAAATGTGGCACCCATCGTGTTGCTCATGTTATTACAAACCCGGTAATAAGTCTAACTCGGTAGGTCAAATTCGGGAAAAGTGGGGCGGGATTATATTTAAGCAATTATCGACTCGCAAAAGTAGTCTCTCCACCAATCTTGAGTTGTTTTTTATGAATGAGTTACACAGGTCACGTACTTTATATGGCATTTTTCACGTTTAGCCTATTGACTGACATTATCCACGACTGAATCCGTCAGTACTTTTAAGTTGTGTTTCAAATTGATGGATTAAGGCTCTCGATATTTGGGGCCTTTGGATAACATATTTTCCAGAGAAGTATTATTGGCAAATTTCGTGTCGCCAGTTATAACGCGGTCAATCGGATTGTATACGAACGGGAAGCTAGAATAGGTGCAATCAGGGTAAGACTTGAAATCGTCAATATTGAGATCCTGAAACACGGGTTTGTAATTGAAAATTTTATTTTCATTTGGTATAAGAAATAATTTTTAAAGTAGGAGGTATTTTCGAGTGAACCAATTTATAATGAAGGATATTTCCCACGTTCTTTGTTGGCAAAGGAAACTTGTAAAAATGATCTATTCTCATTTTTTTCGTTTGTTTTATGTAAAAAAAACATTTTGCGAAGAACCACACTGATTACCACAGAAAATACACCAAAGATGATTTAATCAATTTGCTGGACTTCTTGAGCATATTTGTTTTTGATGGTGGATTTATATTCAAGCAGACAGTCCGGACTCCAATGGGAACTAATTGTGATCAACTACAGACAGACTTGTTTTGTATTCTTCTTAAAGACAAAACGTAAAAGCATGTTGCAAATTAATTTAATTTCCGTTTCAGATATATTGATGATGTTCTTTCACTTAATAACCCACATTTCAATGAGTGCTTACATTTCATATATCTCAGTGAACTTAAGATTAAGGAAACTGCCGACAAATTGAATGTCTTCTTTCATATCTTGATCATTTCATCTATATTAACACAGACAGACTACTTAAAACTAGAATCAATGACACACTTGATGATTTCAACTTTCCAATTGTATGGTATTTATATATCTCAGTTAATACGCTACATGCATACATGTGTACAATATTGCTCATTAACAGCTGGGATGTGCTCCATTCACAAAAAAATGTGCAAACAGAGTTATGAGGAAGAACGACTGAAATCAAGATTACATGAGTTTAACGGTCATCAATGTAGCGGTGTGTTAGCTCACTTGAGAATCGCTAATTTTGTTTTGGAGTTCATGCGATTCCCTCAGTCCTTGTTTGTTACCTTGATTAGCCAAATTCATTGAAGTTTAGTCTGTAGGGATTTGGGACCTTATTTTTTTAATGAACGGGGATTTAAAATAAAGTGAAATGTGGTATTTTCTATAACACTTAATTATTAAGAATACAGTATTTCTGCAACTGAATGATTATAAACAGGTAAGAAGTATTTTCGCCTCTTTATGTATGCATACATGATCAGCTTAAATTTGTAAATGTCACAAAAAAAGCAAAAGACGCGTATTACTTTAAATTAGGAATTGAGGTTTCCATGAAATAATGGTGATAATAATAAAAACAAACATTCCGAAGGATGTAAACAAGTAGAACAAATATCGATTACGGTACCAATTTTCCTGCACCAGATTCTCATTTTGAAAATAAATGTCCCGCTATTGACACTCAAAGAATTTGATTTTTAAGTAAAGGTTTATGAAAAGCAATACAAAGGAGTATAGTGTTTTTTTTAACCTTTGTATATTGGTCATATTTTGTTAATTGTTTTATTGACCCGACGAAACATATTGACTGAAGACAAAGTCCAAAGTCAATACACTTTGATGGATCAATAGAAACATGTACTGACCGATTTGAAAAAGCTATAAATTCTTTATAATGATATCATGTAATTCAAAATTTTTAACATACCTTTCAAAAATGATCATTCAATGTTTACTTTGTTTTAAGATCTATAAAATTGAGAATGGAAATGGGGAATGTGTCAAGGAGACAACAACCCGACCATAGAGCAGACAACAGCCGAAGGCCACCAATGGGTCTTCAATGCAGCGAGAAACTCCCGCACCCAGAGGCGTCCTTCAGCTGGCCCCTAAACAAATATGTACACTAGTTCAGTGATAATGGACGTCATACTAAACTCCAAATTATACACAAGAAACTAAAATGAAAAATGATACAAGACTAACAAAGGCCAGAGGCTCCTGACTTGGGACAGGCGCAAAAATGCGGCGGGGTTAAACATGTTTTTTGAGATCTCAACCCTCCCCCTATACCTCTAGCCAATGTAGAAAAACAAACGTACAACAGTACGCACAGTAAAACTCAGTTTAAGAGAAGTCCGAGTCCGATGTCAGAATAGGAAACAAAAGAAAATAAACAAAATGACAATAATACATAAATAACAACAGACTACTAGCAGTTACTGACATGCCAGCTCCAGATCTCAATTAAACTGATTGAAAGATTATGTCTTCATCATATGAATATCAGGCCCAATCCCTCCTGTTAGGGGTTTAGTATTATACCATCATAAAATATATGAGAAGAACATAACCCGTGTCATGCCAACAACTGGTTTTAGAATAGATATGTTTCATTCCGATGCAAAGGCCCTATAAGTGAATTAATATTAAAGCCAAAATATGCAATCTTTAATGACCTGACAACAGTATCGTAACTATATCCCTTCTTAATAAGTCTGTTTAAAGGTTTTGTTAGCTTTTGAGGTGAATACTGACATTTGTGTGCTTTGTAAAGAATATTACCATAAAAGATTGGATGTGAAATACCCAAACGTATAAGATGTCTGCATGTTGAGTTATATTTACGAATGATGTCCTTATACCGATGATAAAATTTAGTAAATGTTTTGACTAGTTTATGATATCGAAAACCCTGGTGTAATAACTTTTCAGTTATACATAAATTTCTTTCGCTAAAATCTAATACGTTGTTACATACACGAGCGAATCGTACAAGTTGAGATATATAAACACCATACGATGGTGACAAGGGAACGTCACCATCTAAAAATGGATAATTAACGATAGGAAATGAAAAATCATCTCTTTTATCATAAATTTTTGTATTAAGCTTCCCGTTAATGATATAGATATCAAGATCGAGGAAAGGACAGTGGTCATTATTAATATTAGCTTTATTTAAAGTAAGTTCAACAGGATAAATTTCTTTAGTATACATACTGAAGTCGTCATTATTGAGAGCCAATATATCATCCAAATATCTAAAAGTATTGTTAAATTTTTGTATCAGATGTTGTTTCGATGGGTCTTTGCTGATTTTAGTCATACATTGTAACTCATAACAATACAAAAACAGGTCCGCAATAAGTGGTGCACAGTTAGTCCCCATTGGAATTACTATTTTTATTTATTGTATAATCAATATGAGCTTTTTCTCCAGCAACATTTCGTATTCATTTCAAATAGGTCACACAAACACAAATGAAACAGTGGCAAGAAAGGTGAATACTGTCTAATGCTCTGTAAATACCCATTCCGAACATGTTTGTCAAAATTTAAAATTTTCCATCCAACTCAGCTCTGTAAAAATTTTCAAATTCAAAACTGGATGCGTTCCTGCTGTTTTTCTACATATCTGTCTCAAGTCAGATGAAAGCTTGATTCTAATTGGCTGAATTAATTTCCATATCTTAATTTCAATCAAATACCAGAAAGGAGAAAACACGGATGTTCAAATGCATTAGTCAAAAAACGACGAAAAGACATTCAGTTCACAAAACACAACAAAGAAAAACTAAAAACTGAGCAATACGAGCCACACAAAAATCGGGGGTGATCTCAGGTGCTCCGGAAGTGTAATCAGATCCTTCTCCACATGCGACAACCGTCATGTTAGCTGATTAAATTTAATAGTCTTTATCAATTTTAAGTAACGTGAGGTTAGCAAAAAAAAAAAAATAAAAATAAAAGGGAAGCGTTAGATACCACATGGAAATTCAAACTCATAAGTCGATAACAAACTGACGAAAATACAAACAATAGTACAACATTAGCAAGCGCTTTTTCAGTAAGACAAAGTCAATCACATTTTTGAAGTATAAACTTGAAATTTATTGACGATTGAAAGCATTTAAATAATATGATTATATAATAATAAAAGTTATTGCAAGTAATCAAAATTTATTATTTTTTTGGTAATTTATAGTAAAAAATCAAAACAATTTTAGGTAAATCAAAGTAATATTCCATGATATTCAAGTAATCCATAGCTTGTGAAATTAACTTACATCAACAAAACATAACCTCGTAATGCTCTAGCTTGTGGTAGAGTGGTCAAAACAAGAGTGGAATGTTGTGGGTAAGATCCGCTGCAATTCAAACCAAAGACTTGAAAATTGGTAGAAATAATGCCTCTCCCCTATCTCGCGACAGGTGGGAATGAAATAAAAAAAACTGGTCAGCCAGGATTCAGAAAACATGTGTTCGTGTTTGGTGACATGTGAATGTTACCTTGCAAACAAGCACGTAAAAAATCCGGCTCAGTGTGCTGGTCTAGTACACAATGATGTTCAAATTAATATAACATTAACATGCTCACGTCCTGATATACACATAATATCACCAATGGACATTTAGGACAAATTGTTTAATTCATAAGTGATAAACAATTAATTATTTACGCTTGAAACATGTGTGAATTATTCAATATATACCTGAGCCAGTATATAGTTTATTCATAGTGCTCCGAAGTTAGAAAATATAAGCTAGCTAGCTTTCAAACACAAATCATCCAATCATATCATTCCACTTTGTAGTTAAATCTACATGACATAGTAAAGATTTATAATTGAAGTTGTTAACTTATGAAATAGAATTTAATCTTTTTTTATGATTTGTCTACCCGTTAATAGGTATAATTTTGTTTATAATCAGCAGTAATTTAACTATCAGTAGTTATATATTATTCAAGTAAAAATACCACTTTAGTAATTTCCAGCAAATTTCTAAGCATAGCAAGTTTTACTTAGTAACAGTAGGTAACTAGAAGAAATTCCCTGCGAAATATATTTACTTGAAAAAAGTTTAGACAATTTTTTATTTTGGAGTTACAAGCATTTATTTTTGGAGCAAGGTTACCAGCACAACATAAAAGTGTTTGTCACAACAATTTATGTCCAGGAGAACTTATTTGAATATTATATGTTTTTAATTTTAGATTTCAAATGCATAAATAAATGTATGGACGGGTATGAGAGATCAACGCAAAATATTTGTGAACAAATATCCGACACAGCTAAGTATGTTTTGACATTAAATCACTGTAAATTACCTGGTATGTTTACGCTCTATAAATAAACTCATCACAGATACTAGGATTAAATTTTTTACGTCTACAATAGACTCAATAACACCTTTGAAACAAAAAACTAAAAATGCCAAATAAAGTACGAAGTTGAAGAGCATTGAGGACCCGAAATTCAGACAAGTTTTGTCCAATAAAAGAAAGGTTTCTTAATTTGCCACCAAAGTTATTTTTTATACGAAAAAGACAACAAAAACAAGTCCATGCATATGAAAGTACTTCAAAATGATAATATTTTGAATACCTGTTGCAACATATTTTGTTCTTTTCAACGTTTCATATTTCATTGCATTATGCAGGTCATATATCCAATAAACAATATTGATACCCACTAGAAAAGAACATCTATCCGTAAGAGAGCCTATGATGTAGATGAAGTAGCAATAGATCATCATACTTTGGCCAAGAGTTATTATGTGTGTATAAACAAAATTATAAATCATCTACGAAGCTCTTATAATCAAGTTGATATGAAATACTTCCTTTTGTTGCTTAACTACAGATTTGCGGTTACCATCACGCATTGGTGTACCGATACGTCACGTCTGTATTTCAACTGTGTTTGCAGTCGTATATCTTCAGATACTAGAATAATCGTCTAATCTGTAACTTTACCGATTGTATCCTATTCTTGATTGTATATTTTGACTGAGTGTGGATTTGAATTGCGGATGAAGCATGCATACCAGGAGACGCTAACGCTGTCGATGAACCCAGTTTCGCTATTTTTTGAATTCATATCATTCCCGCAATTTTTTTTTGTTTCCTTGATTTGTCTTCTCAATAGCTTTATGAGGTTTAAAAATCGGCTAACTACTGACATCCGTTTTTTATTAGCGTTTTTCTGTTCGATTGCATCAACATTTTATAGTTGGTAACATGAAATCAAATGTGCAATATTTTTATCATTACGTTTTATTTTATACAGTATCAGTTCAGCAGTACACTCGTTGTCCGTTTAACGTATATATTAGCTTCATCTTCTCAACATAAGACTGTATGGTTTTGTGTCTAAGGGAATCATGTTTGTTATATTTCCGATAAAAACCTTATGAAAAAAGTAAAATAACAAAAATACCGAACTCCGATGAAAATCCAAAACGGAAATGACAAAATCAAAAGCTCAAACATATCAAACGAATGGATAACAGCTGTCACATTCCTGACTTGGTTCAGGCATTTTCTTATGTAGAAAATGGTTGATAAAACCTGGTTTTATAGCTAGCTAGCTTGTGTTAGAGTCGCATAAAATTCCATTATATTGACAACAATGTGCGAACAAAATAAACGGACTTATTAGGTACAAATGTCAAAAATAGGGTACAGCAGTCAACATTTTGTTATAATCGTAATCACTATAAACACAAACAAATATGTCAACAAAGAAAAACAAAAGGCATATAGACAAAGCACATTAGCAAAAAAGAAAAACAGGAATACAAAAATTTACCATAGCTCAATAACACAATGACGGGATGTATAAGAACCGAGTCACATCAAATGGATATTACCAAAAAGTTTACTAAAAAGTAAAAGTAATAATTTCCAAAGACAAAGGAAAGAAAACTATAACACGTATTTAAGATGATAAACAACGTCAGTACTTAGAATCTATACTTCAAAACCATCTCGTATTGAAATGGTTTTTATTTTATTTTTAAAATTAAAAATCTACATGTATGCTTCGTCTATTTTATGCTTGTTTGTGTTCAATAACCGTATCGTTCTAATTCAAAACATGCTTTTTAGTCGGGTTGTTGTCCCTTTGACACATTCCCCTTTTCCATTCTCTATTTTATGAAAAACTAAAATCAGTCAGTACACATTACAGTGATTGTTCTTTATTGTGCATATTTTTATAAACGATATATGATCTAGATAGGAAAAGTATGATATTTGTGCTGACGTAAAACTGATTTAACCTCGTCATATTTTGTGACTCTACTTGGTCATCCAATTGACACTTGATTCTTATATAAAGATAAGACGATGTGGTATGATTGACAAATAGACAATACTGCATCGGAGACCAAATGACGTAGAAGATTATTCTGTTTTAGCGTTGTTTTCCTCTTATAGTTGATGTGTTTCCCTCGATTTTGGTTATTGACCCGGATTTGTTTTCGCATAATCGATTTATGACTATTGAAAAGCGGTATTTTTACGAATGTGACCTACCGAATTAGACTATTTTAGGCTTTGTAACAACATAAGCAACACGACGAGTGCTACATATGGAGCAGGATCTGCTTCCCATTCCGGAGCTTCTGCTTCCCATTCCGGAGCATCTGAAATCACCCCTAGTTTTGGTTGGGTCTGTGTTGTTTTTGTACCCCTATTTGTGACATTTTGTTCACGCATCATTGTCAATATAATGCAAATTGATGCGACTGTCGTACAAGTGAGAGGTTTGGCGCTATAAAACCAGGTTCAATCCACCATTTTCTACATTTGAAAATGCCTGTACCAAGTCAGGAATATGACAGTTGTTGTTCATTCGTTTGATGTGTTTTATCATTTGATTTTGCCATTTGATAAGGGACTTTCCGTTTTGAATTTTCCTCGGAGTGTTCAGTATTTTTGTGATTTTACTTTATACTACTGTTGCCTTTTTTTGGATACGTTTGTTGATGCTTGTGTAGTCTGTTTATACTGCAAACTATTTTTGAATGAATACCTATTGTCCTTTTTATTTATTCAACACGACTAACTTATTTGATCGGATTAAGGTTCGGGTAATTGTTAGGGCTAGTCCTAGGTTTATCGGATTTTTGTTCTTTTTACAAATTATGAATAGTCCGCGATGTGCTATACAAGTATAAAATAAAACGACAAAATAGTTGCTAAAAGAGTTCAAATAAGAAATATTTCCGAATTATTTTTTTTTATGAAATAACTTTCACTTTGATAATTAACAGGTGTAATACCACCAAATCATAGTACGGCACATCCGGTTGCATACGAAAAAGGGTCGAAAAAATATTCCCTTGAATTTGACAGTTGTAGGAAATTAATCCTACATTTCATAGCAGTAAACAATTTCTGAGTCATGAACATATATCTTGGGTGTTACATTTTTTTTCATTTGGTGTTTCTATAAAATATTTTGGAAACTTGAGGTTACATGGTTACTAAAGCTTGTACACAGGAAAAAAGGGGTGAACATTTGATTGGTTAACTTCCAGTGATGGTAATTATCTTATAAGCAATGAAATGTTATGTAAAATTTTGTCTGTAGTACTGGACAGGATAAAACGTTGCTCATGCCAAGTATTTCTTTATTTGAAACAAAGATAAATTCTGCTCAATTTTTTGAAAGTGCAAATTTAACAAAGACTTATAGGGAAATAAATGGTGGTATTACACCTAACAAGTATATGGTAATTTTGCCTTTGCAAATGTTTGTGTTAAATAATGTTTGGAGGTTTCATGTTTTGCTGAGGCTTTAACTTGATAAATGCATACACACTTAGTAAACTTGTGGCTCAATAAAACCCTGCATATCTAAAAAATAGATGAATTGATTTCCTGTGTGAATTGTTTTCTGATCACTAACTAACATTTAGGTTACTATTTCTTTAATAACTTCGGTGTTTTATGTTTCATATTTTAAGTAAGAAAATAACAACATTGCGAACGAGGGTGACAGGGGAAAGTAGTACAGGAAGACGTCCTAGTACAAATGTTGTATCTAATCGAAATAAATATCCAGGAAAAGAAGAAACAGAAAACAGAAACACGGATTTCACAATTTTCATAACCATCGTTTATTCCCAAACAACCGAAAAAGTTTGTTTTTTTTTAAATTTCAAAAGTTTGAAATACAAATTTACATAAACTTCAAAATCATTTACAACAAATCGTCAATTCTATACACTTTCTTTATTCCTGTTTTGTAAAGCAAAAACATATATCTAGTTAAATCCAAAAACATATCAGAAGATGTAATCTAATTGGCGATGATAAACCAATCAATTTAGACCAAAGGACAAAAATGTGAACAATAGCACATAACCGCAATGCCTTCTACAATTAATTGATTGATTGGTGTTCAACGCCATTGGCTATTTTTGGCAGTCAGTTTTTGTTGTTGGATGAATTCTGTATGCATGGAACCATAGACCTTCAGTCGGAAAATTTACAATCCAATACAAATGAGATTAGAGTCAAACGCACCTGACACGTGCGGTATTTGAACTAAAATCTCAGTGTTGACAGGCAAGTGAAACAGTAGTTAAACTACTCTCACCACTGGCCAACGAGGTCCTCCTTCTACAATGAGCAGAACCAATACAGCATAGTAATTAAGTTACCTAAATGACAAAATGTGAAAAATTGCATGAGAGAAACCGAATGGTTGGATTTCGACTAGTATAAAAAGTAAAATAACAAAAATACCTAACTCCAAGGAAAATTCAAATCAAAAGCTCAAACACATCAAACGCATCGAAAACAACTGTCATATTCCTGACTTGGTACAGACATTTCCTTATGTAGAAAAAGGTGAATTGAACCTCTCACTTGTATGTCAGTCGCATAAAATTCCATTATATTGACAACAATGTGTCTAAATTTCTACTTGTTTAAATATTGAAAATGGGAGCTTGAATTCTGATAATAAAACCGACATGTATATTCATGTAGAATATACCACAATTTACTTGTTGTTATTGTTTGTAGGTTTAAACCAAGCAAAGACGTTTCTACAACCTTTGAACCTATTTCACTGCCAGGTAGTTTTTTTAAAACCAATAGTTTATGAAGACCAAATTGATCAATTTATATGTTTGATACATGTATAACCGAGGCAACACATTGCACACTGAAGATAAATTTACATTTTGTGAAATGTCTCAACTTTGCATTTAAACATTATTTATCTGTTAAACTACAAACATCCTGAAGCTTGCATTTCTAAGAATAGATTTCAGTAAATATAAATTACCTTTGAATCAAACTGCTAATGTTTTGATTTGAAAGTTTCCATGTACTAAACTATTTTTTATCTAATTTTTTTTTCTTTTTAAAGACAACGGCAAAGGGAAAGATTTACTGACAATGCAGAATGATGATGTCATCTTCTACGTCATCACATGTAGCGGCGTCGGTATTTTTCTATTTAACGTGATTTTTATAATAAGTAAGTACTTTAACATTTTCCTTTTTAATGTAATTGTGCTTTTTAAATATTCAATCGAGTCGTAAGTTAATGTAATTGTCATCTCATGTGTAGTTTTCTAGCTGGCATGTCAGTAAATTTATGTTATGTTAATTTATGTTATCATTGTCATTTTGCTTAGTTTCTTCTCTTACATATTCTAATATCGGACTTGGACTTCATTAAAACTGAGTTTTATTGTGCGTATTGCTATGTGTTTGTTTATTCTACACTGGCTAGAGATATAGGGGGAGGGTTGAAATCTCACAAAACATGTTTAACCCCGCCGCATTTTTCCGCCTGTCCCGAGTCAGGAACCTCTGGCCTTTGCTAGTCTTGTATGTTTTTTTAAATTTTGGTTCATGTATATGTTTCGGAGTTTAGTATGACGTCCATTTTCGCTGAACTAGTACACATTTTTGTTTAGGGGCCAGCTGAAGCCCGCCTCCGGGTGCCGGATTTTCACGCTGTACCAAAAACCCATTGGTGGCTTTGTCTTGTTTTCTACTCTTTGGTCGGGTTGTCGTCTCTTTGACACATTCCCCGTTTCCATTCTCAATTTTATTTTACTCTTTTTGTGGAGTTTTCAAGTTTATTACAAGAGAACTGTATTCTTTCTAGATAATTTGATTTAATTGTTGAATGTTTCAGGTAAAAACACGACATTTCGGATCCAAACACTAGAAAAAAATAACACAACATTCGAGCGGTAATAGATAATTTTGTCGTGTCTTTGCGAAGCATTCCTTAGTTTGAAGGTCTTTGTGGAAGGATATAAATGAAGGCTGAATGCAATAATAATATAATTGAATGCAATAGAAGTTATGGGAATCGTACACATATTGCTAATAAAATCCACAGGCTTATATCTTGCGTATACAAACATGACAAATGCATATAGAAAACATTGCTGTTAATGTTTTTCTTGGATTTGATAAAATTCTTGAAGCAGTATACAATCGATGACAAAGACAAACTGTGGGATTCAATTAGCTTAATTTTAAACTAGAACAGTAAATCAAGTTTCTTATTCCTGGAGATAATATATCCCTTTCTTTGGTACTTTTTTAATGCAAAATCGTTGTAAAGCTTTTGTGACAGCATGTCAAAATGTTTCATTATCTATTACTGTCATAATTTGAGACCTACTGCTGATAAAAAGTAAACAGTCTTTTTTTTTCTAAAATTGGTTGCTCCAACAGTAGGTTTTGTGTGAATAAATATGTTTTGTGATGACTTTAGTGAATCTTTCCACGTACTTGTTTATGCTTATTATTACAAAAGAGAGGCGAAAGATACAAAGAGGATATTCAAAACTCAAAGATTTAAGAAAGCATCACAAAGTCATGGCGAAAAGACAAACAGGTTAACATAATTACACAGAACACTGAAACTGACCTACATGAACCCTATAAAAACGGAAATGAATTCATGTGCACTGGAAGGGTTTGGGGCAGTTGTGAATGTTAAATTTTGGTGCGATATTTTATATTCCTACTACTGAATCGTTTGCACTTGAGCCATTAGGTAAAAAAAATGTTACGGTATCAATTCATAGACTGAAACCCAGCAATGCAATCTTAACATAGCCACACGACTGTTGGATGCAGGAATAAGTCAACGTGCTGTTGCTAGACAATTTCACCTCAGAAATTCCCCTTTCAGTCCTTACAACAACGGAACATATATATATATGTCCAATAAATTCACAAACTAGTATGATGTTGTTAACGTAAATAAAAGTGTCAACCTAACAACTCCAGAGATTTTCTGAGAATACTTCTATATATCTGACTTAGCCCAATTCAGTGTCTGTATCTATAGTTACCATGGAAACTTCTAGAACACTGTAGAAGTTTAAATTACAAATCGTAGATTTTGATCTTTCTTGAATATTATGCAAGTCAAATAGAAAGTTTTAATCATTCCATGATCAGTATCTACGATTGCTCCAGTTATTTCTAAACTTCACACTTACATTATTTGGTAAACAACTATAGATAGGTCACAATCTAATTATTAAAACATCTTATAAAGCCACACCAAACAAATAAGGCCAAGATAAATAATTATAGTAATTACAATCTCATAGCAACATTTATAGAATTTCATAACCTAATGCTATTTGCGAGATAGATTTACGATTTCAACGTGAACTGTTAACCAAGTCAATGGATTTCATGGCAAACAGATTTACGACAAAAATGTTTCCAATATACGAGTATTAAATCAAAACCGTATAATTGCCAAAACAGACTGCAATGTGCGAGACAGAGGCATAATAAGAAGGTACAAAACTAAATTTAATATATACGCCACATATCTGGTCAAATTCTCTTTGAATCATTTAGAGGTTGGTTACACGCAGGCATTTTCATCAATGGAAGACATACCAACATTATTTAAAAATTGAACTTGACGTAGTCAATTCAACTTTCAAACTGTTAACTTTATTCAGAAGATGAAGTAATGAATGCATTTTATTTCTATATAATGTTGTTTACAAATATTGCATATTTCAAAATGAAAATTGAAATACAAAATCTAGTGTTGCGTTATTACAGACCACCAATATAGGATCCTAGATATTTTGAAATATCAACAAAAACCAATGTGCTGAAAGAGTTTGCATTTTGTAGAAGCACTAAATAACTAGTTTAATATTGTAGTTTGATTCCTTATATATCAAATGATCATTGACATTCTCCGCCATATGTTTATATTGTATATTGATTGTAATGAATATGAAACATTTATTGTAAATATATATTCTATAGTGGAGTGACAAATCAAGAAACGGGTTCTTATTTGACGACTTAAATGGACCGACAAAACTGCAGGCCAAATATGTTATTTTAATATCTTAATCCTTCTTTTTTTGCCCGGTCGTAGTCATTCCCTGGGGGGCATTTTTTGGGTAAAATGGAATTAAAAAGACATGTTAATTTTTTCTAAGAAAAACCAATTAAAGTATTAGTTGGATGTGTTACAAGAACACTGTGCTTAAACAGCTGTGGGTAACTAAAGTTATCCATAGCCTAAGATGGAGCCGCCTGGCGTCGGTAAGAAACTCCTACATAATAAAAATACCATGAATACAACACAAATGTTCAGTAATAAAAAAGTTGTATCAATCTTTTATGGAAACTCCTAAACGTAAAAGGTGATTATATACTACAAAATAAACGATCAAAGCACGATTTGCAAAAACACTCAGGATGTCCGTAACTTGAAAACAACTTGTCCGTAACTTTTTTCATTATACCAATAGGGATGTATACTTGGACATACTATATTATAGTATAACAGTCCCAGTCGTACCTTTCAAAGAATCGATATTCGTGGATGCAATAAGAAAACATATTATAGAGATTGCATCGAATACATATTCAGAAATACATGATTTCTGGTATTATACCCAACTAATAAACGCGACTCTTTAAACTACATGTGTTATTATTCTCCCTGCCATTTTACATCTAATGACATAGATACCATACTTTATCAGTCAATCAGCCAACACAATGGAACTTCAAAATGTAGCATAAGGAAACGAGTTTGGGCGAAAAATCAGGTCATGCAGCTTATAAATCTCAACACTTCCCACTGCAGATATCACAAATTTCAGATCAAATTACTCAAGGCTTTAAACAATACATCAATAGTGAACATATGAAAATCACCTTTAAGAGAACAAGTTCAGATATCAATCCTGAGCGAAAATACACAGACGGGGCTGTCCAGATCCCTGAAGAAGATATTTACGCTTTAATACCAGAAGTTATTGAATCCCTGAGGTCAATGAAATGTTTAGAAGATTTAAAATCTACCTTATTTGCTGTAATAAACGGACACCTGTTCAACAATATAGCCTTCCATTTACTCTTAGATTGTTGCAATTGTTTTTCACAGTCCACTATATATAATACTAGGTATAGTGATGACACCATACTTTTGAAGCTAACAATTCGGAAATTATTTAAAGGAAAGGGTATCAATTTGGTCCGCGGCTACAAAGGCCTATGGCTCAACAGTGAACAATCTATAAAGCTAGAAGAATGTAAGATAAATTTCGACGTACCATCAGATCCCGTTTCATGTAAACACTCTGCAAAGTATACTTTGGATGCTGGTAACCAGGTTTACTGGATTTATCTATCAACATAGTATCCGAAAATTGGAATAATTTAAAAAAAAATAACGGTAAATCTTCAAGTCTGATTTCTCTTTTCTCATGGTTATTTTGACGTATATCGTAATTGTATAAAACTATGTAATAAATAAGGGGTTTGATAGTGTTTATTGTCCTTTAATTGTTGAAATTATCAATCTTACAATTTTGAAAACAAAAGTTACCCACATTCGAAAATGAAGTTACAGTCTGATTAGTTTTGACCAAAAAGTTACGGACATCTTGTGCATTTTTTAAAATTGGCCTTGCGCTAAAGTGAAATCAAAATTAACTAATGTATGGTAATGGTTAGTGATTTCTTTATTCAAGAATCTTATAAATATTTACATAGTGCATATAAAACCTCGCAAAAAGTAGTTTTTGTATAAATCATATATCAACGAGTTTAGAGACCGCCATCTTGGGCTATAAGTTACCCAAAGCCGTTTAAGCACAGTGAAGAAGGCTTCTCATTGCCTGATTTGTGACATCTACGAAGACTTACTTGTTCATAAAAAAACCTGTGTTATATCTTTTCTTTTGAAAAAATACTGCAGCTTCCTACTTCACGAATTGAAATCAACGTATGCTATAGAAAAAAAACAATGTAAATCAGAACAACATTATTGAAAATCAATCGTTATACGTAAACAGTAAGGGAGGGAGAATCAAATGTAGGGTTCAGTAGTTCCATATCAATTCCTAACGCCATTTAAGCAGCTAGCCATTTAAAATCTATCTGGATAAATTCTGGCAGAAATTAAATTAACACGGAAATGTGACAATAACTATAAATGAAGACCAAACGTTACATGCCAGCAGCACATGCATACGGAGTATACGGAGTATATATCTGAAGTTGATACGATATTCCAGGGCTTGTACTTTCTTTATAGAAGTTTGCTGATCACTAGGAAGCTATCAAATCAAGAGTTTCAAGCAGGGAAGTTGAAATTATCCTTTCGTGAATTTTACGGACGCCATCACGAGTTGGTTAACCGTTATGGAATATCGGTTTTACAGTTGACGACGGATATGTTCCAATTGAAGTAACTTATCTCACCCCCTTTCCCCCGAATGTAACCTATTCAATTAGCTGTAAGCTATAAGATTTTATACTGTAAGATGTAATGCTTTTTAATAGAGTATTAGTATTTGTGTTACTTTTGGTTCCAAGTATAGCATACAATAAAAAGTGTGTAAAAGATTTAACGTTTTATTTCAGTATATGGATCGATCAGAAGTACATGGAGACCGTATCAATTAAAAATCCTTACATGTTCTGGATTTATATTCTTCATGTGCTTGTTTTTTGGTATGTATAAAATTATCACAAAAATATAAAGCTGCAAGGTAAATTCAAAAGGGGAAGTCCATAAAAACTGACAAAATCAAACGTAATCAACCAACGGAACAAATGGAAAACAACTGACATACTTGTAGCTTGGTACAGGCATTTTCCGAAGAAAATGGTCGGTTAAACCTGGTTTTATAGATAGATATAGCCACGTGTATGACAATTGTTTATTTGAGCAAACCGAACAGACATAATAGGCTAATGGGACAATAACTGGGATCCATCAGCCATAACTGTTTACAAATACACCAGGGACCTACAACACAAATGATTAAAAATTCAAACAAATATACAAATAAATCTAACAAAGACTCCAACGAAATAGATGTTGTAGTTTATAGTAAATTGACAAAGACTCAGATAAAAAAAAATGTTTGTTGATAGTACATACCATATATACATGAAGTATGTACTTTCTCGATAGGTACAAATTTAGTAAAATATAACTACAACTGTAAATAAATGGAAAAAAACAGCACCTCTCACGTTCGAATTAAACCTAGTGATGAAACTGAACAACGAACGCCCAAAGTGAAAGACCTGATGTCATACGAACAAAAGAAACATGTTACACGAATAATAATAAGAGTTTAGAACATATTAATATATTTCATTTTTTTTTATTTCACTTGCAAGATAAATGAGGATGTTAAATTTGATGTATGCCTTTTTGTGCTTCTTCGTTACATTTGTTTGTTTTTATAGTGATTAAGATGATAACACAATGCTGACTGCTGTACCCCTATTTTTGACATTTTTACCTATTTTGTCTGTTTATTTTGTTCACGCATCGTTGTCAATATAATGGAATTTGATGCGACTGTCATACAAGTGAGAGGTTTAGCTAGCTATAAAACCAGGTTCAATCCACCATTTTCTTCATAAGAAAATGCCTGTACTAAGTCAGGAATATGACAGTTGTTATCCATTTTTTGATGTGTTTGAACGTTTGATTTTGCCATTTGATTGGGGACCTCTCTTTTTGAATTTTCCTCGGAGTTCAGTATTTTTGTGATTTTACTTTATACATAAAAGATAAATCATATTGTATTTTTGCATCAGGTAAAAGTTCAATTACTGCATTAACTATGCTTTTGATGATCCTTATAAAGATTAATTATAACTTTGCTTAGTTATGTTCAAATCTCCGTTATTACTGCATCCACTGTGACTTCGGTGAATCTTAATCTAAATAAGTTCAAATATTGCTAATAAAGTATTAGTAAAAAGAAACAGCAAGATTTGTAGTTGTTCCGGATTATATGAGTATTTGGACCATATGCGTATATAATTATTTGGTCTGACCATACGCGTATGGTCTGTGTAATTAACATGTAAGCAATGAAAAGTTGTCATAAATTAACAGTTTCTAAAAACGGAGTTTTGACTTATTTCGTCATTGGTACATGATTGATGAAATGAAAAGTATTTTAGTCACAAGATAAAATCTAAGGCTGGATGTTTCTCGGGAAACGTTAGCAGATCTAGCACCAAATATTACACCTTACTGTCGTATGAATCATTTTAATGAACATGAGTAGAAATTAGAAGAATCAAAATTTCTTCAAACACTAAGAGATAAAAGTCTGATTGAGATTAAGGCTATGAGGTCGTTGATACAAATCAGAATTAAAAAAACTGGATGGGTCTATGCATACCTATGCTACATAAATCTTTAGAGACCCAAATGTTGCAAAACACCAGTTCTACCTCTATGACAAATATGGTTTTGTCCCCGCAGTTAAAGCTCAAAACAACATCGTTTTTGTGTGTAAATCGCATGAAATAAACTGCTTGTTACATGAATTAGGTATTGACAATTCACTTGGAAACCCAACATCTACCCCAACGACACTTACGAAGGAGCTCCTCTAAACCTCTTTCTAAATTGTTAACATCAATCTTATCAGCAATAAAAGCCGGGCCTCAAAGTGATTGCGAAACTACCTATTCTAGAGGTGGCGTGAATCAGATGTTGATACTAAAAAAATCAAAAGAACTTTTAGAGAACATACAATCTAGAACTCTTTCATCTTGCAATAGTATTAAAACTTTTGACCTTTCTACACTTTACACATGTATTCCCCATTCCAAACTAAAAGAAAAATTGAAAGAGTTTGTCATCCTTTGTTTCATAAAAAGGAATGGCCTACGTAGATATACGTTTCTTATCTTAGGGAGGGATAAATCGTACTCTGATTCAAACAAAAAATTCTCTGAAACTGACATTATCAAGATGCTTGTTTTCTTGATTGACAATATATTTGTCACATTGGGAGGTCTGTTTTTCAACATACAATCGGCATTCCCATGGGAACCAACTGTGCTCCTCTTCTTACCGACTTGTTCCTTTATGATTCCGACTTCATACAGGAACTTCTTAGGAAGAAAGAAAAGAAGTTAGCAGTATCATTTAACCTCACGTTTTAGCTATATAGATGATGTTCTTTCACTAAATAATTCAAAATGTGGGACGATGTTGAACGCATCCTTCCCATCAAATTTGAAATAAAGGATACAACAGACACAATTAAGTCGGCCTCATATTTTTTTGACAATTTGACAACAAAACATTACGACAAAAGATATGATTTCAGCTTCTCAATTGTGAACTTCCAATTTCTATGTAGCAACATATGGAGTATATATCTCGAAGTTGATACGATATTCCACGGCTTGCATTTCCTATAATGGTTTACTTGATAGAGGGTTGCTGCTCACAGGGGAACTTTTAAACCAAGTGTTCCCATCATAAATTTTACGAACGCCATCACGAGTTGGTTGACCGTTATAGAAAATCCGTTTCACAGATGACAACAGATATGTTCCAATTGTCGTGACTACAGTCCCGTCCCCTTTTCCCAGAATGTGACCTACCGAATTAGATTTATAACAAGCTTTGTACTGAAATGAGCAGCACGACGATTGCCACATATAGTGCGCAATCTGCTTACCCTTCCGGAGAACCTGAGATCACCACCAGTATTTGGTGGGGTTCCTGTTGCTCAGTATTTATTTTTTTTGTGCTGTGTTTTGTGTACTGTTGTTTGTTTGTCTTTTTCTTTTTAGCCATGGCGTTGTCAGTTTATTTTCGACTTGTGAGTTTGAATGTCCCTTTGGTATCATTCGCTCCCTTTCACCTACGGGTAAAATGACAAAAATTCCAAGGAAAATTCAAAACGGAAAGTCCTTTATCAAATGTCAAAATCAAAAAGCCCAAACACATCAAACGAATGGAAGCAAGATCACATATAAACCAATATGCAGACAGGTTTGTCAAATATTAAAGGAATGGAGATAGTAACTAATGTCGATTTTTGTACGCAGAAAGAGCGGACGAAGTTAAAACTTATTTGAAAATTACCAATATGGTCTCAATACTCATATGGTCCGGCCCGTTAATAACCAAACGAGGATAAACGTATGTCATATAGTGTTTGGTAATAAGATATGATAGATACAGTCTGGCTTTTGAAAAAGAGAGATATTGTGAGATCATTAATTAATGATGATTGTTATTGACTGTAGTGATACATTTATAAGTTGTATTCATGTTTATGACTGTAGGATTTTGCATTGGATTTGCTAATGAACAAAGAAATTTGGCATACGCTTTCACCATTATTGTTTTGATATTATTAAGTAAGTATGACGTCAAAGTACATTTCTGTTAACTTACCTGTTTTTCATTAGATATAGATGTGTAGTTACTCACCTATATTACTCTAAATATAGTTTATTTATTGTGATACTGCTTTTGTAATTCATTCTATTCCCTCAGTTTTTGTTTGGCACGTCGATTTTTCTTCTCAATCAATTTACGAGATTTATTCATCGCCTTTAGATTCATGTTGTTCTTTTAGCAATGTCAAAATTAGAAATAATCGCTAGTTACCAATACAACGAATGAAGATAGTATTGCTAAGCTAGAAAAAAGGAAAGATGATAGATATAGTTGAAAAATGTTATCAAACACTACACAGAAAACTAGAGATTGAGCAGCTCTATCCTCAAAAGAAGGCTTAAGTACTCAAGCCAGGATTTGCTACCCTCGTGGGGTTCATTTGAAGCAAAGCATTCTGCAAAACTAAAAAGGAATAGCATTTTGTATTTAAACAATCGAAGAAATGGGGACGAACCAGTAGCACAAAGTAGAACATTTCCTTGGTCAAATTATATATCTGTCAACAAAATATAGTATGCTGAACCACATATCGTCTTACAATAACTTAAAATGTCTCATCACTCACGTCTGTTAATTGCTTGCACATAATTTGTAATCAAAGTGAATTAAGAAGGTAAAACAAAATGGTGCCTTTTGAATTAAGACATAACTTATAACCACAAAAATGTATCTTCTTAAATTTGAATTACACAAATGCGTTCATTTTTAAATTGAGCTCTTTCCCATTAATATTTCAGGTACAACTTGTTATTTAATAAATTCCCTGTCAGTTCATGAGATGATAACAGTAAGTTAGTCAATGCATTCGTCGTTCATACATTATTTGTTTTAAAAAGGTCAATAAAAGTTCAATTCAAACGAAATAAGAACATGTAGAACAAGATAAAGCTCCTTACCTTTTTCCTACTTTAACATAAATGTTTAGTTTCAATAACATTCAGTGTTAATAAAAATGAAAAAAAAAGGATAAACAAAATCCAGTATTCGTATTGTATAACTTGCATTGAACCTGTAAATATACTGCATTACAGCTGTTACTTTCATTGTTTACCTTCCGTATGGTCCGGATCCGTATTTGTTTCATTTCATATGTATATACCTTTATAGAACAAATGAACACTTTTACAAAGTATTGTAATCTGTTGTTCACGCATGTTCCGAAATGATGATAATTAAATATATCAGTGTATACTTAAAATATATCTACATAAAACCATGTCTGCACAAAATACATAGATACACAAAGACCAAGATAAGAAGGATTGCACGCACCCCGTGATGCTTGGAATAAACAGAAGTATGCAAAGCATAAGGAAGTTTTAAATATGTCTATATATTATATTGCACAGGATCCAGAGGTATACAACGAAGAATATGATATAAGAAGTTTTCGTCTCTTAAAAGCTGCTGCCAACGGTAATTTGGATGAAATGAGAAGGTACATTAATTCTTCACGGTGTTAAAGTGAACATAATTTGCGATACATCTTGGTTCAAAATGTTTTTGTCTGACTCCTTCTGTCCCAATTGTTATAACATAGAACATAGAATTATCAACCAAAGTTTCAATATCATGTTTAATAAAAATAAGAAGATGTGGTATGAGTGCCAATGGGATTGTTTGCTGTATCACTTGTCTAAACTACGAACATAACCTGTAAAAACCGGCTATGGGACCATGAAAAAGGGCCGGTTTTGACATTAAGTCGGTTTATTCAAGTTTCCGTTTTGACAGGGAGTTATTGACTTGTGTCGCCAGCTATTTTGCATGTGAAAATTCTGTCTCTTTGTTAATTGTATACTAGTAAATACAAAGACCGTAATAATCTATTTATTAAAAGTTATGTCATGATTTGTGTGAAAATATTGTGACATAAACATTACAACTCTTAGTGTTTCCTGCCTTTCCACCATTTAACTATGCACGATTGTTGTTCTGAGTCTTCGTATTCATTGGCTAGAAATTTCAGAAATTGGTTTGTCCTCAAATTAAAAAAAAACTTTTTTTTGCATATCCTTGTGTGTCAAATCGACCTCTGTAGCATCAGTCTCCGACTTGTCAGTTTCAGTCTCACTTTCAGTTCATTGTTTCATAGGCATCATAATCCTCGCGTTGTTTGAATTGTTCAACGAGAGTTTTGTTTTACTTTCATCGTTCATTTCCAACGTCAGTAAAGCCGATTAAAAAGCAAACGTTTTTTTAAACGAAATTTCTTCAGGATCGAAACATTGTCGTTCAATATATCATACCCATAAACTCGACAATGAAATGTCGTTGTCCCGGTCTTCTTCATTATCAGGTTCATTTGTATTGGGGTTCATAGCAAGGAACCCAGCATTTCGAAAACACAATGTAAATTTCTAACTCCGAGATTTAAAAAAAAATTATCAAAGTTATAACGTGAGTTCTATTCAAGATATATTCGGCGTTTCTTTTAGTTTATTTTCATTAAAACTTAATAGTGTTTCAATGATAAAGTTCACAACTATAAGTTCACGGTATAACACCTTGCTAATTGATTATCCTGAAAAAACCAATTGTATAAACAATTATATTTTGATTGCATATCGATCTATACTGTTATCATATTAAGTTAATTAAACAAACCGGTTTTGACAGGTAATAACTAATGTAATTAAGAGTATTGGGACTGCATAATTAGAACGGATTTCGGAAAACACAGCGTCCGGCCTACAGGGGGTATTTTTACAATGACTTTGAATGGGACTTAAATTTTCGGCCAGAATGGTCCGGTTTACCCAGGTTTTACTGTATATATATTTTTCTAATTCTTTCAAGATTTTTCCTTTTCCTGACCTGTTGATTATTTTTATTTAGTCAACGTGTGGTTCGTTTGATCTCAGTTCTTCATTGGTCAAAATTCAATTAAGTCGTCGAATTTCCTATTGTGACGTCATGCAAAAAGGTGACCATGGCTGATGACGTTACATAGAAATATATATATATTTTAGTAATGATTAAGACCATTAACCATTAATCACAGCAGTTCATAAACATTGTAGTTCCTGAATGGTACAAACTTCCATTTGAAGTAATCTGTTTGAAAAGGTTACGCACCACCTGCATATGGAGTATATATCTCCCAGTTGATTCAGTATTCCAGGTCTTGCATTTCCTATCATGATTCTTTGATAGAGGGTTGCTACTCACAACGATTATCAATCAAGAGTTCCAAGTGGTGAAATTGAAATCATTCCTCCTAAAATTTTACGGACATCATCACGAGTTATTTGACCATGTTCATGATGTTGGAATTCACAGATTACAACGGATATGTTTCAATTGTCGTAACCACAATCCCGTCCTCTTTTCCCTGAATATGACCTACCGAATAAAACTTATTACCGAATATGTCCTTATCTGAGCAAAACGACGGGTGCCACATGTGGAGCAGGATCTGCTTACCCTTCCGGAGCACCGGGGATCACCCCCATTTTTTGGTGGGGTTCGTGTTGCTCAGTCTTTAATGTTCTATGTTTTGTTTTGTAAACTGTTGTTTTTATTTTTAATTCCTCTTCTTTTTTGCCAAGGCCATTATATATAGATGATGAGGCCCGACCGATTACTGTCTTATGAACATTTGAAGACGTTATTTTGTAGATTTATGTTACATTTAATTTTCTTATTCAAGGTGCCAAATAAGTGGTCTGTCATACTTTCTCCGTTTTGTAAAAATTGTAGACAGTCGAATCAAGATTAGAATAGATGAATCATTTCCGTGGATAATATTCCCTAAAGAAAAAAAGACGGGAAAACCCTTGCATTTATTTCACACAAGGGCCGCTTTTTTGCTGTAACTCAGACTCATTGTTACAGTTTGTATATCTAATATCCTAGCAATACCAATATCTTGTACATTGCAAAACAAAATTTTTGTATCAGCAATTTCATGTCCTTTTGCTGATTTCACAGAAACCTTCAAAGAAAAAAAAAATCTAGATCTGTCTGGACAAGTACAATTTATAAAGCAAAAGGAATGTATTTCACCAACAAGCTGTCAAAAAGAACGAGTCAACACTTTTATACACCAATAAAAATACAAAAAATTCCAAATTTGAAATTATGTATGCAAGGTTATCTGATTTGTATGATACACATTTTTCATCAGCTAAATATTGTGATTTCAGTTGAAATTGGCATGATTTAATAATTCTAAATAGAATATGCAGGTTGTTTTAAACCAATACTTGATATTTATTGATTTATATATCAAGCGTTAACTCTTACAATATGACAGATTTAACATATATACAATGAAAATGTAAAGAAATCTATCGATACCTATAACATTAAAATAGGAGAAAAAAATGGAATCGCTCAATATAAAATGCATGAAATTTGAGCTTCATACAAAAAAAAATTTAGAAGATACTACTGTATTGAACATGAGGGCACCACTGCTCCTCTTTCAGAACTATTACACTCTAGAAATGAAGGAGTTGGTAAGTAGATTTACATATAAGAATCTTCCAATTTGAAGAAAAAACAAGGGTTTGAAAATCAATTTGGCTTTGTAATTTACCATCCAAAACAAGTATTCATTATATCTTAGTACACCTTATCGCTGTTTAGTTCATTCTGGGAAAAACACAGTCATTTGGACAACTTCTTGTTTAGGTCAAATGACGCAAAACAAAGGTCATCAGCAATGAGCCCATGAAGGAAGAAATTCATCGACTAAATACTGTGATTTCAGTTGACATTGCCATGATTTAAAAATTCTAAATAGAATATGCAGGTTGTTTTAAACCAATACTTGATATTTATTGATTTAAATATCAAGCATTATCTCTTACAATATGACAAATTTAACATATATGCAATGAAAATGTAAAGAAATCCATCGATACCTATTACATTAAAATAGGAGAAAAAGTCAAAGCGCTCAATATAAAATGCATGAAATTTGAGCTTCATAAAAAAATATTTAGAAGATACTATTGTAGAAGTAAATAAACTTGTAAAACAACCAAGCTATACAGGAGACACATTTTGCTGATTAACATGTTCCTGTAGTACTAATCATTCAAGTGTACAATTTTATTTTGTATTTGTTTTACTTTTTTAATTCGACATAATCAATCATTTAAAAATGAAATTGTTTCTGTAAAAAGCAATGAAATTGTTATACTTCATAAATGATAGTTGCTTTCACCATATAGAGTAGAAAGACAATACAAGAGAGACAGACTACAATGTGCTGAAAAATGAAAATAAACCGACATCAAACAGAAGAAAAAAATATAAACGCTATCAAATATTGGGCTGAACACAGGTGCTCATGGGAGTTTGTTACTTTTTCTATGTATTGCAAATGTTGAATTGCTCTTCTCGCTTAATAACAATTACATTTTGATTAAGTATTTTGTTTGAGGCGGTAATATTAATTACCATCGATGGTTTGAAGTAAGGGAAAAAGTAGTTATATAAGGAAAATAGAAAAAAAGTAATCTAGGAAAAAGGAAGCCTGAGAGAAAAATGAAAGGAAACAGGAGACCGGTGTATAGCAAGTGGACAACCCTAAAATAATTCTTATTCAACAATGTCCAGAATCAATCTACATTATGTCATTGATCTTATAATCATGTTTTGATAACATTCAAAGAATTTGAAATAATATCAAAATCATAATGAGAATATTAGGATAAACGATTAAAAGTCGTAAGTGCCGACAACAACATTTCAGTCAATGAGGGGATACAATCTCAGCTCCATTACTGGAATAGTCAGCATTTCTGAGTTGTTATTGATTGTAATTGGTATGGTCATAATTAAATTCATAATACAATTGAATTGACTGTTACAAAATATGGAATCTTTCGAAATACTTAGGATTGTTTACCCCAGGAATAAATTACCGTAGCTGTATTTGGCAAAACCTTTATGAATTTTGGGTCCTCAATGCTCCGTCACATTGTACTTTATTTTGCCGTAATAGCGCTGTTGTGATTCAAGCGTCACTGATGAGTCTTGTAGACAAAACGCGCATCTGGCGTACAAAATTGTAAACCTGGTATCTATCATCATGATCATGAGTTTATTTTAGTACGGCATATATTTGTTACAGGTTGAGATATGAAGACTACATCGACATGGATGTTGTTGACATCAATAAGCGTTCTGCACTGCATCTAGCTGCATGTGAAGGTCAGAACGAAGTATTGGAATATATTTTTCGTCATAACTTTTGTTTTCTGGAAGCAAAAGATGGGTAAATATAGATTGATAGAAAATATATATGTCATTGTTAAAGCATTAGTTACAAACAGATTTGTGATGATTATTTATCTATGATCAATTTATTACCAAATTGCTTTTCACGAAAGTTTGAGCCAAAATGTGATAGCCCCTTTTCCCTTAAGATGTATATCAGAAACTGGAACAAAAGATATTCTTTTAACCAATAACAACAACGACAGAGTAAAATTATTCGCTTAAATAATGGTCGTTCACTTCGTTTAGCGTTTACATATTCGATAGAAACGTTTTGTGCATCCATATTCACAATGTTCAGACTACACTATAAAAGGGAGATGATTATAAAGAAACAACTTCACGAGGGATCTCCTCTTATATAATGGTTTACACAGACGTGCCGCGGGTATATGTTACTTTTTCCAGAATATTTGATGTATCAATGGGGTGCAATCATGGGGGTTATATACCAATGTGAAGATAGTTATATGTCAATGAGTCATGAATGTGCATCTGCTTATGTGTGTGTAAAACTCGCTACTGATATTTTTAGGTAATATATATGAATGATCGCGTGGGGTTAAGATGTCATGTACAGATTATTTGTCTAGCTGACAGCTGGGAAACAAATGAATGGTTAATTATTTTCCTATTAAAAATATGTATGTCTATGGATGTTTAGTATACAACAATAAGAGAGCAACCCAACAACACAGATCAAACATAGATGGATAAACTACTGCCTTCAATAAGGTCCTTAGCATTAGACAAACACACGAACACCTGGCGGAATTGTACCAGTTTTGAAGAAATCAAGCTATTCTTGCTTTATATATATCAAAAGACACACAAACGAACGCACAGTAAAAGTCAGTTTAGAAAAAAAAACACGTTACTTTATGATATAGATAAATATATTGACAAATAAAACAATATCAAATAATGCAATATCGAAAAATTGTCTCAGATACTGATATCAAGTCAACAAGTTGAAGGCCGTACGGTTGCGTATAATTGCTTACATCTACTTCATTTGAACTTTGGTGGATAGTTGTCTCATTTGCAATCGTACCACATCTCTTTATTTATATATGTATATATATATAAATGACAGTGGTTTTTATGGACTGATAAAAGCACATTAAAGGGCAAGCTAAATCCTGCCTCGAAGTGCGGTATTTTCTCGTTGCGTTAAAGGCCCGTTGGTAGCCTTTTGCTGTTTTATGCTCTTTGTTCGGGTTTTAACTTCTTTGACGCATTCTCCGTTTCCATTCATTATTCTACAACATCATTTAATTACAAAAATCAAACAAAATAAATCTATGGTTTGATTAATTACCATTTTTCAGCAGAATATATCCGTAACAGATATACCAAGCTGCTGCTTCAGTAATGTTTATGCATCAAATAGAAGTCAGATAACTCTGAATATACACAACAAGTCGGAACATTTTGTTGTATCAACATGATCAACATATACCAATATGGTCATTATACTGTCTGGTTAAAAGTTTAAAAATGTATAGATATGAAATATCTACTTGTACTTAATTCTATGATCTGGCTAGTATCTATATTTAGTCTATTGAACCATTGGGTCGATCCCAGTGCTAGTGGAGGTTTCTTAGCGAGGTTATCACCAGCCCAGTAGTCAGCACTTTTGCTTTGACATGAATTATCATTGGTATGGTCATAATTATAAATCAACTGTCAATAAAGCTTAACATTTTTCAAAATACTATGGATTTCCTTACCCAGAACATGTTATCTTAGCTGTATTTGGCAAAACCTTTTTGAATTGTGGGACTCCAATGCTCTTCAATTTCATACTTTATTTGACCGTCATAATGTTTTTATTCGAGCATCACCATTGAGTCTTTTGTAGGTAAATCGCGCGTCTGTCTTACAAAATTTTTAGTCATGGTATCTTGGTTAATTTTATTAAAGAAACGGTACAATCTATTGATTGGTAATCAACATTAGGTATAATTAAGTTATTACTTTTATCAAGCTCTCTCCTAGTTTTTATAGGGACAGTTTTTATTAACATTTTAAGTGTGACTTTAAAAAGTTTAAGTTGATGGTATTTTATATAAACAGGACTGCTTAACAGTGTGTGATATTGAAACGTATGTCTTATTATTCATATCATGTTAATGCATTTTCGTCTTTTAAACTTTTTCAGAAATGGATCAAACATTTTGAAAACTCAGTTGAATGAAATTAAAGTTATTAACTATTTAACAATTTAAAGGGATTCATTTGTTTTCATTACGACCAAGTGAGACATGAAGATTAAGCATGGAGGTAGACGAGTCAATTAAAGTACACACTCATCATTACCTCCTACTGCACTAACATGATTTATTTATTCATAGATGGGATAGGTCAGCTGAAGATGACATTAGATGGCATCATGCGCAGCGTCAAGATGAAAAATACGATACTGCCTTAAAGATACTAAATACTAACAAAGACAAAAACATCCATAAACGGAAAAAGGTAACACAATTTAATACGATTTGAATAATTAAACTAAGCATATACAATATTTCAAACATGCCAAAAAGCCCATATTGCATATTGGAAAGACCTAACAAGAAAAGAAAAAGCAGTTATGTCATTTAATGCGCCTTACAATTTTCGTCATTTCAAATTTACCGATTAGAAAACAGTAACAACACAAATTATGAATGTATACGATGAAAAAAACCCTGAATTTAACAACGTGTTATGTTCTGAATGTCTACATCCTCACACTTAAATAATTATAAGACAAACCTCAGATTGTTAACACTTTTTCTTTCGTTTATAAATCATTGAAAAACACAGATTCAGTTCTCATTTGTGCACATAAAGGCCTGAACTAAATCATAGCATATAATAATAGGAATAGAGGCGTCATTCAATACGTTAGGAGCTAAAAAGTAGAAAGATTTGAAAGGTCCTAACAAGACATAATGTAAAACAAATTTTAAAACCAACAGCCTGATTTTAGTAAAAAACAATTACCAAAAAACAAATAAAAAACAGCAACGAAATACTTCGTACTATATAGAACATCAGAAATGGATAGTTTTGTGACCAAACCACCTGCAAATGCATTCAAATGCAAAATCATTCAGTTAATTTAAATATGATTTATAAAGTTGTCCTTTATAATTAATGCAAATATACATACCCTTGATAATGTTGATGTCTAAGGTTATTCTTTAACATTTAAATGGTAATGTGCAATCATTATTGTTATACAAAAACATTGATCAACTATTTAATTTCTGCGTCAATTATTATTGCATGAAAAAGAAACAGTTCAAAGAAAGAAAAGCCCTAGAACTGATAACAGCAGCTGGAAAGGGTGATCTTCGTACAATCAAGCGGTATGATAACATTTTTACGTATTGATGCTTTTGATTAATAAGAATAATTATCAGGACAAGGGATATAAAAGATAGGCAAAAGATACCAAAGCGACATTCAACTCATAAGTTGAAAATAAACTGACTACCTCATGGCAAAAAAAAAAAAAAAAAGACAAAAAAAAATAAAAAAATAAAAAAAAGACGAACACTGTGTTCTAATGTTCAAATCTAGGTATCCTCTATGACACTTATCTAAGTTGCATGTACCGGGAATTAGACAGATGTTTATCTCTTGTTTCATTGGTTAGTAGCGTTTGATTTTGTCAGTTTTATAGACTTCTTTTTTAATTTGCCTTGGAGTTTGGTATTTTTATATACTTTTTCGTCAATAGTCTATTTATAGAGAATATAAAGTTAAAAAATTGTTAACCTTTTGACCTTTTTAATAATTCTTTTTCTAAAATACAATGGCTCTCTTTTAAAAAAGCAAAACGAGAAAAAATATGGACAAAGATTCAAAGGTAAACAACTGAATGACACAAATTTTAACAAACCCATGCCATGATTACAGTGAAGATATCATTAGAATACCAAATGTACTAGAAAAAATTCTTAATGATTTAATGGATCTACGTAGCCAATGATTCTTAATGATTGAGAAATTGTTTTCTGATTAACGTCTAATGGGGGAAATATTTCATGCGTGTTCAGGACGAGAACAAATTAACCAGTATACAAAATATAGGTCCTTCTATAGGAGTAGACCAGAATGAAGGAAAGAGAAATTTGGAATCTTACTTGAAATTTTTTTTTATCTGATAGGGCAATAAATTTAAGCCTGCAACATTCAACCAACGGACCCTCCAAAGAGTTGGTTCAAGGTTTATTCAACGTACAGTGGGTGTGGAACACCATCGGTTGATACAGAAATAACGAAAAAAAAACAATTTTACAACTAGTGTACCATTTCAGTATCCCGTTGAGATGGAGTGATCATTAAAATGAGATTGTTCAGATACATTATACATGTACACACATTGCTTTAAATCCACTGATTACGGTTAGGACGCTTTGTTGTTGAACATTGTTCCCTTCAAATAATATATGTGTGTAAAAAGAGGCATGAAACAAAAAACTAAAACAATCAAAAGACAAGCAACAGTATAAAAAAGAAAAGAAAAAGCAATCTAAATACTGAGCAATCGAAATCCATCAAAACAAGGATGATCGCAGGTGCTCTTGAAGAAAAAGCTGATCATGCTTAACATGCGACACTAGTCGTGTTACTCTTATACTTTTTTCTTTGATAAGTTATATCACATCCCACAATAGAAGATTGAAATTTGACTCTTACAATTACATATCACCAAATTATTAAACAATCGATAATTTAAAACCCTGAAACTTGAGAGCGAATTTGGTAATGAAAATTTGAAATGGAAATTAGGTTTGCATGACAACTGATAAATAACACTGTTACCGGTATAAACACACTGACATAAAAAGCATAACGTACAACACTACGATCAACACGAACCCATTTTTAAACAAAACAAAGGGTGTTCGCAGGTGCTCCGGAATGAGTATGTTGATCCTGCTCCACATGTGGCACCCGTCGTGTTGCTCATTTAAGTACAAATCAAGCATGTTATGTTTAAATCCGAGTGGAAACATCCGATTCAAACCGTCCTTGATTATGTGGTTCCCAATAATTCCGAATCCCGGCTTTGATTGCTTGTAAATTCGGTGTTAATAGTTTATATCAGAAAGAGGTTATGACACTTATGTAATGTAGGTGTCAATGAAGATTATTTTCTTCCTCTTAAGTGGAAATTTCCAATGAACATAGAATAGACCTAAGATTTTTCTAGATTTCCTCTTTGGTAAGTATCGTTGGGGTATATGATGAGTTGAAAAGGGAATCGTCAATATCTTATTTCTGTTATTAAGCAATGTATGTAATATGATTTACACATACACACGATATTCTAATGGTTTTTTTTGTCATTGAATAGAACAAGTGATTAGCAGCATTTTGTCCTTAAAGATCGATTTATCATATGTATTCATAGACCCATGAAGTGTTTAAATTCTAAGTTGTATCTACGACCTCACAGCCTTAACCTATTCGAAAGGATTATCTAAGTCTTCTTTTCTTGTGTTTTGCCTATTTCCTTGCACAATCTTCGAGTTTATCAGTATTATGAAGTTGTGTTTTCAATTGATGGGTTAAGACGAATGATATATCAGGTCTTTGGATGACAATTGGCGCGGCATTTTCCATGTATTAGAAGGAAAATATAAATAATTATATAGTATAAAGGAAGTAACTTTTACATTATCAGCAAAATTTGAAATTTTGGACCAGCAGATTTCTTAAATATTTTTTTTCTAAAGCTCACACTTTTAACTTGTGAAATGAGAAGATGTGGTATGATTGACTTTAAGACATCTATCCACAATAAACAAAAAGATAACAGCAACTATAGGTGAACGTACGGCCTGCAAAAATAAACCAAACTCATACTGCATCGCAAGGTATAAAAGGCACCGACATAACCAAATAACTTTGAGAAAAAAACAAATGGCCTGGTATATGTACAAAACAACAAAAGAAAACAAATATGATATACAACAACGAACAACCTTTACTGCTAAAAACATATTTTCCCAATGTGAAGATACTTAATTCCATTCGGCAAATGAATAAACAAAGATAAGCAATGTTTTTCGTCTTTGATAATTGAATATTTTTTCATACTAGGGCCTTATAAATATAAAAATAAGGTGATGTTGTATGATTGCCAATGAGACAACTATCCACTAGTTCGAATGAAGTGGATGTAAGCAATGATAGGCAACCGTAGGGCCTTCCAGAATGAGGAAATCTCATACCGTATAGTCGGCTATACGTAAAAGACGTTGACATGAAAAATATGAAACAATCCAATTGAGAAAACCAACAGTTTAATCCATAACAAAACAATTCGAGAAAAAACAAATATGACAGCAATGAAATAACAACAACCACTGAACTACATTCTCCTAACTTATAGAATGTGGCAGGGTTATACATGTTTGAAGGCGCCAACCCAACCTTTTAACCCGGAACAGTGGTGTAGCAGTACAACATAAAAATAAACTATATACATCTGTCGACGTACACATTTTTTAGTTCTAGCAGTTACTGACCGCTAGATCAAAGCCAATATCAACTAATAAAAAAACCTTATATATCTAATTATACACTAATCGTTTACATCCTTGATCATTTGGCTAGATGTCTATTTGACAATAACACTTTTTTCAATATATTGGGATAAACATACAAATTATTATTAAAAAAAAAAACCGGTACAAACTTTTCTACATTCTGCGACAGTTGCACATTTCGACAATAAATGTCTCATCAGTAATACTCGAAATTGAAAAAAGAATAAAATCCCAACCTTAAACAATCGTCAAAGAGCTGATAAAAAAAACGAAAAGTTGGAATTAAAGATAAGAAAATGTTATAAAAACAACATGATAAACACTTTAAATTGACTAAACTTGCCTATCTTTTTGGTATGTTTTAGAAAAGAACAAAGAAATAATTGAAATGAAGATAACATTCTGGAGAGTTGTCTCATTGGCACTCATACCACATCTTCTTATATCTATATAATATGCCCTATCTACAATATTGATATAAAGTTGTTCATGATTAACATTATATGCATAGAATATAAGGAGGCTATTTCGCCAAGTCTCTTAACTTGCTTCAGTAGTTATAGACAGACATTTGCGTTTAACTAACACAGGATTTGACCAATGAAATGTATACATGATATATGCTCTTACCAAAGTTTTGCTTGGCATACAATAAGATATGGACTGGAGACAATGGTTGGATTGGCTTGTTCTTATAAAACAAATACTACTGTGTAAAGCTATTTAATCAAAAATGATTTTTCACCTATAGGTTAAATCAATTGGGCACTGACATGAACTTGGCAGATTACTCAGGACAAACAGCATTACATGCTGCTGTTGACAATGGAATGGTCCATATTGTGAACTATCTTATAGACACGTGTAATGTATCACCATTTGTAAGATGGAGGTAAGAAACAAACAAAGAAAAAATGGTGCCATCTTTGTCGCTGTGAATATGAAGGGATATATGGACATCTAACAAAAATGTTTATGAGCTCTGTCGCCAGGTAAACTCAATTTGCGACAGTAAAACTACCGATGGACGTCCGCAAAGCTTGAAATACAATACAGTTGTCTCTTAATTTTCGCCCATCAGATGAACTTGACATAACTTAAGTCTGTGACCTTTGTAGTTAGAAGTATCACTATTTTTTGGGTCAGATCTTGTCAAAAACGTTACGTCGAATGATTTATATGTATGGGAAATGATTAGCACGATACGGTTAAGCTGAGCTCAAAATTTGTTTTCTTCCTTTCCTGCAAAATTGACCACATACAAGTTTTGCTGTTCTATGTTTCAAGCGTTTAATTCGTTTCAAAGTGCATATAATGAACGGAGAAACACGTAGTGTTGTCTGTTAAGTAGATATATCATTTGTTAGTTTTGGTAAGATTATATTTATTTTTGCAAGTGATTTCGATTTTGATGATTCCTCCGAATCCCTGATATTGATTCGTGTATATATGAAGTTATTATTTTTTTTTATCAATTAACTACTCTGTTATTGGACTTAATATGATGAAAACTGCCTATGCAATACAAAAGTGTTAACTCGGCCAATACAGATTAACTCTGCCGATATTTTTTCTGTATTGGCCGAGGTCTGGTCCGGTCAATACAGAATTTCGGAACGTCTCTAGTTTTTAGCTCAAAAGACATGATAAACGAAAACTTAATGTTAACTGTCGTTTGGAAGATGCGGTTTCATTCACTCACCATAAACATGCCGCAACGTTCAGTGTGGCAAATATTTCTGGCTGAAGACGATCACATTCATTTAAAAAAGCATTTTATAAGCAGACAATTGAATTATTTCAGGTTCGGGCATCGAGTCAATCTGTAGAATATCACATGGTTCATTTCTTGTCGACCTCATAGAGTGCATTTGATTTTATTGTTTACTTTCGCTTCTCATGTTTTTGTTAGGTATCATATATTTTTCAAACCTTACCAGACATATGGATTGTTGAAGGTTGACCTGTAATCTATTGTAATTTGTTCCAAGTCTCTGTTCTTTGGTCATTGTTTATGGATAGATGCCTCAGTTGCAATCATATTTAACTCTCTCATGCAATGGCAGTAGCTTTCCAATTACTATTTTTGTGTTGCGTCTAAATATGTATTGTAACACTTTATAGTGACTGAAAAGGGTTAACAAATCATCAAAAAATGTAAAAGACACTTCCAAACAAAAACAAAAAAGAGGTTAACACTGTAGTTAGTTAATAAAGATATCATTGCGTGATTATTTCTGTATTGGCCGTGTTATTGGTCCTCTGACAACTGTATTGGCTTCAGCCAATACAGCAAGCCTCGGACCAATAACAAGGCCAATACAGAAAAAATCTCACATTTTAATATCATAGTACAAATAAAGAAATACTATGATGAAATTTATTCAATATCCAATCTCCATGTCTATACTTGAATTTAAGAGGAGACTTTGCAACACCAAGTGCAAACGGGAGAAAGCAGTTATCTCATACTTAAGTTAACAAATCCATCGAAATGAAGATAGATACAATTTTGTAGCTCATACTTCGAAAATGTTTAGTAATAATATCCTACTTATATTCGTAGACGTGACAGACGCCCTATTGACGTTGCACTGGCTCATGGAAAAGAAGAAAATTTGGGAAGGATCAAATCCTATATGTCAAGCATACTAAAGAATGGCACAGACAGGGCTGTAAGTCAAACGCAGATTACTCCTTAATCCTCTTGCATGCTCTGAGAAGAGAAAAAAATTATTTAACACATTTCAATGAAACATACGTATACCAATCGAAAAAAACCTCATCAGTTGCGCTCGAATTAAAGCAGATTGGAGGCAAAATTTATTATGAAGTTGAAGAGCATTGAAGCGCTGATTAAACCGGACAATGAAACAAACATTCAGTGCTACATGTATACATGAGATAGATAGTTTTTTTTTTAATTTAAAGTAATAATAAAATTTTGTATATCATCAAATTTTAATGAAACAATATCTGAATATTCATTTTAGCTACTGGGCTCGTAAAAAGCTTAGAGTTTTATAAGTAAAGAAATATTGTTGATTATATTTGACATAACTATCTTAAGATCAGATTCTGAAAGAGTCCATGAAAGGAACAAAATAGTTTTCATGCATTGTCCATTAAAGAATAGAAACTTCCTATTTGTGGTATACATGGTCTGAATATAGTAGATTGTAAGTTATGTCCATGACGACGCAGTTCGCTTATAGATGCAAACAAAATATTTTTTAAGTTTCCCCTAGGTTGTAATTTTACTACTATGTTAGTCTAGTTATGATAATTTTATCATTGTTTTTTGTAAACAAAACATTTCTGTGGAGAACAGTTTCATAATCCTATTGTTGTGACAATTGTTCAAGACAATATCAGTCAGAATAATGTTCACACTGTAAGTAATGTCCAGATATTTAAAAAAAAAGTACTTTATTTTATCTCAAGATGAGTTGTGTAAAGTTGAATATTTGAAACATTAATGTATCGTTACTATGATGCTTTTTGATATTAAATCAACGTGCAAATATTTCAACTTTATTGAAATGAATGTAGAGCTATTGGAGAGTAAACGCTATAATACAATTGTATTTTTTCCGCTATCTTTATTGAAACTATAGTGAACAGCAAAACGTAATTTTGACGGAAACAATAAAAGTATTAATATACCTTGTAATTTGTGACACAGAAAACCATAAACTGATAAAACAAACCACCCTTTATTTCAATTGTTTGCTTTTGAAATCATAATCATCTTCATCATCATGAATATCGTAATCCTCATCAAACTATCAAAAATACAAATCGTATTCTTTCAATTGTGTTCGCTGTGCAGAAGTATTCAGAACAATACAAAACAAAAGTGGTTATACTACCACCAGAGGATGTTGCGATTGTGCGTCTCCTGAACTATGCTTCAAGAGGTGATGTTGAACAAATGAAAGGGTAAATAAATCGTAGAAAAATTTGTAGATACTTTACTATTACATATATTATATATTTATGACATTGTAGTATTTTACTATTAACTATGTATTTTAGCTTAATTCCCAATTAAACGACTGTAAGGAGGGTTCTTATTTCCTGTCTATAGCGTTCAAGGTGCACCGGAAACATTTTTGCACAGATGAAACGCGACTTTAAATGACAAAAAAAAAAAGAGAATGCAATTGTTTGTAAACAGTGATCGCCTCCGGACAAGAGTCTTTGGTTTGATCCCCAAACGGGGTTAGTTAAAGACAGAGAAAAAATACTTTCGAAATTGAACAATGTACAATAAACCTACACCTTGACCAAAATAAAAATGAAAAAAGCGCCCTAAACCAAAACATTGAAGTTGTATACTGTGGATTCATCTATATTCGTGGGTACCAATTTTTGTGGATTGAGAAAAACCTGCACTTTCGTGGATATTTGATTACGTGGTTTTGCAAAAGTCTGCATACAACCCTATAAGAAATTTGCAATACGTTGCACATTTAAATTCGTGGTTCACCTGTACCAACGAAATCCACGAAAATTGGTATCCAACGAATAATAATGAATCCACAGTACCTTTAATTATTGTTCTCTCTCCTGTTATTAACATTTAGAAGTAAGATGGAAGATTGATCAACTCGCATTCGAAAAACTAGCTAAGTAACGGGGCATGTCGTTCATTAATCTTATTTTGTGAGTCCGCATTAAAACATCTGCATTGTATGTCAGTCCCGAAAATTATGAGATTGTCTTTTACTGGTAGGAATATCTTCATATATGTGAAACTATTTTAATGTCAGTATGAACTCCGAACAAGTGTTTTTCTAGCTTACTATAAGGTCGTAAATATGATAAATTCATTCTCGTAAACTAGGCAACATTCAGTATACACGTTGGATAGTAATTTTTCATGTCAAGTCAATCATCCTATGATTTTTCTAGAATATACGAGACTATGAAACTGCATTTTATCAGTGTATCTCAGAATCAGGGTGATGTAGTATATTAATCATAGTCTTTCAATGACCTAATATTGTATATACAGGATAAGCATATCTTTCATTGAGCGAGAGCGTAGAGTTTAATTATTATATTCTTCCAACAATTTGATACCTGCAATAACATAAGTACCAATTTGGAGCATTTAAATAATTGTCTTACGATACACAATGTCAACAACGATAACAGAGAGAGAAAAAACATGTCAATACAAGATCGTATGTTAAAAAAAACATACAACACCATAGCCAAAAATAAAAACGACAATAACAAACAAGAATAACAAAACATTAAATAGAAACCTTTCTTAAAAATACCAGCACGTGACATCGCATAAGTTGACGTCTATACAAAAAGTATTATCGGCTATCTTATTTCAATTAATTTTGTAAAAATTGATTTCACAGTGTTTTTGTTGAAACTGGGCGAATGTAATGGATATTTTGGTATTGGTTACTGAATAAAAATAGTCTCACAAAAATTAATAATTTTATGTTGTTGTTTTCTAAAACAAGTAATTTTGTAATACATATATAAATACGGAGATGTGGTATGATTGCCAATAAGAAAACTATCCAACAAAGTTGAAATGAAGTGGATGTAAGCAATAACATGCAACCGTACGGCCGTAATGAGAAAAAAACCATACCGTATGGTCGGTTTTGAAAGGGCCCGAAATATAAATATGGAAATATACAGTTGAGAAAACAGCGCTCAACCCTCCCCACAACCTGGGACGGTGGTGTAACTGTACAACATAGTAACAAACTATAAAATTTATTTGAAAATAGCTTACCTATTCAATTCGATACAAAGCAGAAAAACATATAACAAAAACACAAACCTGACGTAGCAGGGTATTTATATATCCATTACAACACCAAAAAAAAACAAAGTACAGATCTGAAAGTACTCGCAGTTACTGGCGTCTAGTTCAAAGCCAATAACCAATAATAAAATGTTTCTAAGATTTAAATATCAATCAGTACACATCCAACATCTAAAAGATTTAGTGTAAAGACCTCATTTAATAGTTAGAGAAAAATGACCTCGTTCAATGCCACAAATATAGGTATCGACAGATTGTAGTACCGTAAAAAATTGAAAACAACACGTTTAATAATTTCATGCGTTCGAAGCGCTTTTCTGGATTTATGTGCATATGTATATAAAAATTTAAAGATCTTATTACAGTGTTAAATTGGTAACCTTTTAGAATAAGCGTATTTAAAGGATTGATAAGATTACCCGGATTGTAATTTAATATTTCCTATTGTATTTTACTCCAATAATTATACCGCATTTAACAAAGTTGATTAGGTTCTTTCCACTTACAAAAAATACTTAATAGTGAAAACTATGATAACAAAAAAACCGAACTCCGAGGAAAATTCAAATCGGAAAGTCCATCATCAAATGGCAAAATTAAAAGCTCAAACAAATTAAACGAATGGAAACTTATTACTATTAAGTATTTTCTATATATTTTGTATAAGATATACAAAATGATTGACAAAACTTCGACCTCTTTGTCAGAATTTTGATACGGGTACCCTACAAATCTCTTAATCTACAAATGATGATTACTTGCGACAATCACGTTAAATTGAGTAAGTACAATAACATGCATAACCAAATCGTTGTTGAATTTGCTTTTTGCATTTTGATAATATATTGATCGGATTTACATTACAGTTTCAAGGCATCAGGTTACAGGATGGATGTCTATAATTATGACAGTCAAACAGCGCTTCACATAGCAGTAAGGGAAAATCAAGAGTATGTAGTTGACTTTCTTCTGGGGGAATGCGACCAAATAGACCTTGCTCTAAATAAAAAAGACAGGTGAGTTAAAAAGATGATGTCAATAATCTATAGAAAAACTTATATAAGAATTCATATATAGAAAAACAAAATAAACCAATGACCAAACACATCATTCTCGCACAAAGTAAATTGTTATTATAGATGAGTCACTGCTTGGTGGCTTAATTGTTTATGCTAGATTAAAACTAACAATCATTGCAAGCAGTATTAAAATATAAGCATTTTAAAAATAACTTTCGCTGATTGTTTTAAAATTTATGCACATGAGTCCGGTTATATATATATTTTTTTAAATCAATGTCCTAAAATTTATTAAATTATGAAAATCTCACTGAAATATCTGGTGTCTTGATTGTATATGCTTTCAGTTCCTGAGATCACCCCCGGTATTGATCGGGATCGTGTTGCTAAATACCAAGTTTTCTATGTTGTGTTTTTGTAGACTATTGTTTGTCTTTTTATTGTGTTTCGTTACTTGTCAATGCGTTGTCAGTTTTCTTTGTGATTTTAATGTCCCCTTGGTATCTTCTTACTTTTTAAAAGTTAATTGTATTGTTTGTGTGAAATAGCGCTTCACACCTATTTAAAGTAAGACTCCAAGATGTTTTCTAATGTGAGAACTATAAACCAATAACCAAAGGACAAGGATTTGAACAAATAAAGTTCACATTACGACTTTCAACAATGAGCAAAACCTATACGATAAGGTATGCCACAAAGAACTAGAAATAACAAAACGTCAACCAATTGAAAAGACTATTTTTCAGTAAAAAGGAAATTATTAACTTATTTCAAACACTCATCATATTGAGTTGAAACAACACATTTTGTGAATTTCTTAAATACCATAAGAGTTTTGACGTATAACACCGCTCCTTAATATATCATTGAAATTTAATATTAGTAACAATGACAGTAGTTTTATTAAAGATGGATGATGACTCCCTGGGAAGTCGCAAAGAAATCGGCAATGAAAAGTGTGTATTATATTTTTTTGAAGAATTGCCCGGTAAGTACATAATTATTGAGCTAAATTTAAGTGCACAGAAACATACCTCAGCTAGAAGATATATGATTATTGATATATTTATTGCTATTTATTGTGTAGCATTTTAATCTTGGATACTGCATTAGCTCAAATATAGCTTCAAATTATCTAAGTCATCAATGACAAAATTTTGTTTACTTTAGTCTGGGATAAGATGATTTATCTATTAGTTGTGATTGACATTGGAATTAGTAATTGCTAGTACTCTAAGATCGGCACTTTGTGTCATTTACTTTTTACGTTAAATACTTTGCGTGTTTCGTTCCGAACTGATGAGGTACGCCATTTCTAACTGATTGTCCTTATATTGTGCTTGAAAACTGGTAATTATTATCTCTTGTGAAATAATATTGCACTTTCAAACTCGTGCATTATTAAAAAAACAATAGTTGGGATAATATTCATGAATGTTTTTGCAATAACCCTATACATGCTATATACATAGTATATCAAGCACATTTAATATATCATTATTTTTGTAGGAATTAGTGGAAACAGAAAATGATGATATTAAGACGTGTCAATTGCTGAATGCAGCTGCGGAAGAAAATCTTGAAACACTTAACAGGTAATATTTACAGACAGTAAAATGTAAATAAATATTCTCATTCATGAAATAGTTCAGCATCCTTCCCAGTAAGTTATCAGTTCACATTGAATCTAATTAAACTCTGACAAATTGCAAACCAAGACGAAAAAATGAAACAAAATGTTTTGTTAGAACAGTACAGAAGATCTTTTCCCTTGATTTTTTTCTATTTATACATGTAAATAAATACACAAAAAAACACTCGATACATTTTGTGCGTCCAAAACGCTTTTCTGAATGTACTTTCGTTAAAAGCTAAACATTTTAAAGCAAGGGATGTGAAAATATGTAGAACACTAATAATGACTATGAGTTAAATAGTTAAAAAACAAAACATCACCTCTAAAAACACAAAAACAAAAATATGAAACTGAATATAAAAGTTATTGAAGACACTAATCAAAGATACCAGGCATATAACTTGGTCAGTTGAGAACAAACTTTGCGACAAAAGAGATGATTTCAGCTTCTCAATTGCAGCGCCTGCATATGGAATATATATCTCTCTGTTGATACGATATTCCATGTCTTGCCTTTCTTATCACGATTTCCTTGATAGAGGGTTAATGCTCACAAGAAAGCTTTTAAACCAAGCGTTCTAAGTGGGGAAATTGAAATCATCTCTTCAAAACTGTAACGCACGCCATCACGAGTTGGTTGACCGTTATGAAATCGGTTATGTTCCAATTGACATTACCTAAGTCCTGTTCTCCTTTCCACGTTTGTGAATTGCCATATAAGACTTATTAACGGATTTGTTCTTACATGAGAAACACGGCGGTTGTCACATGTTGAGCAGGGTCAGCTTAATCAAACGGTGTACCTGAGATCACATTCGGTTTTCGGTGGGGTTCGTGTTGCTCAGTCTTTAGGTTTTCTATGTGTTTTGCATTCTGCTGTTTGTCTTTTTGGTCCTTTTCTTTTTTTGCCATGGCGCTGTCAGTTTATTTTCGACTAATGAGTTTGAATGTCCCTGTGATATGTTTTGCCTCTCTTTTGATACACCAGACGCGCGTTTCGTATACATACGACTTACCAGTGGCGCTCGAGTTAACACGGTTGGAAGTCAAAACCAAATACAAAGGTACAGAGCATCAACCACCGAAAATTCCGGAAAGTTATGCCATATACGTCTTGAGTCAAAGACAAAGTTATACAATGTCTATATAAAAAAAGAATTAGACGCGCCTGGACATATATTGCGACGTCGCTTTTCCTAAGAGATTTATACTGATAACTGGAAGAATTCAAGTTCTGAATTAATGGATTAGTCATATCTCTATTGTCGAGAACCATACGCTGAAGTGTTATGGATGCCACTTTTGTTTAAATGTTTTAGTGATAACTGCATCATTAAGGTAAATGCCACATACACTTTAATTCATGTAATAATTTGTGTATCAATTAATCTTTAAAGCTTACATGAACAGAATGTCGACATGAATCAGAGAGATTACGACGGGAGAACTGCTTTACACCTTGCAGTTTGCGAACAGAAGATAAAAGCTGTTAAGTTCCTGATAAATAAAGCAAAAGTTGATATGACAATTCCAGACAGGTAACCAATTTCAGATAGTATTCCATCCTGTTAATCTAAAAATGTTTATTATATATCTATGCTATAACACATATGGTCATGGTAAGAAAGTATATTTTAAGATATAGATGTTACTCATGTCAGCGGCATTAAATTGCTATAATTTCAGTTGATTATCTGAATTTATACATAGTTGCATTGTACAGTTAGGTCCATATTCAACATATATGTTAGATAAGAAAATTAACATACAAATTAAATAAGTATAATTATGTACTGCTTACCTTTCATTTGATTCCATTTTAAGACCAAAAACAAAAAGTGTTCAACATGTTCAAATCTTACTTTATTTTATGTTATACACTTCTTAAGATATAATCGACTTCCTATTGATGAAGATACAAGTGCAGAAATTAAAGACTTACTGGAACGCTACAAGAATGATGAAAAAACGAGAAATGAGGTAAATTGTACATTAAAAGATATTCTTATAAATGACGTAGTAATGGCATTTGAACGGGATTATCTCTTTGACCTTATGTATATTGCTTATATTTACAATGCTGTTCAGGCAACTTTTAAAGAGTATATGAAACTGAAACAATATGAAAATCGAACATAACATCAAAGTTATTTTCATTACACGTAGAATAGTAATATAACTTTGTTTAGAAATCCAACCTCCTCATGACAATTTGACGTTAGATTTATTTTGCAGTTTCTTTATATCATTTTTGTTCCTAACGTTTCACTAATTGTATCTTCGAAATCGATTTACGAGATATGAACACCTTTAAAGTACTGTCATCTTATTCAATACATCTCTGGCTTTCAAATGTTTATGTATTAGCGTTCCTGATGAAAGGTAACCCACAAAAGAACATTGGTCGCACATAATTTACAAGGTGTTATTTTTATAAAATTCACCTTTGATAAATTGAGAAATCATAAAGATCTAAGGTTCAAACTCCTTCATGCAAAGTTGATCTAAGAAGAATTTGGCTAATCTTGTTTTTGTTGTCATGTACATGATGTATCTCCTAACATTCCTACTCATTACTAAATCCTTGATTTTCAAGTTTTTTAGTTTAGGAAATCTTAATGAAATTAAATCAAGAAAAGCGCTTCGAACGCTCAAACTTTACACGGTGGTATTTTCATTTACTAGCACGGGTTCTATACCACTGCTGATGGACTTCTATCCCCGATGATATCATAGTCAGTGTTTCGTACTGGCATACTTTATAACATTTTTTTCTTAAATTCATCAAGAACTAAGGATCAAACTCCCTCGGGTAATTTTGATATGAGATGAATTTGGCTATTGTCATAAAGCTCCTTTTTACATCCTTGACTTTCGAATATTTAGATTATAGCGTTCTGGAAAAAAGCAAGTCAATGAAATCAATTTTGATTCACGAAATGTAGATAGTTTTATGCCATTAATAGTTTCAGGCTTTTTAGAACAAAATATTCTAACTAGTATCTAGCAGATTTGTACAGAGACAACTTTGTACAATTATATTTTCATGATGCGAACTTTAAAAATGTTAAAGGTAAGGATTCTTTTATATGTTTTAATTTGCATTCGTGTTGGATTTTGTTTTATTTTGCCTTTCTAAATCTGATGTTATGTTGAAGCTTAACATTTTGTTTTTGTACTCGGCCTGTGTATTAAATACCTTATGCTACACAAAACTATGAAAAAAAGCATATTACAAAAAAAAAAATGATAGAAGTTTGAATGAAAAGATAGAGGTCCCTTTATTTTGTGTTGAAATAATATATTCCAGTAAAAAAGTAAATGGCAAGGAGGCTGCAACTAACCGACAAACAGACACAATAACATGAGGTCAACAAATTATTGATGCAACACTATTTAAAATATCATAAACAATTCACAAAATATAAAAATACAGATAAAAAAGCTGATCGATTCGCATAAGTTCCTAGAGTAGCGATATCGATATGTCACAATTAGGAATACAATACAATACAATACAAAGTTTTTTATTGTCAATTATGACGCCCAATAATTTGAGCAGTACAATTAAGTTCAATTTCATACAAGTGATTACATATTGATTACATTGATTATTAACAATTAAACAAAATCAAGTCTTTCTCAGCAGAATAATTTCTACAGGAATAATATGTATAGTTTTACAATTTAATATAGATGGACAAACTACCGGTGACTAAACTGTATCTAGAATTAAATTTCTCTTTTTGAATAAAGTACACAATAATAAACTTACTTTTTTAATTATAACATTATCCTCAGATGAAATTAACCATATCAATTTTGATTTATTTGGGAGGATTATAATGTTTTTGTTAACCTTATTTAAGTAATTTATATATTCAGATCTTTTATTTTCTAAAACAGGACACTGAAGAAGAAAATGAATTTCATCTTCAACTTCAGTGTTGCATAATTTACATATTCTATCCTCCACTCAAAGCCCCACATATCTGCCTCTTTCAATTTCTAATTTATGTGCACTGACTCTGAACTTAGTGAGCAGTCGCCTATCACCCTCATTCAAAATTAATAAGTATTTTTCCATACAAATCTTTTCTTAAATAATCTGTAAGTTCTTAGTTTATTTCCATGCTGTTTATTTTGTCTATCATTGTAAAGTTCAGATTTCCAAAAAACAAGAATATTTCTGTTTTAATTTCCGGTAAATTAGTGATTTTAAATCAATCTTTGAATGTTAAACAAGTTTAAGATCTATATCAAGATATTTCATAAGAATAACAATACAACTATACCAACTATTTTTGTTTAAACTATTTAGTGATCTAGAGACATTCAGAGCTTCAGAGAGAAGGATATCATCAGACTTCAATACATATTTATAATATCTAAACATATTTAAAGTTACTTCAAGAAATGAGGGATATCTTCCCATTTCACTCCCATATAACAACACAGGTTTCACAGTATGATCAAATATATGTGAAAGTGTGTTAATTTTAGGTTTATATAAGTTAAAACTTTTTTTATATTTAAATACAGCTTTCAATCCCCTTTTATATAAATTTTCTTTAGCCTCTGTAAAGCTTCCACTTGCACTTACATAAATTCCTAAATATTTATAACCCCTAGCCCTTTCAATAGGTACATTATTAACATTAAACATTTTTTCATACAGTTTTCCTGTTTTATTAAATAATACTGATTTAGTTTTCTTTATATTTATTTGGAGCCCCCATTTATCACAGTAGTTATATAGTTTATAAATACACTTCTGTAAACCATCAGCTGTTTCTGACATCAATACTAAGTCATCTGCATACAATAAGCAATTAAACTGTAAGGAATTTAAAATAGCAGGTTTACATGTGTGTGTTACAGGTCTCATCAAATGAGTCAAGAATATCATTTATAAAAATTTTAAATAAAGTGGGACTTAAATTATCCCCTTGTTTGACTCCTGTGTTAGATGTAAAGTTTTCAGTCATAGAATATTTGTCTACCTTTACACAAAGTTCAATATTATTATACATATCTTTTAGAGTGTTATAAAATAAATCACTGACCCCAATATTTCTCAGTTTATAAAAAAGTCCATCATGACTAACAGTGTCAAAGGCTCTTCTTAGGTCAACAAAGCATCTAAAGAATTTTTTATCGCGTTGCTGAGTATACTTTTCTATAAGAGTTCTCAAAACTAAATGATGATCACTGGTGCGCTTGCCTGTACAGAAACCAATTTGTTCCGGTTTAATAATATTTCTACTTGCCAAAAACTTCTCTAAACGAATATTTATAGGAAACAATCGGTAAATATACAGATTAGACGACTATTTTGGTATCAAACATGTCGGTGAGACATACCGTATTGGTCAACCAATTCGTGATGGCGACCATTTAAACTGATGTAGTATCGATTAACGTCACTCTGTCTCATAACTCCGTTGGACCAGTTTATGTGTAGAGTGCATCTTACTCCTGAGAAATGTGAATTTAACAAATGGAAAGTTAAAATCATTGCGTTTGTCATAGATTTTAGTTTGAAGTTAAACATATCGCAGATACCAATTTCAAATTGTGAACGTCAGACTCATTAGTTACGCCCGAATCAAAGAAGTTAAAAAGGTAAAATAAAGTATAAAGTTGAAGAGCATTTAGTACCCCAAATTCAAAAAACTTTAGCATAATAAAACTTAGGTAATCTATATGGAGTCTAAATGTGTCAATATCGAGGAAACAACAAACAATTCTGTCCTTAATGGTTGTCTGAACAATATATAAAGCTCTTTATAGCCAAAGTTAAACCGGTTTAACGATGGTAAAGTATTTACTACCAGCACAAAATTGGTCAAAATTGTAAACGTTTTATATGAAATAAAGAACAACCCCTTACTTCCTGCTGTGATATCTTTGTACTGAAAAATTCCGTTTAATCACATCTTTTTTATTGAGCATAAACTGGAAAATACAGTATACAAAGTTATGTCTGTTTTGTTATTTGTTTTACCTTCTATTTTGGCCATGGTTGGTTTGGAACTAAAAAATACAAACAAAAAGAAGAAATATTTCCACTGCTCTATTCTTAACTCACCATTTGTAGGTTACATACCAGAGTATTTTGACATATTTCTCCATCACACTTTATTCCATGCTTTCAATAATATCGATGTTGTGTTGCTGGTTACAATTAAGCTTTTTTAATCAATAGTTCTAAATTGTAACGTTGAAGTAATATTTTCTAAGTTTCGCAGATGCGCTTTAGATTTCTTGTCTTTTACACAATATCAGTGTTTCATAGATGATGATTGATATCATTCAATGGATGCAGCCACAATACTGTCTTATTTTTAGCAAATATGAAACATCACCGGATCTTCCTTTAAGATATGATAACATATGAGCACTTTACTTCATCAGAGGTTGTTTGGTTGCCTGTAGCTCAAACTTTATTTGCTTTTTGGCCTTCCAACTATTTTGTTTTTAACGTCACTGGTGAGTTTTATGTAGTCAAGAGTTGCGTCAGGCGAACAAACATATATGCATGATATCTTTCATTATTGTTTTGCAATGCTTCCTCTGGTCGGAAAAAACAAATATTGGTGAAAATACATTGCGAAAGAATATAACGGTTCGATATATTACATCTTGTTTATTTTGTGACTTTTTCTCTTATACGTCAACTTTAGGCTGTGTAACCTGAACCCGTCACACGTTCGAATGTTGACAGAAAATATACAATCAGCTGATGGAAAAAGTACAAGCATGTAATAGCTGTTAATAAACTAACCAGGTTCAATCCACCATTTTCTACATAAGAAAATGCCTGTACCAAGTCAGGAATATGAAAGTTGTTATCCATTCGTTTGATGTGTTTGAGCTTTTGATTTTGTCATTTGATTAGGGACTTTCCTTTTTGAATTTTCCTCGGAGTTCAGTATTTTTTTTATTTTACTTTCTATCAATAAAAACACATAAAAAAATAGAAAAAATATTTGATTTTATTTAGAGCCTATCGGAACTAGACGGAAATATCCAATAAATAGATTGAAGACAAATCCAAATTATAACCTACTGTGGTTTTATTTACGCAATAAGGGGGCAGTCATATTTTGTATGCATGTGTTATGTAATTTTAGAGTCTTCATCAATGTGAAAGAAAACTATTATTCTAATTATAGGTTAGTCTATGGAAAGGTATATACTATGAAATTTAGAGCGAGGGGCTTGCCCCGAGCTCTTAATTTCATAGTATATACCTTTCCATAGACTATCCAATTTAGCACATATTTACAACTCGAGTAATCTTTTAATTGGTCTATTGATAGTTTATTTTGGCTGACTACTTGTATCACAGGTGTTTGTAAAACGGAGCTCATTAACGAGTTTTGTAAATCTACTTACTAGTATCATTGTAAAATATGTGATTTCAAAAGGCCCTTCACTCCAGAATGAAAAGATGGTAGCTGCTAGTGTAAGTATGTATACTGATATAAAGCGGTGTTTTACTATACATGTTCTTCTTACAAGGTAAGATGACAAAATAAATTGACCAAAAGCAGGCAATAATTAAATTGCAGTGGAAGCTTTACATGTTTTGAAAACATTTTTTAATTTCACAGTAAAACTAAAGCTATAATAAATTTGAAACATATAGATAGTTTGTCCCCAAACATATAGTCTAGCAGATAGGCATTAAAAAGCAACTACAAATAGATCAAAGATTATAGATTTTGTGTTTTTTTTTTTATTAGTTCAAAGTAAAAACTAAAAGATTTATCAGAATATGTTTATATATATAGCTTGCACATTATTTTCAGACATAATCACAGTTTTTCAATTCATGACATCGTCCTGAACATGCATGAAATATTTGCCACTGGACATTAAGCAACCAATAATCAATAAATCAATCAATTCATGACGAAATAGATCACTTTCCTTAAGAAAGTTTAAAAAATTATCACCAAGTTGCTTTAATTTTCTTTCACAAGGTTTCATAGTACACACTTTTCTGTGTACAAAGTAATTGCATGGATGATACATTATCATAATTTTAAGATATCATTGTACTCTAATCAAGGTATAAAGAACCATGTGTATTACCCTTTATTTAAATGATAACATTTGCAATTGTCAAAACATTTTTTAGATCCAAAGATTTTAATAGCAGGATATTTAAAATCAATGTGAAAACTAATTACAAACTATTTAATTTAATTTGGAACACAGCATTTTATTTCAAAATAGCCAGTGGCAAATTTTGTTTTAAATATCTTGATTACGATACAATGAAATCTTACCCTTGTGGTCATTCATGCGTAGTTACTTAGTACACAGGAAAAGTATGTACTATGAAAATTAGAAGGCAAATATAAGCAATTTGATTGGACGAGAAGTTGTAAGTATGTGCTAATTTAGTGTGTTAACTAATTAAGATGCTGATTATTAAATAGAAATGTGGGGTTAATGTACATTTGGGCTATTGAATATCACATGTTATATAAGATCCCAGATGTACATTAGACGAAGACGGTGCAAATTAAAATTAAGATTTTTTGAAAAATACGAAATAAGTTGGCGAAGAACAAATTGCAAATGGCGTAAATATATTGTTTTGCCGAAATATGTAACGAAAAAGAAAATTGACCTAGGGGGAACCCAGATTTGTGTTATGCGTTTTGACCTTTTTGGTTGTTTGCTTGTCAATTATATTTTGTCTATCATCAAATTATTTCCTTTTCTTGATTAGTCTTTATGTTTAAAAACTGGTATTGATTTTTTTGTTCGTGACGAAATACACCACAATAATGCGAATGAAACAATTATCAAATTTGCTAAATAAAGGCAACAGTTACTCACAAGCAAAACAAACACATCAAATCACTTAATAGAAAACATAAGGTGATCAACTAGCAAACTTATACTATGAACTGAGTAATTATCATTGTCGATTTCACTTGAATGATAAAGGAACTTTCAATTTTTTTTTGTTAAAAATTTATGTTTTGTCAACGAACACAAATTTGCAGTTATGAGAAAGCATTCAGCTAGAGCTTGACGGATATGTAATTCAAGCCGACAAGTTTTAAACTCAAGTTATGAAATATAATATATACAAATTTGTATAATGAGAAATGATTATTCAGGTAGTAATGGAGTAAAAAGTTAAATCACAAAAATACTGAACTCCGAGGAAAATTCAAAATAGAAAGTCCCTAATCAAATGGCAAAATCAAAAGCACAAACACATCAAACGAATGGACAACAGCTGTCATATTCCTGACTTGGTACAGGCATTTTTTTTATGTAGAAAATGGTAGATTGAACCTGGTTTTATAGCGCTAAACCTCTCACTTGTATGACAGTCGCATCAAATTGAATTATATTGACAACGATGCGTGAATAAAACAAACAGACATAATAGGTAAAAATGTCAAAATAGGGGTACAGCAGTCAACACCGTGTCACAATCTTAATCACAACAAAAACAAACAAATATTAAACAAAGAAGCACAAAAAAAAAGCGTATATCACATTTAACAACCTTGTTCATTGCTTACTTTTTTTGTATTTTATTTATGTATGCCAAATCAACCCAAAAAGGATCGAGGGATTTTAAGCACTGGGACCGAGTTGTAATTTTAACATTAACTCTGGCGTTGAATCGCGTGTTTGACGTCAGAATGTAAACGTCACACAGGTAGAGATATAAAATAATTTTGTCGTTCAAAGTATTGTTCTTTTATGTTTTTAGTTTAGTATGTCAGCTACAGAAGATACATTGATGCATGTAATGAAGGCTTCTACAATGGGGATTTTGAATAAACAAACTGATTTACGGTGAATATATCAATTAAATTCTATTATTTCTAAAATTAACAGTACTTGGTCCTCAATTTCTATACATGATTATTCGGGCCAGTATAGATTATTGAGGTTTCTACACATTGATGTCGTAAACTATCAGCCGCGAGTCACAATATGAACATTTTTGCGAGTGAGCGTCACATTATGTCAAACGACTGATTTGTAACGATATCTATGCGTAGAAACCCGATAATATGTTCATCGTTCTAGTTTCAGTTTTTTAGTCTGGAATTAAAGTGCATATTACGTAATTAGTAGAAACATCTTGACTTCTATATTGATAATTCTAGCATTTTTTATTCAACATGTTCAAAGGTCAAAATGCAAGCCGTCCTTGCTAAATCAATTTCAATAGATTTAACACCTTGTCCCTTGGGAATTCAAAAAAATATGTCATTGTGATAATTGGAAGTATGCTACTCCATGAGGTTTAGTTGACTTTCGAACGTTTTGTTTGCTCTATTAACGCCTTTTTCCTATTATGCGTTTACAAATGTATATGCGTGTTACCCGTTGCTGTAAACTTTAACTACTCAGCGTAAATGAACGACGGTTATTAAGGAAACACATGTTTATCATAAGAATATCGTTTATTAAATACCCCTGCTGATTGACTAATAGTCCCCAAAAGTCATCCATTGGTTTTGAATCATGCAGTTTGCTTGTGAATTTTGCAGTACGTTTTAGCGTGATATTGTAGTAACACACTGATTTGTACTTACTCAAGCAAATTAAAAATGATGTCATGGAGTTTTTGGTATTGTGTTATTAAAGAACCCAAACGTCATTTATTATGCAAGTAACAAGAAACAAAAACTTGTGTCTTCTTATAATGTTTTAAATTTCTTCTGCCACAACACAATGTAAGCTTACCATACAAGTTTAAGTACTGCTATATATAAAACGTTGGCAGAGACATCGGAAACATGATAAAAGAGATACTGTAAAAACATTGGAGAGAGGTTATGTTTTCATTTTAACACGTTACTGCAACAGATACAAGTGACAAAAATGAAAAAGGATTTTCTTGTTATCAGATAATTCTTCTGAAATGTTTCGTAGATTGTAATACATGTATCAATTGCAAGAAATATTTTCATTTTGAAATACCTTTTAAAACCGAACTAAAAAAAGTGTAAGACCAGTCAGAGAGTCAAAAAAAAAAAGAAAAAAGGCTGAAATGCTTGTTTGTTCTCATAAACGAAAATGGACAACACTTTCGTTTTTATCCACCATGTATCACGCTCCTTGTGGCTTTTGTCAATTTTATAAGTATCTGTTTTAAAACAAAAAGAATGCAACCATAATCATTACTACCCATTCCTTTTCTAAACTGACAGGTACAAATACTTCAAAATGGATAGTTGTGATTACTTTGGAGACACTCCATTGCATCTGGCTGCTGCTAATGGTAAAAAAGAGGATGTTCAGTACCTATTATTCAAGCGAAGAGCCTCACCGTTTGTTAAAAACAAGTATGTTTTTTGAGTTCAATATAAACGTGTGCAGTAAACACTTCCTTTTTTATGCAAGCCTGTGTTCTTAATAGCATTCACAGACCTTTTCCATGTTAGATGGTACATTTTCAACTTTTTTTTTAATGACAGTATCAATATGAAGTAATATATTTTTTGAAATCTGTCTAGGAGATGTTTACAAAAAATTGTTTTCTCTTGAATGAACTTAGGAAGCCATATCAATAAGTGTAAAGCTCCATTCTATACAAACCTTGAATATTAAAAAAAAAAAAATAGATTCACTTTAAAAATACTCTGCAATGATTTGTTATGTCATAGAGCATATGTTAAAGAGAAACATTTTCTTTTAAATTATGTCCTAATATCTTGTATATAATGAAAAATGTTTCCTTAATTACGTGTCTAAAAAGCTTGACAAATTTAAGCACATTTTCAAGCAACCTAGAGCAAAAGTGTGACTAGGTAAATATTTTTCGTTACAAACAAAAAAAAAAAACAAAAAAACAGAAAGTGTTTCCAATCTTGTAACTCATTTTTATCAGTGATGATGGTTTTGTAACATGTTGCTACTGCAACTGGAAAATGTCAAGGAATTTTAGTTACAAACACTGTATATTCCTAAATTTGTCTTATGTATACGGAAATCCAGACAAAGAATGCTATAAAGTATACTATATTCTTATTATCAAAGTTTCATTTAGGAATATTTTATGGCTAATGGTTTCTTGAGAGTTTTTCATTAGGCTGCATGCAATTGTGTGTTGACTGAGATGCTCGGATACATTCCTAATGGTCATATGCTTACCGTTATATATTTTCTGTTTCTTAATATATGTGTTTAAAGATAGAATTTGGCGATCAATAAGTATTTTGGACAAATAAACGGTGTATTCAGGTGTTTGGGGTTGGGGTTATATAGAGCATGTAGGCAATACGCGCTCTTTTTTATTGAAAATGTCTCCTCTTTTTTCGCACAAATTTGTTTAAAATTTAGTTTTCTTTTTACACACAGCCTTTCCCTTTACCCTGGATAAATGAGATATTAGTCCTAAATGGTATTGTATGATTTTGAAAATTTTCATCTCATTTATTCTAACCTTAAATATACATTATAAAAAACAGATTTTTACATATCTAACAGATAATACCTAATTTGAATTTACTCTCATTATTGATTTCATTTCGGCCTCTAAGCAAAGCACATATGCATACCATTAAAAAATGACACACACGCTAATTTTTCTGGATGCAATCATTGTCATGTTATCCAATTATATCTGTATATATTGCTCACCCGATTTTGTCAATACAACATAACTATAAATATCTGTCATAAACGTAGGAGGGTTAGCTAGCTATACAACTAGATTTAACCCGCCATTTTCTTCAGAAAATGTCTGTACCAAGTCAGGAAATGACAGTTGTTTTCAATTCGTTCCGTTGGTTGATAAAGTTTGACGTTTGATTTTGTCATATGTTATGGACTCCACCCTTTCTGAAATTACCCATGAGTTCAGTATTTTTGTTAATATCGTTAGATGGCTTTAAACCAGTTTTATGTAAGGACAACACTTCCATTTGAATATTTTGTTCATATGTCGTTAAAAATTATAATACAGCCAAAGCTACGAATTGGATACTTCTGCTCAAGAAAAACAAAAAATAAATAAATTAAGAAACTTAATAGACACAAAATGTTGTTCAGCTTCATCAAAACTATTCTAAACACTAAGGTTTTTCCCAAAGGCATATACTACCTCTATTTGCTCTATTTGGCACATTTGTTGGAATTTTTGGTTTTTATAGCTCGTCAAATTTCTTTTTGATTCGATCTTCCAACAGTTTTGATTTGAGTGTCATTGATGAGTCTTATATAGAAGAAACGCGCATCTTGCGTACCAGAAAAGTGTAACAAAATACTGAACTCCATAAAAAGTCCATAAAAACTGACAGAATCAAACGATATCAATCAACGTTACAAGTGAAAAACAACTGCTATATTCCTGACTTGGTACAGATGCCAAGACCATAGTGTTGTACGTCAGACGCGCGTTTTGTCTATAAAAGACTCATCAAGAACATAAATTAGACAATGACGTCACCAACAAAAAAGCTTTTGTCGTTGATAATACATATCGTCTTTTGTATACACTTTCTGGAGTAAGTATTAAGTAAATAGAAATACATGGGTAAACAAAATAGAAACAACACTGTAAAAACCTTTTATGTCCGAATTGCATCTCAGGAAACTCCAGCGGAAGGAATACCGAAAGTTAAAAAGTTAAAAAGCCGATGGCGGGATGCATAAATACTAGTACACGTCAAAATTCATACGACAAAACAAAACATAATATCACGAAGACAAATAACTGGGAAACTAAAGTTACATAAAAAGATACACAACTTCAGCGCCTATAATCTAGAAATTAATACCATCTTGTTCGATTTGTGAAGTAGACACTGAATATCTGATGAATATTGATCTTTGATGAATTGTTTCTTGCACACAATCCATCCATTTTGTCTATCCTGACTATATAAAAATAAAACTTTAACTCACAAAAGCATGAATGTAGCATATAATCACAGGATGACTACTTTGTCTAAATTGGAAAAAGAAACAAATGTGAACCAGGATAGTCAATAAATAAGGAAAAAAAATTCTTGGAAAAAATATAAATATACCCACAATATATAAAAAGTAAAATAACAAAAATACCGAATTCAACACGGAAATTATCTGTTCGACAATAGATTACTCCGTAAAACTGAGTACAACACCAGAAAATCGACGTCATAAGGTCTTTTAAAGAGACATTTTCTGTAAGCATCAAAATGGGTTGGCCACGGCTATTCTCCAGCATAAACTATCGGTCCCCTACATTTAAAAAAAATCTAAAATCGCAGTTTCAATCATAGTTTTATTATAGGTTTTTGTTTATTACATCCCTTGCATCAATGTCACTGCTTAATTTGCCGCTAATGTATGAGTCGTGCAAGAATCGCGTGACTAGTGTACTAATAACGATTTAAATGATTTGATAAATATTAACATTCTTTTATAATCAAATATTGTTTACAGGCAAAATGGATATATTTATGTAATAAAAAATAAGCATGTATCATGTTGACCAAAGTTGTTAAGAATATATCTATAAGACATAGAGTCTTAAATCATGAAGATTAAATCTAGAACAATTGAATTGGATTTAAAAAAGGTATCAAACTTTCACCTTGTCCAGCTATCAATTCAAGTTTTAAGCGTTATTGTCAATGAATTACGCATTTTTATTGTTTAGAATAAATCATACATATTTACCAATGTCCTGACAAAAACTCAAATACTTTATGTATTTTGAGGAATACTATTTTTTATCTCTATTACTATTTAGCTCTCGGAAAACACCTATTGATTTGGTTAAAGAGAACATTGAATTTTGGAAACTGAAAAATAGTGGTATCCATACCGGAAGAATCAAAGAACAGTTAATCGAGATACGTGATCTAATAAAGAATGAAATGTCTGATGCTGAAAATATGAACATAGTAAGTAAAAAGCAACTTGTTATATTCAAACTGATATTTGTCTTAACTATTTTTTTTGTTAAGATATAAATTTCTTATCATTATAACAAAACAAGTTTTATGATTTTTTCCCTCTTATTATCAAAATATATAGAAAGTCAGATAATGTATATTATAATGTATATTAGTCGATGACCTATAACGCTAAACTAAATGCTATTAAATAAAGAAATTGATATTTGAAAAAGAAATTAGAATACTCACTGAGCTTCATACTGAAAGTTAATCAATTAATAAAACGACTTTGATAAAGAGTTGAAGATTAATAAAAATAACTTGCTTCTCTGATAATTACAGGCAACATAAAAACAACAAATGTGTATATTTTTACATTTGCATGCATTATTATCTATTTTTTTCAGTTATCAGAAGAACAAGTATGCCCCTTTTTTTCTATACTAGGATTTTTCTTGAATAATTGAATTTCATTGACAAAATATACTAATGGTGCAACGATCAAATTTTGGTAAAAAATACTCGTTGAAAAAAAATTAGTTTAAACGATTAGAGTTCCAAAAATTCACACTGAAAAAGCGGATACATGTGATATGAACAATTTTTGATATTCAACATGTTAAACATTTTTATCTAGAAATTTCAGAAATATCATCATAATAAATGGACGAGTAAAAATTTCAAAAAAACAAATTCAGGTGTTATTTATTGTATCTAGATTTCAAAATAATATGTTCGATACATTTCAGTTGTCAATTTGAAATCAATGCAAAATTAATAGAAATGTGTAGCTACTTAATACAGTTTTTTTTAATATATAACTAGTCAATAAGATGGTCGAGAGGTTAAACAAATGTATCTGATTGTTGTCATTGGAACAGCGTAAAAATTGTAGACGAAACTCCATCATTTTTTTAAGACTACGTCTTTATTATAAGATTGTTTTTCCAATAGAAAAGTCGATATACAATGTACAAATTACAGGGATACATTTCAAAGAAACTAAGTATTGTCCGTGAAGCTTTACATGCATAAATACAACATTTTGTATTTTTAACAATATTGTCTTTAATATAAAAATCTTATAACGTTGCCTCTAAAATAAACAGTCCATATCTCTATTTTGTCTGCAAACATAAGATATATGATAAGGATGGCGTATAGTTGACGTCATTTGGATTCAAGTGGGTAGTTGTCGCATTGGTAATCATACCATATTTCCTTATTTTCCTTATTTTAATGTCAATGTCATTAGTACAAAAACTTTATGTGGTACGATTGCCAGTGAGATAAATATCCACAAAAGACCAATGTTCATGGATCTTATCAACTACAGCTTCCAATGTCACATTTCAGCCTTTCTTGTTTATATTGCAGGAAGAAGACGATACATTTAAAAAGCTGAGTCCAAAGGAAAAATTATTTCTGTTTCATAATAGAATTTTTAAAGGGGATATTTTTGCTATTCGAAGGTAACTAATTTGTTAAATTGCAAATTGGCATGCGCCAGGTTCATGTTAATATTATTGTAAATCAAATACAAAACATACGTGTTGCTCTTTGGTCGGGTTGTTGTCTCCTTGACACATTCCTCATTTCCAGTCTCAATTTTATTTTTTGTGACATATCCTTGCTAACAAATTACTATAGTGGAATGCCTTTAACGGATGACTTTATACAATTTTGATAGGTTGTTGATTTTGTTTGGCCAAAATCTTAGTTTATTCGATTTTATAAATTGTTCGTTTTTATTATCTTACATAAGTAGGGACATAGAAGAATTGCATAAAGTTACCAGGCTTCATATTTGGAACGCCAGATAAGCGCTTCATCTGTATACGATTCTTCAGAACTTCGAAAAATTGGAAGGGTAAAACTACATATTAATTTTTTTTTTGTAAATATTGTAGGTTTATAAAGACAGATAGAGATATATTAAACCATATTGACTACGATTCTAGGTCTGCATTACATATTGCTGCAGCAGCTGGACATACTCACTTGGTTAAATTCCTCCTCAATGAAGGGGTCAATAAAGATAAACAAGATAGGTAGGAAGACCATTACGTTGTGAATTAAGTTTATTGTGTTGCATATTTTTATATATGTACAGTTGAGTGCAGACCAAGCATTACATGTAGACGCGCGGAAAGGTAACGCGGCGTTTACTCTGCGTTAACTCCAAAATTTTAGTAGACATACAAAGTAAACGGGCGTTTACTTTCACGTTTAGCTCCGCGTTAACGCGAAAAAGGCGCATCATCTAATATTGTTCAAAGTAAACAGGCGTTTACATTCGCGTTTACATCCGCGTTAATGTGTAAAAGGCGCGTTTTCTATTTTTTGGTAAAAAGTAAACGCACGTTTACTACTGCATGGTGGGTTACACCAATGACTGGACCAATAACAGGACATGTAATGACAGAACCAAAATACAGATAATTTTTTTATTTATCATAGGATTTATCTCAAATTTGAAATATAATAAGATTTCATCATTTAAAATTTAAATGTAAGATAAAAAAACGAAAACTAATTTTTTTCAAAGCTTGCGAATATTGACCTTGGCAATGTTAACAATGACCGGACCAATATCGACAATGACAGGACCAAATGAAAATGCTAATTACATTTTTATTTCTAAAAGGATTCATCTCAAATTTGAAATATAATAAGCCAAATAATTGTGTTCATTTTATATCTCAAAGTGGATTGTTAGACATAAAAAAGGAAGAAATTTAAGTTGAAAATTGCAAAATTTGTTGTCGCATCAAAAAAGTGCCAAAATTTTCCATTTTTTTAGAATATTATACAACGGCATTAAAGTTCTGTTCTTTTTGTCCCTAAAAATTAATAGTTTTACACAAATTGAGAGCTCTATAAGTCTACGGTTACAAATATGTATGTCAATAGCAATAAAGATATACTGGCCTGATAATTGAGTAATTTTTATGCCTCAGGATAAATTATTAGGCATAAAAGTGAGGAAAGTAAAGTTTAAAATTGTTAAATATGTTGTCGCATCAATATAAGGCGTAAGTATTTTAACTTTTGTAAAAATATCATGTTACATTATAAAAATTCTGTTCTTTTTGTATATAATGAGTGAGATTTTTACACAAATTGAGAGCTCTATATAAGTCTACGGTTAGTTATTTGTACTACGATTAAAATAAGAATTGCCAATATTTTTTTTTATATATTTAAAGCTTGTAACATTGTACTGGCGGGATGAATTCTCTTTTTAAACCTTAGAATGGATTGTTTGACATAAAAGGGAAGGAATTATTTCGACGATTTTTTTTTTATAAAAAACAATTCCTCATGTCTGCAGGGATGAACAGGTTTAATAAAATTGACATTATACATCGTATATATAAAAGTCAAATCATTTTTAAATTCAGTTTAAAACCATGAACTACTACAAATATTTTAAAATTAGTGTACTGTCTGAAAACAAAGTTTCATAGATCATTTTATGTCGTCTGTTTTATTTCAAGTCTTGAAACATTGCCAAGTTAAATCTACCGTAATGAATATTGTTGTTGAAATATAAAACTTTCCTTTTTTGAGGTTTTGCCGTATTTGCCTATCCAATAGTTTCTGAAAATATAGCGATACTTTGTTTATTTATCATTTGCAATATATGAATATGCCAGAAAAAAAAATGTAGTGATAATTTTCACTATTCATAACAGTTAACGGGAAAAGTAAACGCGTGATTTCTAAGTGCAAGTACAGGTAAATATGTATAATCTGTAGTAAACGCCTGTTTACTATTGACTAAACGGATACAGAGTAAACGCGCGTTTACTCGAGTAGACATTAGAAATTTCCATTTTTACCGCGTTAACGCAATTGTAGTAAATAAAGGCAACAGTAGTATACCGGTGTTAAAAGGTCATAAATCGATTGAGAGAAAACAAATCCGGGTTACAAACTAAAACCGAGGGAAACACATCAACTATGAGAGGAAAACAAAGGAACAACAGGAACACTGAAGTGCAACAAAAACAAAAGCCAATATACATAGAAACGAACTATTTGATAACAACTAACATATTCCTGACTTGGTACAGGACATTTTAAGAAAAAAAAGTGGGTTGAACCTGATTTTATGGCTAGCCAAACCTCCCGCTAATATGACAATATTAAAAAATATCGCTAAAATGACAACACTACGTGACAGAAATACAACACAAACACATGCAAGAACACACATCAAAGAGAAACGCAAACAAATAATATAATAGTCGACACAACATGCAAACCGCATGTAGTTAACAAATGAAATATGTGCAAGCGGCGTTAACGTGCGTTTACTTTATGTTATGCTTAGTCTGCACCCAACTGTAAGCATTTCTAAATTATATTAATTTTGATGTTTTAATGCTTCATCATACGTTCAATAACTAATTGGTTGATCAATGTGTCTGTGTCGTAATTAAATAAAAACAAGTTTCTGAGGCCCAAGTTATTTATAAAAGAGGTGCGAAAGATATCAGAGGGACAATCAAACTCATATGTCGAAAATAAACAGACAACGCCATGGCTAAAATAGAAAAAGACCAATAGACAAACAATAGTACACAAAACACAACATAGAAAACTAAAGACTGAGCAACACGAACCTCACCAAAAACTGGGGGTGATATCAGGTGCTCCGGAAGGGTAAGCCAATCCTGTTCCACATGTGGTTCCTGTCGTGTTGCTCATGTTATTACAAACCCGGTAATAAGTCTAATTCGGTAGGTAACATTCGGGAAGAGGGTACGGGATTGAAGTTACGACATTAGGAACATATCCGTTATCATCTGTGAAACGGATATTCCATAACGGTCAACCAACTCGTGATGGCGACCGTAAAACTTACGAAGGGATGATTTCAACTTCACCACTCACTTGAGACTCTTGGTTTAATAGCTTCCTTGTGAGCAGCAACCCTCTATCAAGGAAATCATGATAGGAAATACAAGCCCTGGAATATCGTATCAACTAGGAGATATATACTCCGTATGCAGGCGCTGCTGGCATGTTGCTACATAGAAATGGAAAGTTCACAATTGGGAAGCTGAAATGATCTCTTTTGTCGTAAAGTTTTATAAATACCTGCAATATTTTCTGATCTGTAAATTAACGGATATTTTCTTATTCCAGATTACGAATTTTGACTGAGATGGCACACCAAGCATCGCCCCTTTTGTATTTCATGCAATTATCGCCGTCTTTTGTTTTGGTTTAAATTTGTATCCTGTCAATGAATCTGAGATTTGAACATCGGTTAACTATAATTTAAAACATTAAATATATTTTTAAGTAACGTTACTTATAAAGTGTTCTTCATTTTTAATTTTTATTTTTTTAAAGCGTGATAACCTAAACAAATCTAAGTTGTCAATGCTCCTTACTCATTAACTTGTACATTTATTGGGAATGTATAAATAAAATGCAACATCTTATGGACTAGCCAGAACACATACCCATGCGACAATGAATACACCAGAACGGAAAGAGAGTTTGGTACTTCTGCAATGAATGCTTCCTCTGAAAATTGTGAAAACGGGAGACATAACTGTTAAATCCTTATAAGTACTATTTACTGGTTAATTCTTTATCAATCATTAGTGTAGTCAATGCTTGTTTCTACATCTGCTTATTCATAATTTTTGCACATTTAGATATAGATTGACACCTTTGGACGAAGCGAATAGGAATGGAGATGACGAAATGAGAAAATTGTTGACAGAAATGCAGAACACGTCAATGTTAAAAAAAGACATTAAAATTCAGTGATACCAAGGGTTTCTTGCATGAAAAAAATATCGCACAGCAGTGTTAGCAATTATTAAGAACTGATCAATGTTAAACTATTGTTTGTTTTTGTGATCTCATTTTTTATATTGTTAGAGAAATTTGTACCTTTATTTGTTATGTTTATTCCGTATTTAACGATCATATGTAATAGAAGAAATCGTGAATCCGTCCATTTTGTCTATACTGCTACATAGTAGATTTGTATTTTGTTCATAGAGTTGTCATTCATTGTCCTTTCAATTATTTTTCAGAGACGAGTAGCATATGTTTTGGATTCGGTCTATTCGTTGGTGATTATACATATTAGATTGTGTTTGTTAACATTCATTTGATCTGTATTGAATAATGGAATTTGTTTGAGATATCCAAACATAGCATACGTTAATTGTTAATTGTATTATAAAATAATTCAATTAGAAAGTAAAAAAGTAGCTATTATTTCACGTAAGTAAATGACATGAGATTACAAACATACACGGAGTTTCTAAATCAAATATGGTCGAATTAAATACTTTGACACCTGGTGTATTCTGCCGTTTTCACTCTTTTTTATGGTATACACCTTTCCCTTACTATAGTCAGCTTGCAGCTGCTAATTAGACTTTATAAAACGTCACCAGTGACTGAACAGAAAGTTTATAAACCAGGGTTATGTCAAAGAACGTCTCGTCCTTTTTCTAAAAAAGTTCATCGGATGATACCAAGACCTTGTTGATAAATATTCCGTATCAACTTCCAAAATAATACATGACGGTCTTTAAGTATAGATTCTGTGTACTGACGTTGTTATCATCTTACTTACGTATTCTAGTGTTTATTTGTTTTTGTAAATTATTAACCTTAACTGTTTATTCCATTTTTGGTAATAGTCTGGGTACTTATACATCCCGCCAATGTGTTGTTGTGCTGTTGTCATTCTTTGTATTCTTGTCTTTCATTTTTGCTTATGTGCTTTGTCATTTTGTTTTTCCTTGTTGTCATATTTGTTTGTTTTTATAGTGATTAAGATTATAACACAATGTTGACTGATGTACCCCTATTTTTGACATTTTTACTTGTTATGTATGTTTGTTTTGTTCACACATTGTTATCAATATAATGGAATTTTATGCGACTGTCATACAAGCGAGAGTTTTAGCTACATGTAGCTATAAAATCAGGTTTAATCCACATTTTTCTACATAAGGAAATGCCTGTACCAAGTCAGGAATATGATAGTTGTTTTCCATTCGTTTAATGTGTTTGAGGTTTTGACTTTGTCATTTGCTAAGGGACTTTCAGATTTGAATTTTCTTTGGAGTTCGGTATTTTTGTTATTTTACTTTTTTCTATGTTTATGAGAAGTCCTTTTTTCCAGTATCCTGATAGAAACACTTTTGTCCCCGCCGAAAAAGCTGAAATTGATTTAAAGTCTATAAGTCTATAAGTAACAGCGGGATCATAGGTTTGCATTTCTGTTACTGTGGATGCTTTGTTGGGATTTTTCGGAAAATACCTCCCCCATATGCAAACTCTTCTAGCACCGACCAAAAATGTTCCGGATTGGGATCATTTGTTTCTCTTTTCTTTCTTTTCTTATCTTGTAAAACCTTCATCTGCAATACATTTTCGTTTACCTGCATGTCCATTTTTGTTTGTACAAACGGCTTGTAACGTCACAATGCTAGTTAACGTTGCAAACGTCAATACTTTCGCGAACAAACGCACTTTAGCGTATCGCGGCATTGAACTTTAATGTGTTCCATTAAATAACACAGACCATCGAACTTTAGCGCATCAAACCATCGCACTTCAGCGTATACCATCGCACTGTTTCGCGACCATCGTGTTATAGTGTCAATATCGCACTTTAGAGTCCTACATATTTATATAAATAAAGATAGACCCACTGGAATCTTTAAACCAGACGCCGAATAGCAAATAGACTCAATTCCTTTTTTTTGTACTGTACTTCGTCTTACCTCTCTTTGTCAAATAGCAATGCGCTCACTTTCCATGTTAAAATATCATCTGAAGAAATGTTTTGGTCAGTACTATCCCTTATAAAAGGTAATGTCGTATCTAATTTCAAATATATCAAAGGTAAAGCATATAGAAATATTGTAAAAAATAAATATCAAATTCAGGTCAGAACTACACATCTTTCCTTCAACGTCAACACGGCGGCCATATTGTTAACAACGGATACGAAGTTTTCCCCTATAACATTTTGACCCTCAGCGCCATATTAAAAATGACGTAAGTGCTGATGCAAGGTTAAAATGTAAATTAAAATCATACCTAATATATATTACGTGACTATTCGGGAAGGTTAGTGCCTATCCTTTGAGTAATTTAAATGTATGGCATAAGTATTAATTATTATTTTCCATGCATTACATTGTAACGGAATACATTTCTATTATCTTGTTGAGTAACAATAAACTGATAATGTAATTTTGAAGAAAGAACATTTGAAAATTAACTTATATTACAAAAATACATTCCGTTACAATCAAATCACTAACTTATTATTGTTATACAAAAAAGGACGAAAGAACGAATCCGTAAATCTAACTATCATACAAAATATAAACATGTTTGTGAGGCTTACATAAAGTAGGGATTACAGGAAAAGCTGTAAATACTCATGAGAAGACTATAATGTATTTCCAATTTATTAGTTTCGTATAGAGCTTTGTGGTTTTTTTAAGGAAGAAAAAAAAAAAAAAAAAAAAAAAAAAAAATAGGAATGCATATTAATTATGTAACGCAAATATGTTTAAAAAAACTAATTTTCTTTTACTCTCATGTTTCAATCGTTTGTTCAGAAAGGTCGTTCGTCTTAATTTGGAAAGATATGTTTTATGGTTTTATCGTACTTTTCAAACAAATGATTTACTGTTACTGTAATGACTTGAAACTGTAATTCGTTATAAAATTTTAGGAAGAAGGGTTCTTTTCTCTGCAATGTTATTTGACGGTTATTTTCAAAGTCGATTATCTCTTAGAACCCGCCTTATTAAAGCTCCATTTGTAAACATGATTGGATAAATTCTATAAATGCCACCAACACCAATTATAACTTTAAATGACATTTCGATGTCATTGATACATTTTTTTGAAACAAGGTTCCGTGTTGAAGACGTTCCAACATCGAGACTGTTACTCGTATGAAAATATTTTTTTTTACAGAAAAGTCGATTTCGTCATTACAATTGAGTTTGACTGGGTCAATTGATGTAATCATCCTTTTTTTTTTACTAAGATTTAGTATTGAAGTTCAATATATTAAATAGTACAACTATATTGAATTAATAACAGTATGAAAATAATATTCCCGTTTTGTTTAAGATAAATGTGTTTGTCAGTTATCAATTTTCAACTGAGAGGATCATTAAAGATTAGGCGGACATACCGATATTGAAGTAACGTTCGTTTCCTTTGCTTTTTTTTTATTATAATGTCCTTATGCACTTATTTCTTATGTAGAAAATCCACCATTTTCTACATAAGAAAATGCCTGTACCAAGTCAGGAATATGACAGTTGTTATCCATTCGTTTGATGTGTTTGAGCTTTTGATTTGCCATTAGATTACGGACTTTCCGTTTTGGATTTTCCTAGGAGTTCGGTATTTTTGTTATTTTACCTTTTATAATATTCATTTGCATCTTCCATTTTAATATTTGCTTGCAAATATCAACGAAAATAATACATTTGCAATATAAGATAAACATACACAATATGTACAATACGTTTTATAATAGAATGATATCACCGTACCTACGACTCGTGTTTGGGGACTTTCCTTTTTGAATTTTCCTCGGAGTTCAGTATTTTTGTGATTTTACTTTTTAGAACTTTCACCAGCTTATGACCGGCCGTTGGTAAATCATCTACAAGAAAGAGCATAAACTACCGAGCAAAATGATAATTTTTTTATGTATTTATCATCAAAGACGCCTGAACAGAATTACCAAATGTAAAGCCAACTCTGACTGATGCAGATGCAACCTTAGGGTTTTAACAAAACGTTGTCAATGTACCGAAAACGTACAGACTAGTTACATAGTTTAATGTCAGACAATGCACCTAGTAAAGATTACATGGGAAAATCGTTTAGGTCTAGAGTGAAATAAATTATAATTTCAGTTACTACTATTTAAATTTGTGCTGATTTAACATCATGCAAAAGACAGTTGTTGTATTATATTCATTTAAACCCGTCTGCAATAATGAAACCTGATAAATTTGACATGTTTCATATATATTGAATATATATAAAAAAAAAAGATGTGGTATGATTGCCCGTGAGTCAACAAGAGACCAAATGACAAAGAAATTAGAAACTATAGGTCACCGTAAGGCCTTCAACGATGTGTAAAACTCATACCACATAGTGAGCTTTTAAAGGCCCCGACATGGCAAATGTAAAACAGTACAAAGGAGAAAACTAACGGCCTCATTTATATACAAAACAATGAACGAAAAAGAAAGATGATATACAGGAACAAACAACAACCACTGAATTACAGGCTCCTGACTTGGGACAGGCACATACAGAATGTGGCGGGGTTAAAGTAGTTTGGAGGCCCCAACCTCTAATAACTAGGGGTAGTGGTGTAACGGCACAACACAATAATAAATTTTACAAAACAATAAACATAAAAAATATGAAAAACAGCCAAAAAAAAAAGAAAGATCATCACTAAATTACAAGCTCCTGACTTGGGACATGCATATATAGAATGTGGCGGGGTTAAACTAGATTGAATGCGCCAACCCTCCGCTAACCTGGGACAGTGGTGTAACAGTACAAGATAAAAACAAACTATAAAAATCAGTTGAAAAGGGCTTAACTCATCAGATGGATACAAAGCAGAAATACATCAAACAAAAACAAAGAGTGGTCATGGCAGGGTACTTATAATGATAATAATAATAACTATCAGGTTTTATATGGCATGTTGCCTTATCCCAATTCAAATGAATAATAGGTAAATACATTTACCTTTTTTGGTATACCATTCATATCTTTTATAACAGAACATTAAATATGTTTTTATACTATGGTACTTTAATTCGAATGCGTCCTGACGTTGAGTTTCAGCTTTTATAAGTAATTTTGT